CAGTGTCCCATTTTTAAATCTCGCGCTGAAATTTCTGTGCGTGACGTCACTGATTTTTTAAGCGTGGTGATTGTATTTCGGTGCCAATGACTCTGCAAAATCTCATGAACTTGTTAGGTCAAGTATATGGCCCTTCAGAGGACCATGGACTTCATTTTTATTGATTAAGAGCAACGTGGGCCCAAATAGACGCCGTCAAAACATGTGACGTCACGGCGAATGTGCAGAAATTTCATGGTGGCGTCGCCACGCATTTTTTTTTTTTTTTCGCGCGTTTTCTTGCTTACTAAGCGTCTTCTCACCGCAAGCCCGGTGTTACTGGGATTGTTAAAAAGTTGTTCATTAATAAGAAAAAAAATAGTTTCGCTCTTTTGTGTCCTTTTAAGTCGCAAGATCTTCAGCTACAGATTTGCGATTTTCCGAATGCATGCAAGTGTAGAAGAGTGGACCCTTGAGAAAAGTTTGTTGTGTATAGGTGCTTTATTTGAAAAAATTTAAATGAATGTGTTTGTGCCCTTAGACGTCGAAGAGACCCTTATCAACATCTTTAGGCAGGCTCAAGTGGATTGGATGTTTCTGTGCAAGCCACAGCGCAAGCATTAGATGCCCTCCATGGTTGTATTTCGTGAAGAAGCCCATCAAAGTAAGGTTTAATATTTTGAGAAAGTTGGAGATGTAACGTGCTCAGCTTCAGCCTGTAAAGAAATGCTTACCTCGCTCTATGCGCTCGCATCTGTTTTCACTGCGGTATGGCGCACAATGGTAAAAGCCTGAATATGCAGCTAAGTCAAACGATGAGAGGCGCACCAGAAGACTGGCTACAAGGTTGTGCGAAGTTGTGCGTACTATACTGACAATGTCAGCCTGTTCTAAAAACCATCATGTTTGAGTCTATCACAAGCACTGCTTGTGATCGCTACTTTGCCAAACTAACTTGTTATATTGCGATCCGCAGTCAAGTCCCCCCCCTCCCAAAGCACAACTTCTGTGCCAAATGTTCACCTTTGAACTTCAATTGACATTGCTCAACAGTGATCACCCGCTCATAAGTAGTGGTGGCGAAACGTGTGGAGTGAGGCACACGACACAGCTTTGCTCCGACAAGCACTTGTGTATTTGTACAGAAGCATGACATAATAACACCGGCCTGTACACAGCTGTCAGAGTGGAGGGGGCAAAACAAAAAACAAACAAGAACATATCGAAGTCAGTCGAGAGAAAAAAAACCAAAGCTGTTTGGCTGTAACGCTACAAAATATACAATCGTAATTCTAACAAGACATGGGGGGTGCGGGGAACAGGGGCTCTCTCTCTTGAAAGAGTTGCATCGAGAAATAGTGCATATAGTGTTGTCTTGGCAAGAGATTATCGGGGAGGCAACTAAAAGTACGACCGACAAACCGACAATTGTGTCGACAGCGTGTTAAACGCATCAAATTGAGCACATCATCTTCAGCGGTGGGACTGCAGCGACACCTGCATTATAAGCTTTACTTTTCACTGCTTCGCGAGCGCACGATTACAGGCACCTTGTCTGTTTTGAGGCTGAAACATCGTACGCTACGTCGCGGCTACCGCTGATACGGAGACACCCTTGACCGCGCACACACAACCATTCAAACTCTCGTTACAACAGTTTGCCTGCATTTTTTTTCCCCATTTGCTCACACTATACATTTTTTGTATGCAGCGACATTCCTCCTCTGAATGGGAAATGCGCATTATTCCTGCGCAGTTTTGGCAAGAAAGTGGCCGCGCAACACGCATTCAGTTCGGTCCGATTAAAACTTTGTATTCAGCCGACCCGGAAACTCGTTACGAAAGCTTGTAGGGGAGTAGCCAGTCGGACCAAGAAGTAGCAACACCGTGGATAATGACAATGAAACTGCCTCGCAACTCCTTATAGAGAGCGAAGATGCCATAAAATAACAGAACGTTGAAGAATTCGCTAAGTGTGCCAACAGCTGCCATAAAATCGATTCTCGCTTTTTTCGAAAATTATATCATCTGCAAGCAAGCTTGATCATAAAGGCTGGAGGCAAACGTGTGGCTTCTGACCAATGGCCGCATGCACAGTTGTGATAATGCTTGCGTTTGCAAGTCAAGTGAAGTTTGTATTCTGGCGTTCGGAATTGTTCAACGTGCAATCCGGTTTACACTAAAGGCGGCCGAACTCAAAGCCTCAGAATGGTCCTGGGCATCCCCTTGACATATTACTGTCGAACACCCGATTGCAAGAACCACATTTGAAACGGTAATTAAATTAAAAGCAAAGCTTGGCAAAACGTTACAGGGCATGTCACTGTACCAAAGATGGACAGATGCACATCATAAAAAGCAAACATACACGAAGTGCTACTTCGTTTAAAATTTTAAAGAATCGACAGCTCAGCACCATAACTTTGATCGCAGCATTTGAGACAGCAGCAGCGAGGTTAAATTTGACACGTACTAGTTATGTCTCGGCAGATGCACAAATGCAAGTGTTGCGGTCCTGATTCATGACCTGCTCCTCTGTCTCATATTTTCTACACCTACTTTCGGACCAAAGCAATTCTCACTTGCCAAGCTATTCATCATCCCAAGGCATGTATTATTCACTAGTTGCATCACCATCCATTTGCCGCGTACTAATACGACTTGTTATCACTGGGAGCAATGCCTCGCTTGCTAATCATTCGCAAACTGCTGGCTCGACGACTCGGTTACCAGTGGCCCTAGGCAATCATTCACTCATATTCAATGCCGATACATGTACTTATATCGTGTAATGTAAATGATGGCTTCCTGCAAACAGTTTGCCAAGTTCTAGTGGCATTTGACAATGATGTGAAGCTCCCTAACTGTTCGCCAATTATCTGCCAACTGCCGACAATGCAAACACATACAATCAGCATCGGCATAACATTGCCACCAACAGCTTGCCGAAGTTAGGCGACCATCAGCATTGCGAGATAGGTTCGTTCCTTGTGGAAGTCTTTGTTGCCAACTATTTACTAGTCGCTCGCCGACAACATTGCTGACGTGAGCCTCTTATTACTGTCCCGCAATCAACACACGAAAGCCAGGCCATCATTGAACAGCGAGTAGCGTTGCAAGACACGCCATACTTGGTGGTAGTCTTTCTTCCTTCCCAACTGCTTACCAATCAACAACGCAATTTTTTACCAGCAGCGAGCCCTTCCTCATACTAGCCAAGTGTCGAGACACGCACCTATATATGGCAAAACCGCACCGTGGTGTCAAACATTTACTAACTCCGGCATTTCATCAAGTGCGATTATCAAGGGCCTTGCCTACTGACCACTCAGTGACTGTCAAGCGGCGTGGAAGCTTGCGTTCTATGAGTGCCAAATCGAATGGGAGTGTGGTAAAAATATACAAAGAGACCCGTACACAAGAAAAAGAACAGTCGGCAAACACCATCAAACATAACAAGAACTCTACTTCTAACCGCATCTCTTTGGCAGCCCAACAAATGGAAAGATTCAGAGATGGCAACACACACAGAAGCAAACTTTAGCAGCATTGGGTTGCCAGCTGCGATGATGGAGCATCGAGTCTGTGCAAAACTTTCGCAACTTCAATAGGCAAGCACACAAAATGAACAGACAACCAAACTACCCAATGGCCAGGTTGCACAAAACAAATGAATATGATGTGCACTTTACAATGCAAGCTGACATAGAGGAACAGTTGCTTTGGCAAAGCATGATGCTTTTGCCTCTAGCCTTCCCACCTTGCCATGTTTCAACTGCATGCCAATAAACCTCCGTTTTAGAAAGACTGCAGGTGTGCAAGATCTTTCGCCGATTGGTGAGCGGTGGCATGCATCGAGGAGTGCAGCGTTTCTCGAATGTATCAAGCCTCCATATTTTCGTGCAGCATGTCCGTTTTAACGAACTAACAAACGTGCAAGAAACCCTTAATGCTCTGTAAAACGCGGCATGCCTTCAAACAAATTGCATTCATTATTTGAAGAGTAGTACAGAACTCTAAGAATTACTCATACGCAAAATCACCGAGGCATACCGCGCCGAACCTGTATGAAATGTCTTTTCTTTCCACAACATATCAGCTGGCTTCAGTGCAGCAGTACCACGCTTCACAGCAGCAACGCAATGGCCATGCAGGGCACCCTCAGGCCAAGACGTTTACAGTGCAGGTTTCGTACGACAGACAAACCGACTATCGCTCGTGCCACCCAAATCAAGTTTCAATGCGATCGCCTTGCCACTCATCGGTGGTCGGCGTCTCTTCAACGATGCACACGGTCATGCAATCGTGTTGTTTCACACTCGCATGCATACATTCAGCACACACACACGCAAAAAAAAAAAAAAGCATTCGAGAGAGAACCAAGATTGCCCACTCTGCAACATAGCAAACAAAAACTTTCGCGAACATGATGCTCCTGCAGAGCCCGACACAGTCGGTGCCGCCGTTTCGCAGCTAGCAACCCATACATGTCGAACCACTTTTGTTCACCAGCCACGGGGAGCCGTCAGAGCCATGCCGGCTATGGGACATCTCATTCACGGGCCTTTGAAGTTGGCCCCCTAAACCTCGCGCAGCATATTTTCAGCGCACCTGCAGAACTTACTGGTGGCACTACTCGTGCAGCGTTGCCTTTTGTGTTGCCTAAAACAAGCAATGGAGGCGTTACGGGTGTGGTAGTCAAGATTTCCGAAATGCTCGGTTGCACAGACCAGACAGTGCTCCCGGTTTGTTTGCGAGAAACGATTTCCTGTACAGAGTCACCAGAATCGTCAGTGCGCAATCGACACGTTCCTGATGAAACAGGAGAGTGGAGAGGTCACGAGCGGCGGCAAGATTTTGTTTTGACGGTGCAAACCGGTGTTGCATCTCGGCTGGGTAAAGAGTGAAGTTCTGATTTAGCTTGGGTGAGGGAACAATTTTAGCGTGGCTTGAGGAGAGCGAGTGCCCCTTTTGCATCCCCCCTGCAGACACCTACGAGTGACACCTACAAGACCAACGTGCCGTCGAATTGAATAAACTTTATTTGCCAACGGTTCCGCCCGGGGCTAGACTGCAAGAGATCCGCTGTTCGAAAAAAGTCTTTCGAGGGTCTTGTAATTCGAAATTTCAGATAAAAAAGCCTAGAGAAGGTTCAACTAGAACTGTTACACGCATCTGCCACTCTAGTTTGAGTAACATTTAGTAATTAGCCACGGTGCAACTTTACCGAGCGTCAAATTCCAAGAGGCTCTATCCTGTTAACTATGCTGCGCCGCAATGGGGCAGTGCATTTTCATAGAACGTTACATAGAGGCCTCGATCGGTAGCTCTTGGCAGGCATACCCACACTGTCTCACATTTAATTATCGGACATTCCCCAAGTACTTACTTCACTAAATATTTTCCTGTTATGGTCTATTGTGCAACCCGTGCCTCCAAACATCCCTTTTGTTTCCACTCAAAGACATTCGACTAAACTTCTCTTATAGTTCCAAGAGCTTCACTTCTGGTCAGCGTGTTGCTAGATAGTCCAGACCATTGACCGATTACCCGAAGCACAACTGCGACCCTCTCGCAAAGATAAATCCATCACCAGCTGCTCTGACGGTGTCCCTCCAGCGAAACAAGACTCAATTCAATAAACAACAAAAATCCCAGCTCCTTCGCAACAAACCTAAAAGAATCAGATTCTGACAAATGCACACGACTATATATATGAAATAAGGCGAAAAAAAAAAACACAATTGTAGTAATAAGTGGAGCAATAACCTGTACAATGCTAGGCCATAAGCCGAGCCAAGAAAAAAAAAACAAAAGGTGGCAACTCGTGACTTGCACATACCGCAACTTCCACTTATTGCGGCGTGGGCTACAGAGCTCCACAACCTTCCCGCCTCCCCCGATGGCATGACCAATTGCCAATTACGCTGCCTGAACAGGTTTGTCAATCAAAAAGAAAAAAAATTACCCAGGCAATGTGAACGAGGTGATGGTATTCCGGAAGATCCCTCTTCACCGCAAACACTAACGACAGTCCTCAAAACTATGTGCTCAAATCCCTCGCAACCTGCTCCTGCAATGTGATTTTCGGGTACTATATATTTTTAACCAAATCCTCCTGCTCATTCAAACACAGCCGCGGAAATTTTGTTTGCTGAAAAGTGTTGCAAATCGTTAACTCTTGACAAAGATGCGTCTGCTCTTGGCATCGAAAACCCTGAGCGTCAATACTTCAAATCAAGATGACGCAACAAATATTTGTTTCCTTTGATCCTACATAAAATTGACAAAAACATGTCAAAACCAGAAAAATAAACTCTTCACTTGTGCAAGCAACAAAAAACAAAAGTAACAATGCACTCAATGACGAACGTGTTTCAGCGTCACTTCAAAACAATTCAAACAGGGGGAGCTACAGAGCGTCACCTATCTATCTCCGACAGTATTCTTATTGCCTCAATCTACGGAACGATTCCGCACGCCGTGGCTTGGCCTTTGTCACCACATTCACCAAAACAGTCATTCGCAATCTCAACATGACACGATTCGATGGCATTTTATTAACAGCAGAGGTGCTGCTACACAAACTTTGTTTAAACCTAGGCACTCAAGTGTGCTACGAAATGTTTGGACACCTAGACAAAAAGTGACATGTGTAAAAATCAAAATTGAAAAAGATATGCAGAAACTACTACATATAATTTTTTTTTGCATACCATCTAACACTGCTTCGCTCCGACGCAGGTGCACTAAGCGGTGGGCTTTCGTAACGTGCCTGTGTGGTTTTTTCTTTTCTTACTGAATATTCAAAAAGGCAGCACAGGCATCATATCTTATGCATACTTTTATTTCCCCGCGCTGTATTTTCTTATTTTTAGAATATGCTCCAGCGCTTCGCAGAGTTCTGGCTACTGCGCACGAGCACGACCAGGCAGTGTGGAATAGATTCTCTCGGCATGTCTATTCTACTGCCGTACCTCAACCATCTACTGAAAAAGACAAAAAAAAGTGTGGTCTGGCAGCAGCGATGGCATAAAAATAGACACTCTCAACACACTGCCCACGTTTCAGCTTTCTTACTTCCGAAATCTACCAAGGTGCATGCCTTGGTAAAAGACTATTTCTGAAGTCGAGAACACAACTCTAGAGGAAAAAAGAAAACCCGGTTGCAGACGTTGCCGTTCCACACTTTTTTGCACTATGACTTCGTCAAGAATCCACAAAGCCCCAGGTAGGAACATCTCCAACCCAGCAAGCCATTTCAGCCAGCCATCAGCAGCAAGACTGTTTAGCTTCGCACACACAGATAAGGATGCCGGCTGGACAATGCATGACCCGTTGAAAGGCATTGATGGAAAATAGGCTGAGGAGAAGCAAAAACAGAGATTGTAGAGCAGACATTTGGCAAGCGGTCGTACATCGCAGGGCTCACCAGCCGAGACTGGCACACCAAGTTTTCGTCTCGGTGAAGCGCCGCAGGCTTTTGCCGAGGCACCTGCGCTCCTCCACGGCTGCTGCAGTCCAAGTCGAAGCAGCTGGCAAGCAATGCTAATGTCCGTCACCCTCGGCTCTGACGGACCCTCCACACAAAGTTTAATAAACGCAACCGTCCACAAGATTTTTCTGAAAAACATTCCACCTCCGCGCACTCAGCATCACCGTTAACACACCACCAACACCTCTACCGCCAACACATTCGACGTCCGTCCCTGACCAAGCTTGCTGAGACTGCACACAGTTTCGAACCGACAACATTCTCGAGATCTTTCTCTATACAAAAAAGAGGTGCTAATATTTCTCATTTTTCGTTCCTCGTTTTGTAATTTTTTTTGGCAGCTGGTTTATGACTTTGCGAGACTCCGCCGAAGTAGCGGAGGTTGGTGGGTGGGGTAGAAGAAAAGCCACAGTGACAAGAGCAGCGAAGAACTCGCATTGATTTCTTTTGGTGCCATGTCAAAGGAAGGTGGGCTCGGGAAAACTCAGATGAGGCGCGGCCGTTTGTGCGTAGGCGAGTCCATCACGACATCTCCCGGGCTCGCGTTTCCCGGAGCAGTCCGCTTGCGCGACTCAACGTGGCGTGCGAACTCCTCCGCTATGAAGCTGCTCAGACTGGCCGCGGTGCGGAACCCGGGTGGCGACACGCTGCCCGCGCTGTGACTTCGATTAGAGCCCAGAGCTGAAATGGAAGTCAACATGCCAGATCAGTTTATTGGCTTGAGACTAGAGACTGTGGTGAAAGTATCTGCAAATTAATGGCACTAATATGCAATAACTGTCCTCTCTTAAAGGCACACTAAAGTGAAACAATGAACTGATTTAAATTGATGATGCCTTCTTTGAGAACACTAATGTCATTAATCTTATCATAAGTTCTAGATTGGAGGAGAAATTCAAGGCCAGAGTTCCATCTTAAAATTTCACGCCGAAATTTGCGCACGTGACAGCATAAACTTCGAAGTGTACTTGTCGTGCTTTGCCGACATTGGCTCGACGAAGTTTCCCGAAACTTGCTATGTATAGTGTTCGGCTCCACCAATGGGCAATGTGCTTCATTTTTATCTATTAGGAGCTACGAAGGCCTTAGCAAACACCCGTCAAAATTTATGACGGCACGATGATTGGTGCAGGAACATCAGGGTGGCATCCCCACCCACATTTTCTCTTCGCGGGTCTTCTCGCAGCGAGCCTGATCAATTTTGGAACAGCGAAAGTGTGATTTGCTAATAGAAAAATTTCTTTCCTCCTTAGCCTGTCTGCAACACAGGGTGTGCACGTAAAGCAATGAGAACAAATCTGGTAAAAAAAAAAAAAATTTGCTGATTCGATCGGAACATATCACTTAAGTTCTTCGAAATAGTTTATACACCGAGTATTATACGACTCCTGCACTAGACGGCTCCCTCGAGGTCGGCTGCCGTGACCTCTTTCGGAAGTCTCAGTGACAGCGCGTCGGATGGTGGGAACACCGGCACAACATCCGATTTTTCAGGCTTCTCTCTAGTTTTGGAAACGGAAAGAAGTCTGCTGGATGCACATCATGGCTGTTGCCTAGCTCTGACACAGTCCCAAATGAACATTCTTTTTGCAAGACCCAATCTCAGTTTATGGACGTACGCCATACAAATTTTAAAGGTTAGGGCATCATACACATAAACTGTGCTTTTACTCATACAGACAACAGCTTCAGCAGTATTCTAGAATGCGCAATGTCTCTTACGTAATGTCACTTTACCAGGCAATGGCGGCAACATCTGGTGACATCACTTAATCAGAATGTCTCTCGACACCTTTTTTTTTCTGTTTTACCAGTGTTCCTGTAAAAAAAAAACAGGCTTAAAAAGACAACACACTCGCGATCCCACCAACACCAATAACACCAGCAGTAAACTAGAATTCACAAAGAGGCTGCAATAGTAACTTCTCAAGTTTGCCTTGTGGGAATCGAGGCTAGCCCGCAGCCGTTGCGCTGGCTTTTTCACTTATTTCTGCCGTCTCCATGTCCTCACATGACTCTCCCCTTTTCCGCGGTCCGTCGGCGCTGGGAGTGTGGGAGTCACGTTAATGTTTGTCACGCAACACCGGTTCGTACCGGATGTTGACGGTGGCCGCGCTCAAGTCTCCTGCGAGCGCACCCAGCGGAAGTGAGAGATCCTGACTGGTCAACGAAGGGTGAGCACGCATTTCTTTTCTGTCATTCGGCTCCCTATGTTTGGAGCTTGCTCGGACTCGCCAATGGTGCCTTGCGCCCACGGTGAACGCTTGCCTTTCGTTGCCCCTTTTGAACACACGCCGTAGAGCGGTGCGGTGTGTTCGTGCGTGGTCGCACTACGCCGATCTGTACCCCTTGAAGCCAAAGCGAGTGGAGTTTGCCCTCACTAAAGCAATCGGGCCCTGTTGTCCTCAATTGTGAGAGCCCACAGGATAGTCGCGAAGGCCCGTTTCCCTTAGTGGCGTGTAATCACGAACCATTTCCCCCACGGAGACATGCTCGGGGTATCCTTTGTGTTGTACTTTTCGCCTGTGTCGTCGATAAGCCTCGTTTCTTTTCCCGCTGCCTTTAGCAGCGGGTGCTGTACTGCATATTTAGTGTTGCCGCAGGCCATAAAATGTTTCGTGCGACTTGTTTGAGAGCAGTACTGCGTACTAGCCATGCTGCGCTCTTCGCCTTGGCTGTCCGAATGCGCATGTACAGTGGCGTTAAGTCAGGCGAGGCGACGGTGAGCGCGGCCCTGTTGCTCGCCAAGACCGAACCCACGCTAGTGGCCATACACCTTTGGGATAAGTGTACACTACAGTCTATTTCATATCTGCCCCACCAGATGACATCACATGTCTAGTCACCATACCTGTGGTAGGCTAGTAGTATTTGAACCAGCCTATGAAACACCATTGAACACAACATTTTATGTGCAAATAAGCTATCCTTGGTGCTTGAAAACACAGCGGCAATACAAAATTAACATCCGCGAGGCCGAAACGACAGTGCAGCAATGTAGACAACCGGGAATCACTGTACTTCCGCAGACTTTAACACATCCATCCCTACGGACAGATCGTCTCGTTTGTCAACTATCAGATTACACAGGAACATGCAATGGACAAACATGAAGTTATTTTTCAGTATACAGAAATTCTTCAGTCAAAAGGCTAGAACACAAGCCCACAAGTGCAATGCGAGCAAATGGAATGCCACTTTTTCTAGCTCCTAGAATAAATAGAGACATCTGCAGTGCAAAAATGCACAGCCTTTGAGATTGGATTGAAGAAGTACTTGTGTATTTAGTCATGACTGAGTGGACAGACGTACGGATCAACTGCAACTTAAAACATTCGAGTACCAAGTTTCTACTAAACTAAATGCAAGCAAGCTCATGGCTGAGGGACACATTCTGAAACTGGTGCCATGGTCTCAGTTAAGGTACTTAGGTTGAACTAAACACCAAGCCATTGAAAGACAAATGAATTGGTGTGACCCCAAGAAGAGTGAGTCAGGGAGCCTGGGAGCAGAGCAAGCATGGGACCGGGTTCGATAGGCGATACGTGGGAGAAGCCTTTGCTCTGCAGTAGGTGTTGAGGAAAAACCCACCTGACGAAATGGCCAGCGCCTCGCGGAACGTGTCGAGGTCCACGTCGTCAGGCTCCCCGGAGCCCACGACGGCTGAGCGTTCGCCAGCGGCAGTGGGGCCCAGCCTCGACGAGTGTGGCGCAGTAGCCGCCACCCGGGGTTCGAGGGAGAGGCGTGGCCGAGGCGAGGCCCATCCGTGGTAGTGGTGGTGGTGGGGTGCCTTTCCGCACAGGAAAGCGACCAGGTCTTCGCGCCGAATGTGGCGCTTGCGCTTCTTGGCCCACGCCAGAAGGTCCTTGTTGCGGCGCTGGTAGCCCGACTGGAAGCCCAGCTCGCTCACCCGCCGCTGAGCCTCTAGGCACTCTGCATGACATGCAGAAATTTGATCGACCAACGTTGGTCATGCTCAGTTGCACCGCAATGTAAAATGGTATTCACACAAAAAGTATGATCGCGGAAGAATCAAAACATGTTCAGGCAAAGACAGCGCACAAGTTGTCGGTTGTACTGCTTGTCTATGTCCTTTCGGGCTGTTAACCGTATTCGCATGAGGAGTTAAAGGGGCCGTGAGGTGTTTTCCAAAAATTTTCAACTACATGTGTACTCAGAATCCTGGCTGTCCGTTAAATACTATAACTCGACTCGTTTTGAGCGTCTGCTCTCAGTGAATAGCTAAAAAAGCGCAATTACCGTTTCCCAGCACATGTTCCCATCCGTTTCCCAGCCCATGTTCCCACCTGTTTCGCAGCTCATGTTCCCATCAACTGTGCAGCCGTCACTTTAAGACAACCAATAAAAAGTCTCTCAACGTAGTAATGTTTTTGAGCCTTAGTTGATCATGGTTAGTAGCATCATACTTATATACATCTAAGATGTAAGAACACTGACACAATCAATCATCTGCTTTGTTACATATGTGTTCGTTATGCAACAATACAACTGCGATGTGTGTTGCACATATTTTGCAGTCTATTAGTGCGATACCTGCATTAGAACAAAGTATTTCCACAACAACCTAGTCGACAGCATTCCCAGCTTCCCTTAAAGGAGGACACTAAAAGCAAATATTAAGTGAATCTTGATTGCTGAAATAGTGGCACAGAAGCCTTGTAGTATTACTTTCATGCCAAGGAAGTGCTTATTCTGAAACGACGTTTTAGCGGTCCACATCGCGTTAGCGCGCTTCAAATCCCCTGCGGTACGTCTCCCGTCACTGCTGCCATGCACAAGGTTGCCCGGCTTTACTGCTCGGCCACCGACACTAGTAGCAGCAGAGTGAAAGCAGGGGGAGTGACAGCAGCAACAACGGCCATTAAACAATTTTCTACCATCTCCAAGGCCATGGTTCTGCTCGCTTGGTTCAACTGCGCTCCTCTAGATGGCACCATCTATCTAGCTTAACAAGGCAAAAATAGAATTTTTGAACCACTTGCACCATTCCCTGCAGTAACGCCGGGTGGTTCCTTTTTTTACATTACGCCTCTTGATGCAAGGAAGGTTCTTTCTTTATTGCAGCTAGTTTGATTACTAGTGATCGATTGTAGTGGGACACTCTGACCGTCATCGGGATCATTTCCACAATGTCCCACTCATGGGGCCCGTTGGGTAGTACATTTAGCTTAATTTCTTGGTAAGTACGACACTGCAGTTGATATCTCCATTTTAGACATTGTCATATATTGAGCCTTCACTCTGACATAAATTGTAGTTTGCCTTTAGTGACCCTTCAACACGTGGTGGTGTGAGCAGCCATGCATTGTTTAATTTTTTTTAAATAAAATGAAAAAAATCATGCAGAAGTACAGAGGCAGGTACTTTCTTATGTATTTTGCAGCAACAGCTCACCTGGTCAAGGATGCAAGAAAAAAGTAAATGTAGAAAAAAAACTATGCATGAAAGGGTTTTTTCCCCCGTGCATGTTTCCGGATCTGCAGCTTTTGGAATCAATGACAATGCTATGGCGGTTGCTCTTCCCGACGTCCTTCTCTATTTAACAGCTGTGTCAATTGGCACGTCAAGCTTGGAAACACGAGGAACACAGCTTCGCTATCTCGCAGGTGTGCTATTTGCAATATGGATTTATACAGGCAGTTCATTTAGCTTTTGCAAGCACTGCACATAAGGAACCTTCAGATGTTGCAGTGCAATCATTGTTATTCTCAAATCTTTAAGAACTTTGAGTCTCCGGCCAAGCTGATTATAAAAAAACAAGGGGTTTGCGGCACATACAGCTCAGATATGAAAGGGAACGCTGAATTCATGCTTGAACAATGATTACCCATGATTTGTGCATACGAAACTAGACAAATTTATTTTAAAGAACGGCATTTTCTTCGAACATTTAACGTTACAAACACTCCTGGTGTTTGCAAATATGTCACGGCCTTGCGAACCTTATTTTAGATTCCCTTTCATATCGCTCGCGACTCCATTGTCACCACACTCTCTATGTAAACAATGGAACACGTTTTTCAAAAGTGTTGGAATGAAGTTCCCTTATGGGAAAGAGAAAGTAACACAGAGGCAACGAGACATTCACTAAAGGGGTCAAGCATTTATAAACTAAGTTTATTGTTAAATGTCGCTCTTCAAGTGGCACCTGCAGTTTTATTGTGCACGACTGCAAAGAGAAAAACTGACTATTGTAAAATAATGTGAATAAGATGCACTTAGCGCAGCACACAACGAAGTACCCAAGGAGGATTAAAATACGGCTGGAGTGTATGATGTCTCATGATAATGATATGTAGGGTTTAACGTACCAAAACAACCATATGATTATGAGAGACTCAAAATGTCTCAAAAGTGAAGCCAAGAATCCGCCAACTTAGCAGAGGCAAGATAAAACATTACATTGTAGTAAAAAAAAAAAAGCAGCTTCCTTCCTTTCCTCCCATGCCCTACTAGTTTTGAGAAGATCATTTGTTAGGACCATAGAGTTTTCTAAACATACACAAGAGGGAACTCTCGCGTGAGCGTCTATGGGGGCTGCAACGCGTGGCGCTTCTGCAAGTATGGGAATTATAGGTAGGACTTGAATTTGCCTGGTCTTCGAACTTGACATTCTACTTGGCTTCCGAGTGGTTTGAAGCTTCTTTGTCACTAGAACAACAATCGGCAAATGTTCGGCAGATTACGCTTCACCACCTTCACCTTTCAGGATCACCATCTCAAATCAGCTCACGTAGTTCAAAACGGTTTGTTCTTTCATTTGAAACAAAACCAAAACACAGTAATAAACGAAGCCACACGTGCGTTTGCTGCCCGCAAGCGCCAAGACCAGGCAAATCTATGTAATACCTATCATTCCCATGGTCGCTGAAGGATCGCAGTGCCAGAGTCCCCTTTAGTTAATTTTAGGAAACTACGTTGGGCCACATAACGCTCAAGGTGTCCCCTTTTGTTACAAGTTTCCTTGAGCAGCATCAAAGTCTAGGCAAATTTCATTGCAGATCCAACTCATCAATGCTCTTCTGGATAGCCTACTTTTACCTGCCACAACAATCTCTTTATTTCAAATTAGCCGAGCATTCGCATTAACACAACAAAGCCACTTGATCTCATCAAAGTGGGCACCATTCAAAAGAGCATGTTTCCAAAACAAAAGTGGGGTGGGGGGGGGGGGCAAACACCGTGGCTTGCTGGAGAACTTACTCTTTTTTTCGGGTCTTCTGCTCCCCCTTGGCAACAATGCCGTTATACAGCGCGCCGCTCGATCGCGATCGACATCAAGCGTTCTCTGCCGTGATTGGCTCCTTCGAGCGGCTATCACAAAGGGGCCAATCACCATCGCGGAATTCGGTCTTGATCCAGCGTGATCGCCATCAAAAAAAAGTGACCGCGTCGCTACACCAGTTGCGAAACAAAACCTTCTGTTCTTGCGCGCATTCGACTTATATCGGCATCTGTTATCGCTACGTCGGCACTCACACGTCACGTTGATTAACGGTGTATTGTTTCTGCCCACTATCTGAAAACTTAGTCTGGGTAAGAAGTGACAGATAAACCTGAAAACACCGCCCGCGAAAGTCGCGTCAAAACGGAACGCCAGAACAAGACCGCGTTTGAGTCACGTGACGCGATCACAGACAAGCAGTATTTTACTAAAAAAAAAAAAAACGCACACTGCGTGCAGTTCGTACCTTTGTAGAGATTGGTGACGCTAGACGCAGCGTTCTGGAAGGGTACCCAAAGCGAGACACCGTGCTGGCGATCTGCGTCAAACAGAATTTTTATTGTTACCAGCGTTCCGTGTTTACCAGAACGCACAAAACACACAGTCGACTTTGGAAGTTTCAGGGACCACAAGCCACGGCAAAAAAAAAAAAAAAAAAACAAAAAACCTTCGAATTTTCCTGCGATTGGCGACCACATTCGGTCGCCAATCGCAGGTGTTGCATATGTTGTTCCCAGCGTTCGCTTTGTCGGCGCCGAAAGTTTCAAGGCCCTAGAGAACTCGAAAAATTTCAGCAATTCGCTATAAAATGTACGATATTACATGTTACGGACGCTTGATTTTTCAGAGTACAAAAAAAAAAAAAGCGTACGGTCGGCACCGAAAGTTGTAGGGGCAACTAGGCTCGTACTGCGGCCAGCCGGGATTCGATCGGGCAACCTTCGGATCAAGAGCACTGAAACCACTAGACTAACTTGCGGGTCTAAACCCTTCACTCAGAATACAGAAGCTATGAGGGTTTCTACGATACGAAAAATATTTCCCTTGCTAGACACGCCCAAGAGTCGTAGAACAAGCGGCGCGTCGACGATAAAACTGCCGACGATACACAGATGTGCTGGGACGGAACGATACTTCATGCGCGCTCATTTGCGCCTTTCATCTTTTTTTTTTCTTTCTTACGAGCGCTACAATCTTTGAATATCGTGACACCGAAGGCAGCTGCTACATTTAAAAACTCGTTCCAACTCGCAACGCTCGGTATCGCCCGTACTACCCAAACAAAAACTTCGCAATCAGACCCTACACGCGAGCGCTCCGGAAATGAATTAAAAACTGACAAAAACAAGGCTATCACGGGAACAGCGTCAACGTGGGTGATTACCAAAGAGAGGAATAGAAAGGTTGTAGAAAAGAAAAAAAGAGAGTACTATTCCCATTACACCCCCTTCAAAAACCGGTACAGAAAAAAGAAAACACCTTCCCTTATCTCGTAAAACAAGCTCGTATTTCAGCGGGCGGACAGATCGTACTCTCGCTAAGCCTAGCTCGAAGAGGTCGTGGTTTGTCACAGTACGCGTCCTGACCGAATCGCGTTCGAAGAAGGCACCTTTCCCAACCGAGACGCGTTCGAACAAGTCCGAGAGAGCGTCGGGCGACGCTACGCCGCGAAGTCGTGGATTACCTTTGTACAGCTGAGCAACGCAGGTGGCGGAATTTTGAAACAGCAGCCACAGCTTCTGAGACGAAGTGTCGCGTTCGTTTTGTATCTGGCTCTCCAAATCGGGTGCCCTTTCGACTTCCTCGATACACTGCCTCTCCCAGCTGGTAATCCACGAGTCCAGCTCGTCCCCTCGTTCGGCCATGGTGTTCCTTTTTGTCGTGGTTTTTCGGTCCCGAAGTCGTTTGATGGAGGCAGCTTTTTTTCACGGACGTCGCACCAGCATCGGCGAGAAACGGTCGGTTTCGTACAGGTTGTTCGCCCCGCAGAGGAGCGGCGCCTACAGGGCGCCGTTCGAATCCACAAAACGACAACGTTTACCGTCTCTTCACGCCTCCGTTATCTTTTCGGTCACTCGTGTTCGAAAGAATTTTTTATTTTATCACGCACGAATCCCTCGAAGGGGCGGGCAGGCCACGGGAATTTACGGCTCTCTCCAGGGGCGTCTCGGGAAGCACAATTTTCTTTCTTTCGCAAACCCCCACCCCCGTCTGGATTCACGAAGCTGTAGTCCACACACGCGCGCACACACACACGGAGACGACGCCTTTTCGACACGGCCACCAGCACAGGCAACTACGCACAACGAAGGAAGAGCATAGAAGAACGAGCCAGTTGTCGGGCTCGTGCCGTTCTGAATGCAAAATGACGAAAAATGGCTGGCCAAGGGGACGTCTAGCGACGGGTTAAGCAACTATCGAAACGGTGAAATTAAGTTTCACCACTCAACCGCCTGGATTTAGACACAAAAAAAAATAACATTTATAGAAATTTTTAACAACAACAGAATAATTCAAACGGACTTTTTGCGTATAAAAATTGCGTTCCATTGAGTGCTCGCGCATGCGCTGATGTGAAATAATCGGCTCTCTGAATGAGGTGCACGTCTGAAACACGTGAATATGATGCTTACCGCACGGTTATATGCTGCGAAAGCGTAAACACAAAGTAATCGCGCCTGATTTTGCAGTGCGAGATGTTCAGATCTAGTTTGCGCGAAGTGCATTGTGAAATAAAAGCCCGGATATTTGTTGTTGCGCTGCTCGTATCGGCCCTTTCGTTTGCTGTCATCGCGCCAGCTGGCTTTTTAGATAAACAAAAAAATCAAAATCAAAACTTGGCATTCAAACGACAACGCGCAGTCTAACAGAAAATAGAGAGCTCGCCTAACAGTCGACTGCAAATGCTGCTGCCAAGCGAGCGTTACTCTACAAACTTTTGAAACGTTGCCTCGGTGCGTTTCTCACCAGCTATGTTCAACATTTTGCGTGCATTCGTTGTGCCACCGGTCCACGAGGACATCGGAATCGGTAAGCTCAGTAGCTTCCCGTAATGTTTCTTGATGCATTTGCCCCACTACCTCCTTTTTTTTTTCTTTGCCCCCATGTTAGTTTTACAGGATGCATCCAGGTTGAAAAAAAAAATCTTCTCCAGTGGAAGCTTTTACTATGCGTCAATGGCACTAGTGAAGTCGTTGTTGCTTCTGTCCACTAATTATAGTTTCTTCGCTAAGCTATAGTATTAGCGTATTAGCCGAAGACGATTTATCATGCTCCTACTAAGATGTCGAACGCGGCCGCCCTCTTTTTAGAACACGGTTTCATTTCTGAAGCTGTGTGTCATAGGGTGATTTCGTTTAAACATACTTCCAGCAGGTTTTTATAAGCCTATTTCTTGCGCTTCGTGCCACTCGCCCCACCCTTTTTTTCAGTGGAAGCTTTCACAACGCTCTAACGGCACAAGTGAAACAACGTTGCTTTTTGACTAAGTTGGAGCAAGTCCTTCATAATAGTGCAAACACAAAGCTTGCGTTTGCGTTCAATATCATTATGAATGACAAGTGAAGCCATTGTTTTCCTCCATTCACATAATGCTGGCTACCTAAATTTTAGCCGATCGCTGACGTTTGTATTGTGCCCCTACGAAAATGTTGACAGAGTCGCCATTTTTCGAAGGGCACGGCTTCACTACTTCAGACAAGATTGTCACTCCAGCCTACTTGGTCACAACACACCTCCAGCGGGTTTCTGTAATCCTACCCATCGTGCACCGCGCCCCCCTTGCTTTCCACCATCTTGTTTACTCTGATGTTCCGTGTGGACTCGGGTAGCGCAGCGCAGCCGCCAAGTAAAGCAGTTTGTCGTTGGATGGTATCCCCTGTCTGGGGGGCTGACACCAGCAGACATTGGGCGGATTGCGAGCAAGCACGTCAAAGTGACCGTGTCCGGCAAAAACTCCTTGGCACCTGGCAAAGAACGCGCGAACAGCAGCGCTCGATCTAAGCGAACGCGTGAAAGCAGCATCTCGGAACCCGCTATGAACAACGCTCTCAGCCCCAATGACAAAGACAGCAATCGCGCAGACCTTCCCGAAGCGATGGATACGCAAGAAGGTGGTATGAGTTCTCTACAAAACTACCCTTTTTTTTCGTGTCGCGTAGGGCGCCCGAATAGGAAGGGGGGGGGGGGGTTAGTCCCCCCCTCCCATGCTGTGTTTGCAATAGCCGCTAGCTGTGCGCGACTCTCCGGTGTTTTCTTGTGCGTGCCGGTCAGTGAAATGCGTCGAAAACTGACGTTCGGAACGAAGCTCTTGCCGAGATGCAAGAGGCGTGATGGACGATGAAGAGAAGGAAGAAAAAAACAACAGAAAAAGTGGTGTCCCCCAGTTCCGCATGCAATGTCTCCGTATCCCCCCGCTTTTCTTTTGACGTCTCATTGCCGGTAACGCTGGCTCACTGCCGGCGGCAGGATGCTTAGGCCTAGGTTAGGCTTAAGTTGTCACCGAATCGAGTTTGCCGGGGAGACCTGCGATTAGGCGGCCCGTAATTGCCGTTACGCGACGAGGAAACGTCGCCGGGCACAGGTTTCGGGTTCGATTGCGGGAAAAGTTCGGCAGTAAAGTTCCGGGGAGGAGGGTACGCTGTCGTGTCTCTGTGATACGGTGCAGTTTTGAGGCAAGTGCGACGTCCCGGCTCGGTTGTCTCAGTTTTCATTCGGTTTTCTGTTCGCGGTTAGATCTTTCTTCTTCGTCTGGTAGCGGTGGCCTCTTTCATTTGGAAGGGTTAATTGGTAACCGTCGTAATGTCCCCTCCCCACTGCCTCTCAATCCCCCTGTACAGCTGTGTCTAATGTAGTACTGAAATTACGGGAAACGAACCCTTTAACGGTTAATCGGATAACGTTAGATATCGTTTTTTTTTTTTCTCATAAGACACTTCGCCTGAAAAGTACTGGCGAGAACTTGGTAGCGATGGTTTAGCGGTAGGTGTTGTCCTTTCGGGTTTCTTTAGTCGTAGTGGGCGGCTTATCTTTTCGCGCTGCACCGAAAGCGTTTTTGCGAGAAAAACGCTAAATAAACAGCAATGTGTGTATAGGGGCGAAAAAAAAGAAAACGTAACCGTGCTGTTTTTGTGGGGAGTGCACGCCCTTACAACAAACTAAACCATGTTTAGGGCGCATCGCGTGGAAGCTCGAGACGGTGTGACGCCGACGAAAAAAAGAAAATAAAGATCACGGAAAAAATCGTGAGGATGAGGCGCTGCCGCGATTTTTCGCGACTCCTTCGATGAGCGGTGGCTCGACAGTGCAAACATGACCGGTGCTGCCGAACGTAAGCTTCGAGCGGCGGCGATTCGTGCGTCATTTTTTCGCTTATTTCTCATTTTTTGAACGTCGATTTCTCTTTGCGTCCGCACTGTTTAACGATTAGGCAAAAAACACAAACCGTGCCCTACCCCCCGTCTCGCATTGGAACAACCTTTCAATGTCGCCTGTGCGTGGGTAGTGTGCAGGCTATGTAGTCGGTGTAGTCTATGCAGTCTATGTAGTCGGCGCTACGTTGGTGTTGACGCCGCTCTCTTTCGAGGTGCCGTCTGTTTACTTTCTGTTCGACGATTTACGCGAAACCTAGCGTACCCTTGCCTAACCCTTTTTTGTTTTGTTTTGCTCGGGGCAACCCCCCCGCCCGCGATTCGGCGTGGTCGGTAATTGCCTTTGATTCGTCTCTGTTGCGTCGAGGATTGAGAACTGCGATGGTGACGTTGCGTAAAAACGGGGTTCCATCTTTGAAATGTTTGTTTTCGTGAGCATTATTCGAGTGTCAGGCTTTAGCGATGGTTTAGGTTGCAAACTCGGGTTATTTGTGTCTGGGAGTCCTTAGGGTTGTGAAAATTGCCGGACCTTCAATAGACTAGCATTTGAAACCCGAATGTTTTTTCCGCCTTAAGCCCCCATTTTGCTATGCCCACTGATGGTCATGTTGTAAATGAAAGTAACTCAGGATGAGATATAATTGAAGTACAGAGGTCAACACATTTGTCTGGAATGCTAGAACTGTATGCTCTAGCACATTACAGAATGTTTCAGCGCCGGGCATACTGATAAGTATTTGAGGTAGCCCATGCTAGCATACTTCGTTAGCGGCCGTGCATGCTACGATTTGGGCACTTTCAAACCGGGTGCAATCGGCAAATGTCATCAGTGCTGCCTGGAGTGCGCAGGTCCGATGTTCAAGACGGGTTTGTTGACTTCTGTACGTTTTTTTTTTACTCTAGACAGTCGCAGCAAAGCACTTGCACCTGCTAGGCAGTTGCAAATTTTATGTAAGCTTACAGAAGATTGTCTTATATATATGAAGTGCATATGAGTGTTTTGCTACAGTTTCGTTTAGTTGCACTGTTGCTGCACTGTTCGGGTTCTTTGGTTCCCAAAAGTTATGGCGGGATTGAAGGTCCGAAATGTTGAACTCGGTAGAGAGATTCGCTTACCAGCGTTCGTGAGATTTCAGTCCTGCACGCGACTCTTGTGGCACTTGTGTTCACATGGAGCCAGCACAAATTCCTGCTTGGAGCAAGTTTTCAGTCCTCGCTGTTGTCGTGCACTCTTGGAAAAATGCAGATTCGGGTACTCTTGTAGCTGCACATGTCATCTTAAACCGGTGTTGTGTGGTGCACGGCTGCCGTTTGTGAAGATTATCTCGTTGGCTATGGGCTCCCTGCTGCAGTGTCCTGAAGCAGCCAATCGGGATCGAGGAATTGGATCCAGATTAGGCCCTATCGTGATCAATTGACGATGTGAAACTGGTGTTACCCTCGTCGCTTCTCTTCAAGTTTCTGGTTCCAAGAATGCCAGTTATGTGCACGTTGCAGAACCTCAGGTGTTCAAAATTATTACGGTCTTCACCGTTACTATGGCCATCAGAATCCCTTTTCGTGGCTTTGGCAAATGAAACCCAAGAATGTGACATTTCTGCCATTTTGCGTTTTGCTTGATTTCCCAGCAAATTGACCGATACCTCACGCCAGGAAATGGTCCATTCTTGATTTTGACTTTTCATTTTTATGTGAAGTAACAAAATGCAAGTTTTTAGTGGATTAGAAATAGGCCATGAATATGCATTTCTGCATTTTAGTGGTTCGTTGTCTTAATTTCTGGTTTTTCATGTGAAGTGTTGCGGTGCTTGACATGCATGCCCAGTCTCTCCACGCTCGACAACAAAGCATGGCTGTGTGAAATGCAGAGCCTTATATTTTGCCGACTGAACTTCTCGCGTAGTCTCGATTCTCCGTCCACAGCGCTAATGTCGGAAAGGAACTCTCCAACACTTTTCCTACCCCCATTTTTACTCGTGGACTGCATAGACTGACGCACGGACAAATTAGCGCAGCAAGTTACGCAGTACAAAGTTATTCAATTTAAAAAATTCAAGATACAAGAAAAAAAATGCCTACCCTCAACTCGAATTTCGCGGGGTGACATGACCACATTTCATTCTCTGCTGTGACGTTGCAGGGGGCCTCCAATAACATGGGCTGAAAGCTCTTACGTAGAGGAAGCTCATACACCATTGTTGCCTGTTCAGTCAAATGTGTTAATGACGCTGTTGCTAAAGCAACATGGTGCCTGACCATGCCGTTTTGTTACGCGGTCGAACAGCTGGGTAAGGCTGGTAGAAATGAGCCTCCCCGACTTGTCAGAACTCGAGCAGGTCCTTTTGCTTCGGAGTGAGGCTTTACACGTCCTGTGATAGGCTGCGCTCATCGTCGTCATTTCCGCCCGCGTAGTTCAAGCGAGCGCCACTGTGTGCCGAAGCGGTCGGCAGCAATGAGGTGATTTTATTGCATGATTAAATTACTAAATTATATGATATTGGTACTTGGAACTATGCTAAAATTCTCCCCTGCCATTGGTCTACGCAAAACACATACAAAAAAACAGGTGCTTCTAAAGTGTTGGAGGGCCCCTTTAACAGGAGGAGTTGAAATTGTCAGCCACTGTACACCGCTACAACCCGAGAAAGAAAAGTAAATTCCACCGATGTTTATGAAGTTCAGGTTTCTGACCCAAAGGAGCACTGGCACAAATTGTTTTTTTTTTTGCCAATGGGTAGCTAACGACCCACTTATCAGGCTTGGGGAGCTGGTTAGCTTAAGCACACGAAGGTTATTTGGAGACAGTCGCAGTTTCGGTATCGGAGAGCGCCGAGTGAAGTGGGACTTCCTTTTGTGTAAACGTAGCCGGTTACTTAAGCAAAGCACACAAGACTGCATGCACATGAGCGCCATGTTGACGACTATTTTCAGCCAAGACCGTCCAAGGTGCTGTAAATATGCACGTAATATATAATGTAAATGTTAATATGTAACGTAAATATGATAAAAGAAAAGTGGATGAAATGATAACTTGCTGACAGCAGGGACCGAATCTGCAGTCTTTGAATGATGCGTTTGAGGCTCTGCCGACTGAGCTACAGCTGTGGTCGTTTTCCAGTCTACCTTGCGGGATATGTATGTGCATTAAACCTTTTAAGTGGTTGTCGGCACCGCTAGTAGCCATGACGGCAACTGGAGGTAATTCATGGTGAATGTGTATGGATTGGTGGCCACAGCTCTTCTCTCCAGATGTTGGTTCTTGCATACTTAATGAGTGCTGGACCAAATTAGCCTATTTCTGTTTTTTTTGCATTCCAATATCATCTATGGCATCTCTTTCTCTTTTTTTTTTGCTTGTCAACAGTTCATGGGGAGTGAAAATTCAGGCTTAACTTCCTAGCGCCTCGCCCTGCTCCGAATGAAGCAACGTAGCGACAAAGTAGTGCTAGTTTCGAAAATTGACAAGCTGCCAGAACTTTGCGTAATGTGTCGCGAGCTAGGAGACACGAGTGGGGCTTCCTTTTCTTTTCTATTGCAACATCGTTCATAATGCAAGTAAGTGTTACGTTTAACGGGTTAGTCCTTCGCAAGCGTATCCTGCTTGGCTTCGTTGCTCATATGCTCTCGTGTTTTATGTCCGTGCAATGCACTACTCGATCAAAATTAGTTTTTTTTTCTCTCGTCTGTACTGTCGCTTTCTCCATTTCTCAGTGTTGTCAGTGCTGCGGCGCATGTGAGAGGCTTTTAACTGATACCTCCACGAGTTTTAGTTTTCTGTAGCGGCAGCATAATTCAGGGGAAAAGCGTGCTTAAACCGGTGTATGGAAATGGCAGTGCACACAATTCAGGCGCTTGAAAAGTTAAAAAGTTGACTGATGCTCTCTCGGGACTTGGATCGGCTGCTATTGATGTGGTAGTCTGGTCTTTTATCGAGATCGCTTCTGATTTCGTGTTGCCATTCTTTTTCTGTTGTACTTTACTGTTGCATTGCGTTGTTCTGTGCAAGATTGTCGCAGTCGCCTGTAGCAGGAGAAGTGTTGCACCACTAAACGTGTGGGTTACGGTTCAATTCACAGCATGGAGGAAAAAGAAATGTTAAGAAAGAGCATTGCGAAACGCTATAGAAAAAAACGTAAAAATTGGGCACATTCACACGTCAACCATCACTTGTCCCCGTTTTCCCCAATAAGAAAAGGGCTCCCTTTCTTTTTGTTTGCACTCGTACTGTTTGGCATCCCTGATACCGAATCGAATTATTTGTGACGAAAAATTCCTGCGGCCGATAAGTAGCACATTGGTAGCTTTAGCTGACCATTTCGCATCGCTGATACTGAATCAAATTGATTAGTTGTGGCGAAAAATGCCTGCAGACAACAAGTAGCACATTGGAGTAGCTTTAGCTGACCATTTCGTACTTGGGGGTGAAGTTCCTTGAGAACTGCACAATGTTTGTAAACTGCCATCCAGAATCCGCAGCAAATGTAGACAGGTGCATTTGAATAAACCTAAACATCTGTAAACAACAAAAAAAAGGTTATCAAAAAGCTTGTTGACCGGAACAAACAAAAAGCAACAATGCCATAACACCGATTCGTTAATCGATGCATATGACAGAACAAAAGGTTAGCAAGAAGAAAACAAAAAGGCTCTTCACCAAAATAGAAGGCAATGATTCATGATTTGATGCACACTGCTTCACTCCATGTAAAGCATTGACTTTGTTGATATGTGCACAATTTTTTTTTTCTGAGATTGCAGGCAGTCTCTCAAAAGTACAGGGAATTGTCCTGTCGCGATTAGTCATTTCGTTGTAGCACGCATCGCCTAGAAATTACTCAGCCCGGACATGTCTATCCACATTTAGTTACGATTCGGGCTGAATCCGGGTAGCTGTGATAGACAAAAAAAAAAAAAAAAAAAAAAAGTTGCTTTACTTGTAACCCGTTGCGTGCCATTTAATGCCCACGTGTTCCACACAGATTCTTGCTTTAGGATGATGCCGGCAGTTAAATTTGAAGACACTTTCTGCACATTTCGTGGGCTTTTTGTTCTTGCTCACTTTTGAGTCTCGAAATTGCATTGGAAGTTCATAGAAAGCAGCAGCGGGTAACGAGAATATTGCATTGATCGTGTGCCTTGCGAGGCTGGCTGGTGATGTGTCCTGCATGCTCTGTGTCGTTTGCAAGCAGCCCTGGCCAACACTTTCAGGTTTACCTTCACAGAAATACTCCATAAAGTGGACAGCTTGACTAATGCCACCATAGCTCAATTGGTAGGATATACGGATATATCATTAGAAGGTTTTATGTTTGGTTCCTGCCGACAGCAAATTGTCTTTTAGTCCACATCAATATTTTGTGCTTGAAATCGTAAATGCTACACTTGAGCTTAAAGGGACACTAAAGTCCAATAACGATTTATATCGGAGTGAAAACTCAATGTATGACGTCTAAAACGATAATATTATCAACAGCAGTCCTCAACTTATCAAGAAATTGGGGTAAATGCATGAGAACACATGCGCCACGGGTAGGGCACTCACAAAATGATCCCGATTACGTCCGAGTTACAGCCTACGATTAATGACTAGTAATTGAACTAGCTGCACTAAATAAAGAACTTTGTTGGCAAAAGATTTTATAGAAATGCTGCTTGTTCGTTTCATGGAAAATAGAAGTGCCAGGCGTTATTATAGGGACTGGCACGAGTGGTTCAAAAGTTCAATTTTCGCCTGTTTAAACTGGACAGGTTGTGCCATCTCGAAGGCCATGGCAGGAAATTGTTCGATGGCCGTCGTTGCTGCTGTGGCTCCTGCTACTTTTGCTGTGCTGCTACTAGTGTCCGAGCCGGCATTGTTGTGCACGGCAACAGTGACGGGAGACAGACCGTGGGGAATCGGAAGTGTGCTAACGAGATGTGGACCTCTAAAACGTTTTTTTTATTGGCACTTTCTTGACACAAGTAGCACTACGAGGTTTCTGATCTGCTATTTCAGCAGTGAACATCTCCTTAATATTTGCTTTTAGTGTCCCTTTAATAGAAAAGATGTACATTGTACCTTCCTTGGCTTCATATTTCGTCAGTTTCACTAGGTTTTGTTAGTCTTGTTAGCCATTTCGTTTCATTAATTTACTACGTCACAGAGTAGAGGGCATGGGAAGAAAAAGCTCGACAGTGCTATTTGCTACACATTTCCTTAAGTGTTTCTGGTCGCATATGCCATGCTGCGCTGCTTTGTTCCTGCTGTCAAGACCTGCACATTTTTTAGTCTTGCGTCCACTGCCTTGCACATTAATGGCCATTGTACGCTTCTGCAATCTCTTGGGGAAGGCATCTGTGTGGGATTTTACCAGCAGGCAGGGTAGCTTAGCAGGCTGAGGTGCTGCGCTTCTAAGCTGGGGATCGTAGGTTAGATGGGGGCGAAATGCAGTTAGATGGCAAGTTGGGCCAGTTGGATTACGTTCATAATTGAAAATTTCATTGAAGCGCACTAAAAAAAACAGTTGATCTGTCCTTGTCAGCCTCCTCTGTCCATCTGTTTTTAGTGTGCTTCAACAAAATTTTCAAAAATGCCGTTGGTTCAAATTAATCCGGAAGTCTCCTACTATGCTGTATGGTACCTTGCGCTCGTATCATGGTTTGGGCATGTAAAACTGTTAGGTTAGTATTATTACTGGTATCGTGCATGTGTATGTGTTTGTGTGTACACTTGGAACAATGGGGCAAGTTTTACTATTGCTTGGTAATGTTTCCTTTGTAAGGTTAAAGGGTTTAAGCAGCAGCACATAGAAAAATAGTTAGAGCTCTTTCATTGCTTTCCTGCTGTCTTAGTATCTGCTTACGTTGATTATAGTTTGGTAATGATACACTAGAGGGAAGTCTGGCACTATTGTCTACAAAAGCTGCAGTGCATTGTGCTTCAGCCAGCGTGGTAATGAGTGATACATAGCTTTGCATGATTGTTGTTCTTTTTGCCTTTGTGTGGCCTGCAGCCGCATTGTCGCCTTATGGAAGTTCGGCAAGTGTTTAACAGTTGCAGTTTGACCCTTTCACGCTGACCAATCCCAACCAGGTCGCAAAGTTCACGAGCCACTTCTGATTTGAAACAACAGCCAAAACACAATTAGCAAAGACTGGTTGAATTCGCGTGCTCCCCATCATTCCCATGGGGGACTGACCAACCACAATGCCAATCGTCGTCGTCCTGACCACAGAGAACTTGCACAGATGTGCTATCCAATTACGTACGCTCATTTCTGTGACTTGAAGCACTTCAGATGTGCATTTCAGATGCTTCTTTCTCCTATACTGACACATGGTCGTATTCCTGATTCTGTTTCAAATATTTAGTTTTTTAGTCCTGAAAAAATGTCATCAAAGATTCTAACTTTGCTGCTTAGGGGAAGATCATATTTTAAGCAGTATCTGGGAATCCTTAGTTTTCTATATGCATGGCATTTACATTAGCACAGAAAAAGGAACTTGTTCGAAAGACAACTGAATCGCACGGCTCTCGTACATGCGTGACGAACAAGTACGTTGGTGTTCGATGGGCAGAGCTTGTACTTATGCTTGGGTTGTAACAGATTAGTAAATATAATGAGAAACTTTGCTGCCAGCACAATTGTTGGGTGTTCAAGCGAGTGTGATGTCTTTCTTGACGGCCGTTCTCTCCCCTTTCGTTGCAGATGACCACGCAGCGGTCCAGCAGCAGCCGCCTCCCCCACAGCCGCCGCAGCCGCCACCCTTAGCGGCTCCTCAACCTCCGCCGGCTCCGATTGCCGCGCCGGAGCCGCCGGCCTTCAACGCCGTCTCCAACTTGGCACAGGCCGGCGCAGACGACGATCCGATGGGCGGTGGGGGGGCTGGGACGCGTCTGATGGAGCCCGCGGAAGAGCCGATGGAAGAGGAAGACGAGGCTCGTCCGGGGGCTACATTTCGCTTCGTCGTCCCAGAGTTCTCCCGCCTCAAGGAGTCCCTACTCAGCCCACCTACCTATGTGCGCAACTTGCCGTGGTGAGTGACGCTGTCGCGGTGAATCAGCATGCTTCTATAGGAAATATTAAATTTAGCAAGGGTTAACTTCCGGGATAGTTGGTACATGTCCTGAGAGAACATGTTAGTACATGTCCTGAGTACCCACAAAGACAGGACATGACCCCCGTGTGTGTTCTCCTTCGTCTTCTCTACTCTTCATAACTATCTGTGCTGAACTGTTATGGGAACTGTCGGATAGTGCAAACTTTAGGGATGAGAGAGACAAGAAAATGTGATTCGTACAAGAGATAGCTTCCAACTTAATTTTTATTAAAGTATCAACTAGCCCAAAGAAGCACTTTGCTATGTTAGGGGAAACGCTGGATGCACGACACCCCTTCGGGGACAACTCCCTACATTGGGCTATTCACTCGAGATGAACTGGTTTGGTCAAGACATGTCATTGGGCTCATGTGCTGTTAGTTACCGCTTGGAACAGTGCTCGTTTTGAGATAGTGACGGACATGGAATAACGCAGGGCACAAAACAGCGCTGAACACGCCATTGCTGGAGGTATGTGTAATTTTATGGGCATTTGTGTCTTAGACAACCACTCTGTCTTTGATGTGATTAGTGTAGTTGCGTTAACTGGGTGCGCTTTGCCATAAGTATTAGATCCAGGGATGTGCTCATTAGAATCGATTCTCCAATGAACACAATGTTAAAATCATTTTTTGCATTGTTGATGTGTGGCGCTGATCACAAAGACCACCAATGCCAGGCGGGCACCAACCAGAAGCACTCTTCTTGTTATGTAATGTTGTATGCGACCTACTTTTTCAAGGTAAGCTAGTGACAGGAAATTGTTACCCTCAGCATTCCCAAATCAACATAGTGTTCCCTGTGTACAGTGCTAAATAATGTCTTGTGTATTGTCATAATTTCAAGGCATGTTCCTTTACACCGACTCTTGTGCCTAAAATAAATGTGCAATGCGTTCGCAGATTGACCCATTGACCTTGCCGTTAATTCCAAATGGCAGCTATCCTTTTTATTTGCATCTCGCAGTCACCGAATTTTATGGTTGTGTGAATATTTGCAATGTCGGCTAATAAATCTCTTTGTATCTCGGTTCACTGGGAACTCTGAGTCTGATAGGCAATGTTGTTATTAATCGTGCCTTCTTGCCCCGCCGCGGTGGTCTAGTGGCTAAGGTACTCGGCTGCTGACCCGCAGGTCGCAGGATCGAATCCCGGCTGTGGCAGCTGCATTTCCGATGGAGGCGGAAATGTTGTAGGCCCGTGTGCTCAGATTTTGGTGCACGTTAAGAACCCCAGGTGGTCGAAATTTCCGGAGCCCTCCGCTACGGCGGCTCTCATAATCATATGGTGGTTTTGGGACGTTAAACCCCACATATCAGTCAATCAAAATCGCACCTTCTTTCTGCAGGAAAATCATGGTGATGCCACGTACCAACACAGGCAACGACCGACAGCCGACGAAGAGCCTCGGCTTCTTCCTACAGTGCAACGGCGAGTCCGAGTCATCGTGAGTTTCCTCTCTTCGCCGTCCTCCTCGGAACTTCTCTGCTCTGTCCCTTGCCTCGTGCTTGCGTGTGTCTTGGCAATGATAGTATACTTTGCACAAGGGTCGGTGTGGCCAAAGGGTGCCAAACATGAGTTTTGTGGTCAATTCTGGTTAATAACGCATTTCTTGAAGTCATGGATAAAAACATGAGTGATGTATGGTGCCCACAAAAAAAAAAAAAGAAGAAAGTAATTGGAGTGCTTGTGAAGTCTCTGGGAAAATTACGCCACTCTCGCTGTAAGGTTTGTGCGATTCCTGTGGCCTTACATAGTTTGCTGACAATTTCGTTTTTTTTTGTACCTGCTCGCCATGTGGTTTCTTGTCGCGTGGCGAATTCCGGTTGTGGTGCCGATTTTGGATCAAGAAGACCGTGTTATACAGTTGCCATAACATGGAGTTTCACGGAGGTATAATGGTGGAGCTTAACAGCGAGTTATTATAGAACTTGAAAGTTGTTAGTATAGTTAGACAGGGAGTTTCATGGGGATCAAGTGGACTTGACAGCGCACGAAAGATTGTGTTACGCAGACTTTCTTTGTCTGTGTGTGGCTTACAGCCAAACTTGTGCACAGAGGGAAAAGTTCTAACTACTCTGCAATGATAACCAGTCTGTGGGGATCTTGTGAATTGGCTGTTATCTTTAGAGGGTGTGTCCGATTGCTTACTTGGAAGCAGTGTGCAAGTTCTGCAGTGCTGGCTTTAGCAGAACGGCTCAAAGGCAGACAGCAGGCTGTGTGCTATCTGCCTCACCGTGTGCCCTCGATGCGTTTTTTCGTTTCGGTGTTGTTCGTTCATTAGACCAGCTTGTTCACTTTAATATGCTTACTGACTCATCTTTTTTTGATTAAGAAGTAGGAGGGAAAAAAATCTAAAATTTTGTAAGCACAGTGTGTGCTGCCTTTACCTCGCCTAATTTATTGTCAGCATTGGCTGCCAGTAGCCAAATCCCGGGTCTTTCAGACAGTATTGGAGTAAAAGCTCGTTAAGATGAGAAATCTGATAGTTCAGACTTGTTCTGTTCGCATGGAAATCGTATGCATTGGTAAATACTGTAAAACTTGTGTTTATTGTAATTGTCATGTCACAATTGACGAACAGCCCGTTTCCAACCAGTGTTCTGGTGAAACAGTTTTGTGCACATATTGGCAGTGGTGGTACGTGATAAGAGAGAGATGCAGACGGAGTGTCAAGTGAATTTAGACGCAGTAGTCTGGGCCACTGCCTCTAAGTGAACGAAGTTGCAGTGCAGGAAATTGCAGCTTTTATTTATACTGCCTTTCTGCAAATTCTGTACATTTACGGATTCAGATGTGAGTTATTGTATTAAGCATTCATTTGTTGTCTCGGTACTTACGATATTTCAGCATTTTTGTTTATTTGAAAATTTTTCCAGTCCCATGAAATCCCAATTAACAGGCTTTTAGTGTACAATTTTTCATTGTGCATAACAGGTTAGGAATGGCCATAGCGTGTAACTGGCTAATTCTGTTATGAACACTGAATGGTATTTGTAGCTTCTGAAGCAGCTTAAATGTGTACTTTGTTTTCTTAGGAACTGTCTGAGGGGAATTCACTTAGTTGCCCTGGAAGCTTCGTGCAACGTCTGACATTATTCTACGATTTGGCCAGGAGGAGCTGTCGTACAACTTTTTTTTCTTATTGCTTGTTCTTGGCTTCTGTGTAGTACACTGGTTGGGAAACATTCCATTTAATGCATTGGAGAATTTATCACCAACTTCCAAAGCATATTGCCTTTGACTGCATGAGTAATCGTAGATTTTGCAGACTTTTTCTGTGCCCCGACACGGATTGCTGTGACCAGACATGCGATCTCGATCAGAGCCAGAGTAAATGATCCAGTAATGAATTTTATTGCGCTTGGTGGAGACTTCGGAGGCTAGAAGCTGAACGGTGCCCTACAATTCGTCGCTTGCCAACGCGCTACACAGGCACCAACACACTGCCACACGTGTTGAAGTGTCTCGCATCAACGAAAGACGTGAACTGTCTGTCAGGTTTACCTGCATGTAGACTAGTGTCCCGTCTTGGTTAGAAGAAACTCCCAAGAGGACCAGCCGAACGTGTCGCCAGGCTCTGCTCTCCCGAGCGTTGTTGTGGTTGTAGGCTTTTGTCAAAACTTTGGGGCTAATTTTGTTTAACCAAGAATTTTGCAATATGCAGGCATGATGCCTTGCCCAGTAGTTAGCAAGGCACGGCATGCACGATATGCACACATTGTATTAAAGGTTATTGTCATTTTCTTAACATATTGCTTGTATTGTTGTGGTATTGTACAAAGTCTATCAGCCAAAGAGAGTTGTGATGCTGCCCTGCCTGTACTGGAATCATCGCAGCGGCATGATTACTTTAATTCTATTCTTTTCAACCAACTGGTACACGTGGATGGATTGCTACAACAGGTGGCAAAGTATGAAAGGGGGGTGACGAGTTGGCTCAATTGTTGTCATTGTGCATGGCTGTCATTGTGCATGGCTGCAGACATGAAAAACACGAATTTCATTCTGACTCGATTTTTGTGAAGGTCAAACGCTAAAGCCCTTCAAACTGCACAATCTATGTGCACTCTAAAGTAAAACCCGAGTGCTTGAAATCGTATTGAGCCCTTCTCTATGGTGTCAGTGTCTCTCGTAGCCTCAGTCACTTTAGGTTGCTAAAGTTCATAACCCAATGAAACGAACTGGGAAAGGAATAGCATTTAAATGTGATCATTATGCTGTTTTGATCCTGTTTTGCATTCACGACACTGTTCATATCGCACTAGCTGTTCGGCCTTCAGATAGAAGGTCTCGAGCCCTGTCGTTGGTTTTTAAAAACTGCATTCGTTGCAGGGAAGCCTCTGAAGGCGAAGACAGTGTGCCGTAAGGAAAACGATTTTTTGTCATTTTGTTGTTTTTATTGTTCCGTACTTTTTGTGTGTGTGCATCATTTTGAGGGCGTGACCCTCTGTAGGCATTTATTGAGCCCTTCTGCTAAGCCGCCAGCACGTAATGAAAAGAAAAATAACTTGAGATCATCGCATGTCAGCATTTGCATTTTGCCCTGCTGAACTTGCTGTAGATGCTCGGCTAATATTAAGGGTTGCTACTTGGCCATTGTTGCCGAAATTGGCGTCTGGTGTTAAGCACACGAGATTGCAGAGTGTCGCGTCCTTTCATTTGTTGAGGGGTCTTTGTTGCTGTTTGCATGGTTTTTTATGTAGGTTGATGGTTTGATTTTATGACAGGTTTATTCAATTTATAATGGCTTCTATGGAATATTAATAGAAACAAATGCATGAAAACGTATCTTTTTTTTTTTTTTTTTCAAATATGCATCTATACCTCTATAGTTGCATGACGAAGGCCACAAACAAGTGACTGTGGTTTCGATAGATGAACAGAAAGCAGGATTTGTTACGCACGTAATGTGCCAACATTGGAGCATTTGAACAGAATTGTAGTGGCAAAGGCAAAGGGAACCAAATTTTTAAGGGGGCACACGGGTCTTTGCGGATGAAAAATTGCCCAAAAACGCATTTTTTTTAGATGTCATTTTTGAAATCTACTGGTATTTTTCTATTAGTTTGCTCAGTTTTTCCTCCGAAAAGTTGGTACTTGAACAGTAACAGCTACTTATAAAAGCCGTACGGGCCCGATTTGGCGAGATTCTGACGCCAAAATGGCAATTTTTCAATAACTCCCCGCAGCTGCGCCCCGGGCAGTATCACAGTGATCTAGGTCTCATTTGAAAGCGCGGTCTTCGGTCTTCGATTTCCCGCCACTCTGGCTCCTGTCCGCTCATTGGTAGAGTAGTAAACACGCGCCAAAAAAGCAAAAATACGCGTTCCTATTCGCCGGCGAGCGCACGTGACTAAACAGCGCAACGCGATTGGCCGCAAGCGGCGTGTGTCGTCTGCTTCGCGCCGTCGGCGGCGCAGTCAGGCGCCATATTGCTCGGACTGAGAACGACGGATTAGCCAAGGATCGCGCGCGAGGTGGAAAGCCGGAAGGAAATTCCACACAAGGAATCAGTACGGCAAAAAAGAAACAAGTCGCTCCTCGAGAACTTCAAAGGCCGTTCCGCGTCAGCGAGGAGCGCTGAACGAGCAAGCGACCCACCTTCCGTGGCCAGCGGCGAGGCCCCTGATAACATAGGCCTAGCACCTCCGCCGCCGCCCGTTCAAGATAACGCATCCGGCAGCGGCCGCGGTCGTCTTGACACAGCAGTGCTGCACCCGTTAGAAGTGGCAAAGGTGCGTCGCAACGCCGAAAACAAGCTGCAAGAGCTCGCTTCAACTGGAGCAACACAACGCAAGTGCGGCCTGTTAGCCGATATCGACGATGCCGCAGCCACGCCGCTGGACGAAACACGGTTTTTGATCGTGAGTTTGGACCAGGTGAACGAACTGATGCGTGAAGTGAAATGCAAATCGTGCTCCGGTGATGTAAACATCGGCAAAGAGGACAGGGAGTACGGCCTTGCGGTAAAGCTAGTGCTTACGTGCGCGACCTGCGGCGATGTGTCGGTGGCATGGAGCTCGCCGCGCGTTGACGGCGAGAGCAAGGCAAAGCCGTTTGCCATCAATGTTTTGGGCGCGCGCTATGCAGTCTACTGGCAATCAGCAAACGGTATTCAACGACGTTTTTTCATCGATGAACATTTCTTAGCGCGGCCTGCACAACAAAACGTGGCAGAGCTACGTGAAGACGAAACTGACACCCGCAGCTGTTCGTGCGTCGGAAAAGCTGAACGCGGAGTGCGCGCGATCGGTTCGGGAACTGTACGCGGAACTGGACCTCGGCAACCCGGGCAACATCGCTGTGTCGTACGACGGTTCCTGGATGACGAGGGGACACTCGTCGCACATCAGAGTCGGCACAGTTATCGAGTTGTTTACGGGGCTTGTGCTCGGTTATGTCGTGCTCTGCAATTTTTGTGCCGGCTGCGAGCGGGCGCCTAAAGAAAGTGACCCGTCCTACGACGAGTGGAAAGCGAACCACCACTGCCAGAAAAACAGCACAAAAAAAGCTGGAGAGATGGAAGTGGAAGCTGCCCTCGTTCTGTTTCAGAGGTCGTGGGAGCGTCATAAGCTGAGATACACTACAGTTCTTTCTGATGGCGACTGCCGCACCTACCCTGCTTTGAAGGAGGCAGATGTGTATGGTTTTATAAAGGTAACCAAAGAGGAATGTGTGAACCACGTCCAGAAGAGGATGGGCACGCAACTGCGCAATCTCCCCAAGCAGAGGCCAGCTGGCTCCGAGAGCCTCAGTGGTAGGAGGTGGCTGACTGGTGATTTGGTTAACAAATTGACCTCTTACTATGGCTGGGCCATCAAATCTCACAAAGGGGACGTGCCAGCCATGCACAATGCTGTGATGGCCACATACCACCATGTGACGTCCAACGATGCCGTGTCCAACCACAGCCTGTGCTCTACAGGTCCTGACTCGTGGTGCCGCCAGAACGCTGCCAAGGCCAGGGGTGAGCCGGCCCCCAAACACCGGTACAACCTGCCGCCGCATGTCTGTGAGGCCTTGCTTCCAGTGTACGAACGCTTGGCGGACAAGAAGCTGCTGGAGCGCTGCCAGCGAGGCAAGACTCGGAACAGTAATGAAAGTCTCCACTCTGTGATTTGGTCGCTAGCCCCGAAGGAGCGCCATGCATCACTGCATAGTGTAGAAGCTGCGGTCGCCGAGGCAGTGATGAGGTTTAATGCCGGAAGTCAAGTAACATCATCCAAGATCCTTAAAGAGCTGTGCTTGAACCCCGGCCTACTGAGTAGCAAACGCATGGCTGAAAAAGACCGCCGCCGAACCAGGGACTCTACCCTCAGGCGTGCGTCTGCAGAAAATGTGCAGCGGACGCTCAAGAAGCGGCACCTGGATGCCAGCAGTCAAGGGGACTATGCTTCTGGGGCCTACTAGTCATTTCGCTCCAAAAATGTACAGAATGTTTTACCGTTTACATTAAACATGGCACCGTTGTGTTTTTTGCCATTTTCTCAAAATGCATATTTTTGACGTTTAGGAAATTCTTGAGAGGTACATCTCGGCATGCGGTGCAGCTAGAAAGATAATTTTTTTTGCATTGTCAAGCTGAATGTTTAAACCTTGAAGTAAGGGAAACATATTTTGCATTTCACGTTTAAGTAATTGTTTAAATAACTGGTTAGCAGGCATACTTTAAACCGAGAAATTAGAATTGATGTAAACTTGCATGTGTGATTGCCAGACAAAAAAAAACTGCTTCCGTCATTTCATTCTCCACAACTTCTAGTATCTATTCATGCCATGCTGGTAATTTTTTGTTGACTAGTTTTTTTTCTTCTATTGTTCTCAAGAACAATCACGAAATATTTTTAATTATCGGGAACTAATTAGCTTACATGAAAACTAATTGGATATTTGAAATCAGCTAAAAAAAACTGAACAAGCCCATGGAGTTTCATTAAAATTGGTTGGAAAGCAAAAAAAAATTTCTAAGACCAGTGTGCCCCCTTAAGGAAACTTCCAGATTTTATTTCATTAAACTTAAAATTAGTGAATGTACTTATAATTTTGGATACGAGCCTTTGCAGCTGTTCTCATATTGTACTGCAGAGCATGGTGTTTTGGCTTCAATTCTTGTCTTCAGCTGCCGCTTCTTGGAGAAGTTTGAAGTAATCAAGATTTTACCACTTTGAGACTTCATGGGGTTCGCTTGTTAGCCACATCATTTGTTGCATCAGTATTTGACTGCGGGGTCTTTAGTTTATGAGGATGTCTTGTTTTGGAGATTTTTGCTCTGTAGGCTAACGTATAGTACTACCTGGCATTGTGCTTGTGCGAGCGCTTGCGTTTTGTTTTTCGCTGCGATTGTTGCATGGATTTACAATGCTGTTGTTGCCTTGCAGAACGTGGTCCTGCAACGCCAATGCCGAGCTGCGTCTAATTAGTCAGAAAGAGGGCGTCGAAAACTTTGTCAGAAGTAAGTGCTTCCTCGAGCTTGTCTGAAAGTGCTCCCATTGCGAAAGTGCTCACTGCATGGAAGCACTTGCTGTGAAAATGCTAACGGTGTACAACTACTAACTCTGTCAAAATCTTCACCTAATGAAAGGGCTGGAATTGCAAGTCGTGATGTAATATGTTCAGTGAACAAAAGTTGGTTCTTTTTATATTTATTTTCATAAGCTAACCTTATTTACTGACTAAATTTGTGTTGAAACTTTCTTTGGCCTAGTGAGAAATAAGTATGTGAAATGAAATATAAATGGAGCTCGAGCAGTGAGTACTTTGGTGAAGTCATTGGGAACAACCTTCAGGCATTCTATTGTCACTTTTTTTTACAGTACGCCTATCAATACTTTTTTCTTTTGTTCTTTACCAAATGCTGTTCTGTAAATGGTTGCTTTCAGTTGACCTTTGTGTGTACGTTTGCAGAAATTCAGCACCTTTTCTATGGCAAGGAGAACGACTGGGGTTTCAGCCACTTCATGACTTGGAGTGTGAGTGTCACTCATACTTGCCCTAGCCTTTTTGTGAGACGAATAAATGCCTTCTGCGGGACAAATGGCAATCGAGACTTGCTGCAGTGTAAATGGCTTTTAAGAACTTTAGCTAGAGCGTAAGTAGCCTTTGAGAACTTAAGCTAGAGCATGAGTAGCATTTCATTAGCTAGAGTGTAAATGGTGTTTGAGACTTTAGCCGGAGCGTGATTTGTGGTTGAGACTTTAGCCGGAGCGTGATTGGCAGTTGAGACTTTAGCCGGAGCGTGATTGGCGTGTGAGACTTTAGCCGGAGCGTGAATGGCGTGTGAGACTTTAGCCGGAGCGTGAATGGCGTGTGAGACATAGCTGGAGCGTGAAGGGCGTGTGAGACATAGCTGGAGGGTAAACGGCACTTAAGACTTTCATTGATAGAGCGTAAAGTATAAAACACGTCTGAATAATGGGAGACTTTGGATGAATCAAACTGACCTTCAGGCTTTCATGTTCTCTCATTTTTTCATGTAATCTTCACAGCCACTACATCAGTGCCAGGTTTGCTGACCACGCTTTATGAAAACTTTGTTTGCAGTCTTGTGACCTGAATCTTGTACATCAAAGCTGTTTGTTCACTTTGCTTTCTTCTTTTTTAATTTAAGTTGTAAGTAGGCTGCAGAGGCCTCTTCAGCATTTCAGAAGGTTTTTTTGCAGTGTCAAAAGTTGCACGTTTGCAAAACGTCGCAAACTGAAAGAGGTGTTTTGGAATTAAGGCTGTATAAGCGACGTGTTGATGTTGGTGCCGTACTGTGTAATAACATTAATTCTGTACACCTTAATTAACAAACAAAATGCTGTGGGTTTCTTCATTAGTTGTCTCAATGCTCTGTTAGCCTTATTTGCACTGTGTGGCTTTGCTTTTAGCTTTATTTGCACTGTGTGGCTTTGCTTTTTCTTGCGATTTGCTTCGTGTCGGCTAGGTGCACCTGGGGCGGCTCTATCTAGTCTAAATCTGTTTTCTGGACGATTTTATTTGTTCTTTTCAAAATCTCCAGGATGTCTTGGACCCCGAGAAAGGCTTCATCGTGGACGACACCATCATCCTCGAAGTTTGGGTGTGCGCCGATGCTCCACACGGCGTCAGGTCGGTGTCGCCAGTGCTTGCACATTTGAACGGTTTTGTACGCTCGATTGAAATTCTAAGAAAACATGCCAGCTCTGCCCAAAGCCATTGCTGTCCCTCTCAGAGTATTCGCATAAATGTTTTATTCAATATCGCTTGCCCGTTTTCATAATGTCGAGCACTTCTCAAGCGTTCCCGGTGGTCTACGTTCCTTTTAGAGGCTATTGTGTGTTGCTTGGTTTAAGTCGGAAACCCAAACGCAGTCCTGGTTAATTTTGTCAGGGACCGTGACATCTTTGCTCAGGCAAATGTAATGTTGTAGGCAGCGATGCCCGACCTCGAACTTCTAGTTGGCGTAGTACACTCAAACCTCAATATAAGGAACATCGACATAACGAAGTAAATGTTATAAAGAAGTAAATGAAGAATAGCTGTCATACAGTGCTGCAAACATATTTAGAACAAATTTGTGGATATAACGAAGTATTTTCATGGCAGGTGGGAATTTTTTTAGGTTTGAGTGTATATCAGTTCAGGAAAAGCACTTGCCTTTTGAGCGGACACCACCTAGTACGGCAGTCTTTCACAGGTGAAATTCAGGAACATTGTGGTTCTCTCGGCGGAGCTTTCACGTTTTCTTGAGTTGTAACGAGCTATCAATTCTTTTATGCGACACTTTCTTAGACATTTGTATTGGCAAAGGCAACCACTGTGAGAACTTGTAGAACTCCCATGTGCCTTGAGCTGCTATTTCTAGTTGTTTTTTGCGACCCGATGTTAAACTTGCCTTGCGGCAAACTACATAATGTGTTACATTTCTAATGCGAGACGCTGTAGTTCTTACTTGTGAGTGTGAGCTGCAAGAAATCAACCTTGCTAACCTTTGTGGCACTGTCCGGTATACACAAACACAAAAAAGTACGGATGCAGTTCGGAGTGACTGGCATGGTGCGTTCCTAGTAGGACCCGCAAAATGCGGGCACTGTGAGTGCTCCAAGATTGGTAAAGCTTCCGCTCTTTTAGGTGCGACGTGTCACGAACAGCCCGTAAATGTACCGGATTTACACAACTGTTTCCAGTCACTAATATTCTGTTGCAACAAAAATTCTCGATGTACGTCGACTTGTGGGTTGTGTTGATCCTAATTAAAATTAAAGATGAATTTATCTTGAACTCTTTCACGTTGTTTTTTTTTTTATTGAGTAGTCAAATGATAGTCTAGAGGTACATGATTTGAATTTAGATTATACTTGTTTGGAACATAGAAAAGTTATACTTTTGACTTTGCTCACGGAAAGCAGCTCATCAAATGTGGTAGTGCCTCCAGAAAAGAGGCTAGATTGCACAGTAAACAGTCAATTGAAGTTAAATGTTAAGTGTTGAAGTAAATTGAAGTTAAAAGTGCCCGTGATGTCCATATTTGTTTCTTTCTGTGTGTGGTTGTTCTTTTCGTGCAACGTTGAACATTTAATCAAGACATGCCCGAACTAGCCCAACAGCAAGTTCTACTAAATGTAGGCATATTTATTGCGCAAAAGGATCCAGCTTAAATTGAGGACGGCGCAGCGAGCGATGGAAAGGAAAATTATGGGTTTAACCTTAAGAGACGATAAGAGAGCAGAGTGGATCAAGGAACAAATCGTGGTTAAGGATATCATAGTTGAAATCAAAAAGAAGAAATGCACATGGGCCGGACAAGTAGCACATAGGCAAGGTAACTGCTGATCATTAAGGTCATTAACTAACTGAATTCCTAGAGAAGGCAAGTGGGTTAGGGGGAGACAGAAAGGTAGGTGAGGAGATGAGATTAGGAAGTTCGCGTGTATAAAATGGCAGCAGCAAGCACAGGACAGAGTTGACTGGCAAATCATGGGAGAGGCCTTTGTCCTGCAGTGGACGTAGCCAGGCCGGTAATGATCATGGTCATATTTATTGCAAAGATGCTTTAGCTCATTCAAACCTCAATGTCTTAGGTCCTAGTTGAACAAATCACAAAACCACATGTGTGCAGTTGGGTACTAAGGGCCCCACAAAAGTTAGTGTTAACGTGTGTTTCTTTGCAGTATGCTGAAAAAAAAATGTCCTTAAATTTTTTTTTTCGTGTTTCTCTGCAGCATTGCGTAAGTACTGCAGCCAGTTTGAGCTGTTTTAACCTAACAACAATCTCGCACTACCAACGGTTCCATGCTGAAACGGTCTCGCGCTGGAAATTATTGAATGCTTTATTTCTGCTACACAATATCTCATTTGTTCGTCTCATTTGCCCCCCCTCCACAGCTGGGACTCCAAGAAGCACACAGGATACGTGGGCCTCAAGAACCAGGGCGCCACCTGCTACATGAACTCATTACTACAGACGCTGTTCTTCACGAACCAGTTACGAAAGGTACGTGATAGTACAATATTTATTCGCTTAATGAACCCACCTGTTTTTTTTTCTAGAAAAGTTGACGGCTGTTTGGGGGAGGGTCCATTACACGAGAGAAAAGTCACGGGAGTTAACAGCGAAAATTTTGCATAACGGTCTTGCTTGTCTTAAATCACGAAATGTGCGCCGAATCGTTTTTGTACCCGAAGCTCTTCTTGTTTTCGATTGTAACGAATGCGCACAGGTCAATGCCCAAATGTCTTCCAGCCGTTCGGTTACCGTGCTCCAGCGCATGCTCGACCAACTTTAGCTTTGAAACCAGCCGTGTAGATAGCCTACCAGCCGAATATTCGCGGCGCAGCAGACGTCCAACTAAGTTCACTACGACAAACCCGACAACAAGAACGCAGCGTCAGATTGCAGCGCACAAAGGTTGCGGGAGCACAACGCTCCATCGGCGCGGTTGCGCTTTGCACGGATTCCAACATGGCAGGCCCGTGGCGTGTTTCAACGCCGCACGCCCGCCATCTCGGAGGCCACGCCCTTTTTTGTTTTCTTCGTTTTCTTGTCGCTGGGCTTGTGTGACGCTATAAGCAAAGAGGTTTCTCCTGCATTCGACAGATGGCGCTCTGTTGCAAAAGGCGCAACTTTTAAATTTTGATTGTCGTCAGCCGAGCTCGCACTGCTCGCCACTCTTTAGCTTGGTAGTTACTATGTTTTGACTTTATTGGGTCAATATTTTGATATAATGGCGTGATTTAACAGTTTCAATCGTCAATGACACTGGTTATCATACCAAAATAAAATGAATGGATACATTAAAATTTTTTTTCGTTTTTCGAGAACCAAGTTGTGGAGTGGGTTCATCATGCAAGTGGGTTCATTACAAAAGTAAAGGCATAATTTCGTTTATGTGCGGTAGCGTGTCCCATGCTGCTCGTGGAGCATGTCTTGTGCTTGTGAAACATTAGACGCAAACATATTCTAAACGTGAATGCCTCTATGAAAAAAAACGTCAGGCCTGCGCTGAAGGCGCCGCACAGTCACAGCGAAAGCTAGAAGAGCGGCCTTTCAGAGCCTTTTCAAAACACTCATTGGGTAACTACTGCAAGCACACTTGCTTAGTACACACTGCGGCATTAATAATAAAATTTTTTGGGTAGTAGGCCGGCATTCGCTGTGCCATTTTTTATCATTCTTCTGAGAAGCGTGGTATCTGCTAAACACTTGCAAGGAATTTTGTGCCAATTGTCCATGCAGTGGCTGACGACGATGAGGAATTATGGCTGTAGTGGGTATGCGGCACAGTTAATAGGGAAACAAGAACAAGCTTTTGTAATGGGTTAGAGCCTTGGACGACCCACTCCTTATGCTAATCGTATTGTGTGACGACTGGTTGTTCTTTCGCTGTTTTAAAGCGCTTTATAAGTCGTATTATTGCGATTGCTTTCCCAACTTCAAGCTTGGCTAAGGCAAGTGTGACCAGTCACAAGCACCAGTGTAGCTCAGTGGTAGAATATTGGGCTGGCACCCAGCGGACCCGGGTTCGAGTCATGCCTGCCTGCAAGGTTTTTCTAATTTCGCGTGATGTGGTTACGGACACCGGCGGTGGCGAAAAACATGCAACTGTGCATGACCTGAAAAGTGATCTCATAACAGGTTTTGCTGTAAAAACATATGCGTAACTATCGCGCCTCAATCCACGAGGCGCGCCGATGCGACTCTTCTTGAACCACGTGCGGTCTTCTTCAGTAAAGGACCTTTCTCATAACGTTTTGCCATGATAAATGTCGATTAAAATACTACAAGATACAGTAGACTCGGTAAACGAAAATCTCTTTAAACAGAACAATATTTAAACTCATTAATTTAGATTTTACAGTACCGGAAAGACTTTCCTCTCCTAACATGAAGCCTGCTAAGCGGGAATCGACCCGAAATGCTGTTAGCAGCGTGGCCATACAGTGCCTGTCGATGAGGAGGGGACTGTGCCACCTTGTTTCGGCCGCACGGGAACGTCGTTTTCACTTGTTTGCGTCTCTCACATTTGATGTGCTTCAAGCTCTGCATGCTCCGAGGATCGTCCGAATCGGCAGGGTTGCGACCGAATTAGACAGAGTTGGATGCCAGTGAACAGCGCGTGGGCTTCCAGAGAGTGCATCGGAATTATCAGATTTTTCAAATGAATGGGAGTAGAGTTAACAAGCTCTTACTGTACTGCTTGAATAAAGTAACTGTATCCCACGTGATTGGTTTTGTACCCAAATTATGCACCCCTGTTTGTCTCTCGGTAAACTGAACATGTTTTCCTACAGTAGCACAGAAAGCCGGTCTAGTTGATACTGCATAGTTGGTACTGTTATTTCGCAATGCACATCGGTTGCAAGTCGACACACTTCCTGTGTCGTCGTGTCTTTTGCTCTATTTTGCAGTGCTTTTCTAGTTCCCTGGGTTTTTCATTTTGTGAGCGTCTACTGTAAATGCACTGTATTTCTCTACTGTAGAAAGGTGCTATGTTTCAATGAACGGTGTGCATTACAGGCTGTGTACCAAATGCCCACCGAGAGCGACGACTCGTCCAAGAGCGTGGCCCTGGCGTTGCAGCGGGTGTTTTATGAGCTGCAGTTTTCCGATCGACCCGTCGGCACCAAGAAGCTCACAAAGTCCTTTGGGTGAGCAACAGACCTGTCGCAGTTAAGGGGGGACGCGGCACTTCGGGACCGAAAATCAGCCAAAAAATCGAGTTTTTGCGGACCTTCTTTTCGCGTTCCCGACATCATTGCGCACCTATTTACAAAATTTCATAGCCGAATACCATCAACTTTTATCGTTATTCAACTTTAAAAAACTGAAAACGGGCGTCCTGCCCTTTAAATTGAGGGCGAATAGCGCAGGTTTCGGCTCTACGATACGCGGGAACTACGCGCTCGATCGGCGCCATTTTGGTCTTGTTTGAAAGAACGCGTTTTCAGCTGTTTTTTTTATTCAGTAAGCAACATTGAGCGTTTCCCCGGCTCGAAAAACGGGGCCTCAAAGACGAAGAGCCGCGCTCACTGCCATTGGCTAAACGGCGCACGTGACTGAAATGGCGCTTTCCGGTTGGCTGGAAGCTCGCGGCTTGCGCCTGCATACGCGACCCGATGCCATTTTGAAAGGGTTACCGCTGTGACGCCTCGAAATCGGCAGAGCACTCTGAAGCTTCTGATCGTATCGCCATGCCTGGAAACGCAAAAAAGTATCGGACCGTACACGCATTTGGTCGCAGGAAACGCAAAGGTCGTGGGAGAAAGTCTACGAAGTCATCAGAGCCCTTGGTTGACTCCGACGAACGATGTGTCGACGCTCCGCGGCCGTTCAGCGATGGTGCGACCGAGCGCGTTGCCTCCGACGACGATGACGGTGAAGCGAACTCCGGACGACTACGAATCGACGCCAAGGTGGTGACAAACGCCGAAGTTGAAGAAAATCATGCCCGGGAGAAAGCGACGCTCGACCGGCTTGCATCGGCGCCAGCAACTGCACGGAAAATTGACTTTTTCACCGCGAGTTGTAGCGAGGCAACCGCACAGGACTCGGACCACGCTGCTCCTTATCTGCTTATGCATCTAGATATCCTAAACGCGATAATGGGTGCCTTGTGTTGCAAAGCCTGCCGCGGACCGGCTACGATCGTCAGAGGGGATCGGGACTACGGACTTGCCGTGAAAGTGCTAGTGCAGTGTGAAAGGTGCGGCGAGATCGCGAATGAATGGACTTCGCCCCGCGCGAACGGCACGAAAACGTGCAATCCGTTTGAAGTAAATCTTCTCGCTTCGAGGGCGATGGTGGCTACCGGCAACGGCCAAACGAAAATGAACGATATTTTCGCAACAATGGGCATCTCACACCGCGGTATGCACCACAAGACGTTTCAGCGGCATTTGAAGAACACGCTGGCACCCGCTGCAACGCGAGCGGCTGAGTCCGTTATGAGCGAATGTGCGGAAAAGGTTAGAACAATTTATGATGACTTGTGCTTCGGCCACCGGGGCAATATTGCCGTTAGCTACGACGACACGTGGAAGACGCGAGGCCATTCTTCCCACATCGGCGTGGGCACAGTTATCGAATTATTTAGTGGCTACGTGTTGGACTATGTGGTTCTTTCCAACTTTTGCCTAGGCTGCGAGGTGGGCCCAAAGCCTAGTAGTGAGGGCTATCAAGAATGGAAGGCTAACCACAAATGCCAAAAAAATACGAACAGCAAAGCGGGGCAAATTGAAGTGGAGGCGGCTCTAATTCTATTTCAGAGGTCGCTTGAACGCCATGGCCTGCGCTACACAACTATGCTGTCTGGTGGAGACTCTAGGACATTTTGCGCCATACAAGACGCCAAGGTGTATGGTTACATTGACGTGCAGAAGGAAGACTGTATTAATCATGTACAGAAACGGATGGGCACCGCATTGAGAAACCTGGTGCAGAAACAAAAGTATTAATCATGTACAGAAACGGATGGGCACCGCATTGAGAAACCTGGTGCAGAAACAAAAGTGCGATGGGAAAAGAGGCCTTGGTGGGAAAGGCAGGCTCACAGGTGAGCTGATCACCAGGCTGAGCACATATTATGGCCGGGCTCTGAAATCGCATGAAGGTGACGTGGGCGAGATGCAAAAGGCTGTGATGGCCACATGCCGCCACGTCACCTCCACTGATGAATGCTCGGACCACAGTCTGTGCCCAGCTGGTGAAACTTCATGGTGTCGGCACAATGCCGCAAAAGCAAAGGGTGAGCCCGACCCCAGGCATGCCTACAATCTACCGAAAGACGTGGCAGAGACATTACTACCGGTTTATACCCGGCTTTCGGAAAGAGCCCTGCTTCAGAGGTGCGAACGCGGCAAAACGCAGAACTCCAACGAGAGCCTACATTCGGTAATCTGGAGTTTGGCCCCCAAGGAGCACCATGCGTCCCTGTTCGCTGTTGAAGCAGCTGTTGCAGAAGCAGTGCTGCGCTTCAACACGGGCAATTTGAATTCTGCAACGGCAATCTTAGGTGAAATGGACATGAATGCGACAAGTACTGGTGCCAGGAGAGCGAGAGAAAAAGACCACCGTCGCAGCATTGTCTCCAACAAGAAAAGAACAGCCTCATTGGAACTCCGGAAGCTAGTGAAGAGGAGGCATGAGCACAGAATGCATTCAGACTATGCTTCTGGTGCGTTTTGAGGTTGTCTTGTTGCATCTTCTGCAATAAAAATGTGTGCCCACGTTTTTCCTCGATTTCTCAAAACGACAATTTTCATGTGCTTCCCATTATGCCGGAGCAATATCTCTTGTTCTATCTGGGTTATCATTACGATTTCTTTTTTGTTTCGAAGATAAATGCAGGGGATGTGTCGTAAAGTAAGTTTTATTGTAATAATTTTTGGAGAAAATTCTCTAAATGGATCTTTTGTTTCAAGTGTAGATGGGGAAATTTTTCATGTCATATTCAACATCCCACAACTTTGCTTCGAAATAGCCCAGAACAATGATTTATACTTTATTGCACACTGTGAACATACCGAATTGGTTCTATAGGTTGCACATCAATATCCAAGTTACAGTTAATTAGCTAATTAGGCCTTAATTGAAAAAGTCGCAGTTCATTATATCTTTAAAACTAATTGTCACAGCAAAAAAAGAATTAGATTTTTGAAATCAGCAGTAAAATCTACATAGGCTCTCCAAATTTGACTGAGGTACTCGCAAAAATAAAAGAGTTTTTGGAAGGTGTAGCATCCCCCCTTAAAATGAGTGTTTTCATTAAGGGGCCAGTAAACAACCCCGAGATCTGAAAATTGTTATGAAGAGGAATATGCGTAAGGGCATGAGGGCTCATTCTAGGCATGTGAAAAGTGAATAACTTTGCAAATAATTTTGTATCGAAATTCGAATCTCCATTCAACCTGCACAATATTTTATAAAATTGCAAAAATATATATGCAAATGTCAATCTTTTTGCTCTAAAGGGAAATGGAAGTAACTTCGAATAGTAGCAAAATTTCACTTTTTGGCAGAATGCAAGGGATAACCTGTAAAATATGTAAACCTGTAAAATATGTAAATGTGTTTTAAAATTTGCTGTACTGGGAGCATGAAAGCTGGTATAACAAGCTTTTAAACCTTGTAAAATAATGAATCAATGTGAGGGCAATATGTTCATTTAACATTGAAGCAAGGCTTTGAGGCATTGTGGTCATGTGGCAGTGGGAAAATCATCTTTACAGGGATACTTCTCTGTGCGTTGAAATCACGCTTGAAAATTCACAATATCTTAAATTCGTGTAGAAGCAAATTCGTGTGCTCTAGTGTTCTATGAACATTCAGAGGTGCAACAGCTGCGCCAATTGCGCCAATTTGATAAATTCCCGATTGTTGCGCCGCGCTGTAGCAAAACCATGAAATTTGCTGAAATTGCACCAAGCTTCGTAAAAATGCCCAACCAGCCTCAAAATTTTCTCCTGTCCTCTAGTTTCAGCGAGAAATGAAGGCCATGTGGGCCACCTGTGCTTTGCGCCATCAATCAAAGCGCGCAGTGCCCGCACGGCACCGTGCGGGGACTGCGACGCCGCATACATTGGCGAAACAGGGAGGAAGCGGTCAACGAGGCTCGGAGCGCAAAGGGGATGCTGCCAAAGCCTCCCGTGCCACGCATTCTAGGACGGAACTCGTCGAACACTGCTGGCCGACGAGGCGTGCCTTCGCCTTAAGTAACGCGACGACGCTGGCTCAAGAACAAAGGTGGGGCAAGAGAAAGCTTCCAGAGTCATGGTTCATCCGCCATGACAAGTCAACATGCAACAACCGTGGCCCCCTACCAAATGTGTACCGAGACATACGAGACTAGACGTAGACTGGGTGATCTCTCATTTGGTGCCAGTGCACATTGCGGATGCCACGTGCATAGGTGGCGAAATGTCTGTGTAGTCTTTTGTTGCTTTTTGTTGCGTTAAGTTAGAGTATATTTTTAATCAATCCAAATTTGGTACTTCATGATAAAAAAAAAATGCATGCGTTTTCCATAACCTACCACGACTTTGGATTTTAGTGCTGCATAAGTAAAGTTTTGTTTCTCCAAAAAAATTTGCTCCGAATTGTATTTCGGCTGTTGCACCCCTGAACATTCGAAGTGCTCCTCGGTTCAGGTGTGCACGTTTGTTTGTGCAAGGGCTGGATGTTTGCGACACCATAATTGCAACTTAATTTCTCCTTTCCTTTCTACAGGTGGGAAACCTTAGACTCGTTCATGCAGCACGACGTTCAAGAGCTCTGCCGAGTGGTGAGTGATGTTTGAGTGGGTGGGTGCGCTAGCTGTTCCGGCAGGTGACGTCAGTTCTTTACTATCGAGCGTGGCAGTTGCATTTTTATGGGCGAAAAATGCGTAATTTGGCCTAATACCTAATAGGCTATGCTCGGTGACAACCTTTCTAGACACTGAAAGGAAAGCTACGAAGGCGGAGCTTCTGCACATGTAGCACTACGTGAAGTAGTCGGCTTTGGCGCGCGTCTTGTAACGCTGTGGAAAGTGGCAGGGGCGCACCATCAGTATGTTATTACATGCAGATACCGCTCGGCGTTTGAAGTGCACGTAAAAGGGTGGGACTTTCTGAGGCCTTCAAAAACGCGAAGTCGCAATGCAAAAATAAAGGAATAACGAATACCTTAATGGTGTGAGCTGCGTCCCGTCTCGAATAGCTTCATGTAGAAAATAAAAGAGAATTTTTATGTTTTTCGTTGAATATACGAGCGCTTTTGTGGAACTACATTCCCTGGCGGTAGGATTATGCAATCCAGCTCTGTACTGTTCGCGTGTGTTCATTATGCACCTTTCTGCAGATGTTCGGGTAGTCAGATTTAGGTGCCCAGTAGATATCCCCGCCCACCTGGTACTCCAATTTAACCCAGGCTCCCTATTCACTGCCGTGCTTTGTTAAATAATGATGTGGAGATTTCGGAAGATAAAACGTCTTCACCAAGAATAAACAAGCGAACAACTTCACTCAGGCGTCTCATTAACACTGGTGCCTCAATATAACGAACTCGGATACACTCTGATCTTATTATAACAAAGTTGCATCATACAACAAAATAAGTTAGTTCCGAAAATTTGTTATGAAGGTTATTCCTAACACTGTATGTATTTTAAGACTATTTTTCATTTTCCTAGTTATATTCATGCTCATTATATTGAGGTTAGTGCGTATAACAAAATATTGGTTATAACGAAGTAAATGTGGAATGGCCTTGCAATGGATAGTGTTAAGAATATATCTTTATAACAAATTTTTGGAAATAACGAACTACTCATTTTTGTGTAAGGTCCAACTTCAGTATAATGAGGGTTTTTAGTGTATATTTGTAGGCTGTTTTAGCAGTGACTGTAACAGTATTATGCTGCTTAATTTCTGTTTAGTGTTGAACTTATCAATGTCTGAAAAAGTTTGATACCTATAATGCTCTATGTATATGGTAACGTGATGAATGCTCACCACAGTGGCGAGGTATTTTTGTGCTTGATGTAGTATATATACCATAATATGAAAAAAAATGAGCATTTTTGTCACGACCCAACCAACTTGCGCAATGTTTTATAAAATTGAAACGAGGAATTATGAACCCTCTTTCTTCTCACTTCAAAGGGGAGTGAACATGACTCTGAATACTAACAGGATTTGCAGAACACCGCCGTTAACAGGCGTGGCTTAGAAGACGCCAATGCACGTGTACGTTGACGCCACGTCGCATGCGTTTCACCTTGCGTGCAGCTGCTGGACAACATGGAGAGCAAGATGAAGGGCACCTGCGTGGAAGGGACGATCCCGCGCCTCTTCGAGGGCAAGATGATCTCGTTCATCAAGTGCAAGCACGTAGAGTACACGTCTCGGCGCATGGAGCCCTTCTACGACATCCAGCTCAACGTCAAGGGAAAAAAGAACATCCACGAGAGCTTCCAGGACTACTGCGCCACCGAGTCGCTCGACGGCGACAACAAGTATGACGCCGGCCAGTTTGGACTCCAGGTGCGTGTCTTCTTTTTTTAGGGCGGTAGTGTTGAAGAGCTCGCTTCGCGGAAATTTTGGTTTCGGCATAGATCGTGTCGTAGATTGTGAGCGAAAAATCGGCGTTTACCGTGAGCTGAAATTGAGGGTAGACTCTAATAAAGACACAATGATGTTATTAGAGAATGTCCCACTAAAGTGGTTAGATAGGCGCCAAAAAAGACATGATTTTGGTGGAGGGCACAGGTCTTGTTCTCCATCTTGGCTTGCGCGTTGTTACGTGAAGGCACATGGCAAACTAGGCATTTGAAGATATACTTACACAGCGCCAACGCACAAGCCAAGATGGAGAACAAGCCCGAACACACCGAATGCCAAGGATTGCTCGGTAACAGCGGCTTGCAGTTTCACACGTCGGCAGTCGAAAGTGCAATGTGCACGCCAATTTTTGTCATTGTAGCTGCACTGTCTGCACTGTACTCGCAGCCGCGCACTTTACGGTGATATGGAGTGCTACCAGTAAGCTCCAGTGATCCGATTTGGACGTGCCTGTAGCTGTGCTTGCATAGCCTTGTGCGTCTACGAATGTTCTGAAACAATGAAAGCCTCATAGCCGTGACCAGCCGTATGATGGTGCATTTCACTGCTGCAGTGGCAAAAGAACATGTATGAAGCATGGGTACAAATTATTTTCCCGACTGGCATCATTAGATAAACTGCTAAAAAAATTCTTGCGTCACTACTTTCCTGCTCATAACTGTTCGTTATTTGCAAAGAAGGCATAGGCTGTGATGGTGTGAGCCATTCTGATGTAATAAATCTCTATGTAAAGAATGTTCAGTGATTATTTGCATTCAAGAAGTACCTAATTACATTAATGATAGCATGAACACAAGAAAGATGTGTAATCATTTCAATGTATGACCTAATTCAATTACAATCTTTTCTGTTGTGCCTTTCATACCACTCCTTCATGCAGAGAACTTCATTTGAAATCCATACTTGTTCATAATAGATCAAGAAAGGAGGTTGTGAAAAAAAAAAGCAACAAGGGCTCACTAAGCAGAGGCCACATGTCTGAGAAGTCAAGTATGAGGAGGGAAACCAAAGATCACAATTTTTAGTTGTTTTAGAGACGTAAAGAGAAAATGAACCTTAAAACGCAGTTTTCTCAATACTGTTTTTTTTTTTTGCATTATGCTCAGCTCGTGGAGCAGATATCCTGGCAACCACTTCAGAGATTTCGTTTGTTCGTTTTGTGGTGCTCTTTGAACTGTGCTTCAAGGGGCTGTGAACTTATTTTTTTATTTTACTCCTTCAAGAATTTTTTGTAGGACTTCTTGTTTGTAGTGCAAGTATGCTCATTGCAGTGTCACTGGAGAAAACGCTAGGTACAAGTTCTAGTGTTACAAAAAGGTTTTTTATTGGAAACGCAGCCTCCTTCAGCATACATTTCGCTATGCGCACAGTAATTGCCGACTATTTACATCATTTTATAGATCCTTCAGCCCCTCCACGAAATTCAACGAAGAAATAATATGTCTCTCATTAATTTTTGTGGTATCACCTCAATTTTTATATAAACATTGGGACGCCGTTCTTAGTGTCTGTGCCAATTTTAATCAAGATCCCACCAGAAATAAGATAGTTGGCTCCCAAAAACACGTCCCCCCTTTAATTAAATAGAAATTTCTTGAACAGAAATGCTACAACAGTTTCTAATATGATTGGTTTTGTACTTAAATTTAGCAGGCTTGTTTTCTGCTGGGTAAACGAAACTTCTGTCAAATGAAATATATTTTGTTGGTCTCTCCAAGTTTCGTTTAACGGTGGGTGTGTTGTAATGAGAAATCGTACAATTTTTGCCATTTTGTCCTCTTTCACCAGGAAGCCGAAAAGGGCATCATCTTCGCCTGCCTGCCGCCCGTGGTGCACCTACACCTGCTCCGCTTCCAGTACGACCACGTGACGGACAACAACATCAAGATCAACGACCGCTTCGAGTTTCCTGAGCGGCTCAACCTCACCGAGTTCCTCACCGAGGGCGGAGCCAACGCGGGGGGGCCGGCCACCTACACGCTGCACGCGGTGCTCGTGCACAGCGGGGACAACCACGGGGGCCACTACGTGGTGTTCATCAACCCGCGCGGCGATGGCCGCTGGTGCAAGTTCGACGACGACGTCGTGTCGCGCTGCACCAAGCAGGAGGCCATCGACCACAACTTTGGTGGCACCGACGAGGATGTGGCCGTCAGCCGGCACTGCACCAACGCCTACATGTTGGTCTACATACGGGACAGTGCCATTAGTGAGTGTTAACCTTTTGAATGCCGTCTGCAGTGGGTGTGTGGGAGTGGGTATTTCCAAGTTTGAGTTGAATATCTACTGAAGAGTGCCCGAGGTGCTTAGAACAGGAAAGAGTTTGAAATGTATGTCTGACTCGGACATCACGTCTTCGCCTCAGATTAAAAAAAAAAATTTTTGTTAGTACTGTAACACCTCGGGGTTACGATTGTTGCTCGTGCGAATTGTAAAGTGATGAGAATTTTCTTTGGTTTTGGCAGAGGCTCATTGGCCAGCTGTGTAATGCAGTTTGGTTGTTGTGAGCAGATTTTCACCCCGTGACGTTTGATACGAATGTACGCCACTGCACAGGTACGAACATGTCGTGCCCGCGGTGTCACGGAAGATTTGAGAAGCAGGTGTGGGCGTGTCCACCGCGCAGCCTGTTTGTCGGAGTAAACTTGCAGTGACTCGACCTTAGCCTCCAAGTTTGTGCGCTTCAACCTTGGAGGTCCTAATGCACCCTCGTGTGCCTTCACGTTCAAATCGTAGGCGGCCCTGACGTCACACTCATTTTTATTTTTTCTTCAAATGTGGAGGCACGTGTCACTGATTTTGTGCTTTTTTTACGTGCGTGCCAGCCATGACGATCCAAGTCATGTCCTCGCACATGGGTCATCTTTCGAAAAGTGGACGAGGACCGAAAGAGGAAGAGGACGGTCTTGGCGAAGGAGCTAGGCCTCGAAACGTGCACGATTGTTGGGAACGCGCACACCTGCCAAATTATTTGACTGTGCAGGCACAGCTATAAATCTCTCGAAAAGCATGCCCGACGCCTCTGCAATAACAGCAAAGGACAGCCGGTGTAAAATTTTCACGCCTTCGTTCGTCGCGTGCACTGCACTCCGTAGGTCACTTACGCTGCAGTGCTGTGGCACCATGTGGCAAGGCGAGATTAGGAAACTGTCGGTTCACAAAACACCTACTTCATTGATTACAAACACTTGTGCTCACAGGCTGCTGCGGCACTGAAAAACAATTAATGAAATCATGCGCCAGCTTTTATTGTGTGACACACTAATTATCCTTATTTTATGCTGATACGAATTTCAAATGATACGAGTATTTCTGTTCGTTCCGTGAGATTCATATCGCTGAGGTTTTACTGTATTATGAACTACATTGATATGAATGGCCTTGAGCATTTTATTAAAAATGCATCCCATGCAACCGCCATGTGTTCGGTCGGCAATATGGCTCTCAAAGCCTTACGTCGAATTCCCACCAAAAGTGGCCCACATATGAGATACGCAAAAGGCCTTCTTTTGAATGACAAAACATTTCGTTAATACCACGGTGCGAGATCCCTGCCATTATGTATCCAAAGCCCCTCATTATAATACAGTCGAAACCCGCAATAACGAAATCGCCGGGGAAACCGAAAAATTTCGTTTTCGCGAGGATTTCGTTGCCACGAGTATGAGACGTAAGAACAGTGATACAGCCAGCAGACCGAAAATTTATTGCCAGACGTCAGTCAACTTACTTTACCGACCCTTGCCATGCAACAACTTCAAAGCTCTCCCTTCGCACTGAAAAAAGTGGTCCATTGCTACGTCGTTGTCATGTGCACCGAAGGAGCGAAGGATGTCCAGCGTATCCAAAACAACCCGCGGGTTGTTTTGGATGCGCTAGCGCGTCATTTTTGCCCCCAGTCTCGCTGTCAGTGAAGTTAGGGCTAAAGCTGATTTCAATGACACGCCGCGCTCGTAGACCACGCGCCCGCTAGTAGTAATCTGATCATGCATTCGGTGCGGCCACTCGTGGTAGTCTGATCGTGCCTCCGCTTACAGCTTCGTTGCTTGCGACAAAGCACGTCACCACAAGTGCGCTAGCACGTCATTCCTGCCCGCAGTCTCACTGTCGGCGGAGTGAAGGATAATACGACTCCGATGACGCGCCGCACTCGTAGTAACCTGATCGCGCATCCGCCTACTGCTCCTAATAAAGCGTAATTATATCTTAAGTGATCATCGAGCCGTGAACACGTCGCGAAGTAGCAATTTTCGAGAGACATGTCCTTGCGACGCGCAAGCAGCAGACGACAATCTCCCGGAGCGAGCATCGGGCCAATGGCGAGGCGAGCTGAGGCAACATGGTGGCCACAGCCATTCAAGGGCCTCGAAACGACCTTCAAACATTTGCTTTTTGTGCACTTGTTTTTAAAGGGATTTAAAGGGAGGAGCCAGCTGAGGCGGGAAAGTTAAACGCGGAGAAATGTTCTTTTCGGTGAGTCCAAGAAGCCGGTTCCCAGCCCCGCCATTGCGAAGCCATAATTTTTTGAAAATCCCTGTTTTCTTGCAATTTACAAAAAAAGTTTTGCTACCTAGGTGGGTGAAATGAACTTTCCGAAGCACTTTTGCACGGTTTTCAGTGTAGACATTTTGGAATTTGATAGAAAAAAGGGTTCCAGAAACTGAAAACCTGATTTTCAAAAAATCGATTTTTTTGCCCTTTTTCACAATCCCAAAGCTGCATCCCTTCTTAAGTAAACAAAGATGGCGGCACCCACGCTAGCACGGCAAAAGCAGACATTTACAAATTTTGAGTGCGCATAATACGCATACGAGCATATTCTTGACAGTTAACCTTTGACGGGAGGGTAAAATAAGGCCCGCATCGTGGTAGAAAATTCGTTAATGCGGGATCGCTGTCCAAAAACATTTCGTTGCCGCGGAAATATTTCCGGAAATATTTTGTTGCCGCGGGGACTTCGTACTCGCGGGGTTTCGTTATTGCGGGTTTAGACTGTATTACGGTTTTTGATTCCCAGAGTAAATGTTTTTTCATTTTCCGGTTGCTTTCACAAACATTCTCTGGGTGGTCTGTATTAATGTAACATGGCCCCAGTCAAACCTTAATGCAGTAGAATCTCGATGATCCAAATTCGAAGGGAGCATGCAAAATATTCGTATCATTCCGAACTCGTATGAACCAAAAACAAGTTAAAGCTCACCATGAACAAGAACTTTATTGGGGTCAACTACTTTGTGCTGAAAAAAGTCCATGAAAGTATTTTGAACTTTCCTGCTTTCAGAGCCTCTCAATAAAGTGCCAAGATTTCCTCACTAATTTTGCTGGCACTTACACATTCACACTTGGCATTGAAGGGAGCGAAAGGGGCAAAACTTGTATAAAATTCACTCACTTTGCCGCTCAAGCGGCTGCAAAAAAGCAAAAAGCGACTCAATGCCAACGTGAAAAAAATCGGTCCTGGAGAATTCAAGTGAAAATACCACAGTGGGCGCAAAACCACTCTGTGCTCATAGAAAACGTTCACATTCGCTCGAGAATTCACTTCGTTTGGCTTGTTCATTGAGCATTAAAATTCGTACCAAATTCTGGTTATACGTGCAAAGCATTGAAAAAAAAAGCAGTTGGCACCTTTGCCACGAAACGACACTAGAAACAGAAGCGACACGAAAAACGACACGAGCGGACCAGAAACGACGCGGGCAAGCGCACCAACAGCGACGGCGATGCATTCAGCCAGCAGTGCAAAAGTGAGACAGGCTAGGGCACGCCGACTCGCTGCTGCTGCACCTTCTTCGACTTGCGGTGCTTGCAGCAGTCGTAATCCAAAACAGGCTCTCGATGAGCGTGTCCTTGTCGGGGCCGTGAACTTTGTTGTAGAGCGGGTAGTGGGGGATAGCGCTGACGCGAGCCACCGCAGACGCCCATGTTGAATTAGCGGCTGGTTGCGCCGTGAAGCGGAAAGGCAACCTTCTAATGCGTGGCAGAAAAAACGATCTCGGACCGGTTTTTATTTTAATCGGCCCCGGGGCTTGGCTTTCTGGCAACTTAGTCGACTAAGTGAGGCAAATTTCAATGAGTTTTGCCGCATTCGCTCTTTCAAAGGCGAAATGTGAATGGGCCTTCGAAATGATTCCTCAGAAAAGTTGCTTTGCGCCGTTCGTGGGCAGAGACCAGTTTCGCGTTCTAATGGTCCCTGGTGGCTGGGAAAACTGTTCGTATAACACTGAATCGCAGTGTATTTTATATAATGTAGTTCATCCGAAGCAAGCTTAAACTTCATATCATGGTAAAACTTGCATCAATCGTAACCTTATTGTCGAGGTTCTACTATACTTTTGGGACGTTAAACCCCACATATCAATCAATCGAGGTTCTACTATACGTGTGCTAGCTGGCACATCTCACCTGTTGCTGACATGCACAGGCATGTAGGACTCTTAAAGACCACATTTTTGATGGCAGCGAAGGTGCTTGAGGCACGTGTGCTTTAAGGTGCACCTTAACAGACCCCAGGTGGTTGAAGTTTTCAGAGCCCTCCACTGCCGCGTCTTTCATAATCGCATGGTGGCTTTCATAATCGTATGGACAATTACTCTGTGCATAGGACTTCCGCTGCAAGCGTGCGTCTGATGTGGGCTCGGCAACTGTTCAGTGTCGTCTGCTTGCCGTTTGCAGATGAGGTGCTACAACCAGTCACAGAGAACGATATCCCCGAACAGTTGGTTGAGAGGCTTCAGGAGGAAAAGTGAGTGTGCCTGGCTCTCTTTTTTGGCGCAGTGGACGGTAAAGTGTTTTGTTGGAACGGCGAATTGTGCTGATAATGTTATGGCGTTATGTTACGTTATGGCACAATAATGTTATAACGGTTTGTGTTGCGGGACCGTGTCCCCGCAGGCAGCTGTTGGTTATTTTCTCCCATCTTTCGTATTGCCCCTTCCCCGGTATAAGGTATCAAACCTGCGGGATCAAGTGGTCAGTCTCTGCCTACTGTTGAGGGAGCGAAAGCAATGTTTGTGGTGGTTGCACAGCCAATTTGGTTGCGCAAGAGTGATTGTATGTTTCTCCGGGCATTGAGGACTGGCATCTGTTCAGTCAGTCGAACTAATCTTGTCCCCATCTTCAAAATGATTCAATCCAATCTTGAAGTACGTGCTGCTGGCCTAGTCGGTTCATGTTCAATTACAAGCCACTTGACACTATCCTGGTTATTTCTTTGCACGAAATAGCCACCACTCTGGCGTTTAACTGATTCATTGCCGCCCTCCTCTTGCAGGCGTCAGGAGGCCCTGAGGAGGAAAGAACGAAACGAGGCTCACCTCTACATGGGCGTTCAGGTGCTCACCGAGGACAACTTCACCGGTCACCAGGGCAATGACCTCTACGACCCTGAAAAGGCCAACTATAGGAACTTCAAGGTGCGTGACCTCCCTGCCCATTTTTTTTTTTTTTTTTCGCTCTTGTGACTGCAAGGCAGGACTGGAGCGCACGTTTTGCATTGTCGCTTTATTTAAAGCGACAGCAGATTTGTGGCATGGTTTCTCGATGTTTGCGCTAAGTCTTTCCTCGGACTTCAGTCTCTTTCGTGTCCGTTCTCTCGCATTGTGCAGGTAAAAAAGCTGGCGACGCTGCGAGAGTTGCTGGAGTTGGTAGCGGAACAGATGGGCTACCCGTTGCAAGGCATCCGGCCCTGGGCCATCACGTACCGCTCCAACCAGACCTTTCGCCCGGCCGCCATCGACCTTGAGGCCGACCTTAACAAGACGGTGAGTGGTGTGTCTTGTGGCGACGCTGTTTCTAGTGGCTTTTCGTGCTTTTAGCGTTTGACAAGTGGTCGGAGCGGTAGTTCACCATTTGACTTCCAGCGGGAGCGACTAGTTGTGAGCGGTCTACAGCAAGACAATAACACAGCATGAAGTGCAACATGTCACTGTAGTGTGCGTCTCCTCCGGTGAAATATACCCTAAAAAATGTTTTCACCTATTGGGGAGTCTTCGCCCACAACAGTAGTTTTCTGAGTTATTTGCGTTAGCTTGAAAACTCGGCGTTCAATGTGTGCCTGTCAAGAATGCTGTAGGAGTCTTCGCCCACAACAGTAGTTTTCTGGGTTATTTGCGTTAGCTTGAAAACTCGGCGTTCAATGTGTGCCTGTCAAGAATGCTGTGTCCTACTGAATGTCCATCACCTAAAGGTACAGTTTGAGCAGCACTAATCCTAAAAGGAGCACTTGAGACCGATGGTTTTTGTGGCACAGAAAGATGTCCTATTACACTGCTTTCTAGTCTGCACTAAATACTCTTAAAAAGGGTGCTGTTGATACATCATGCTATTCTGCCAGTGATGTTTTTGACAGGCCTTTTTTTGTGTGTGTGTTTGTGTGATGCAGTTTTTCTAATTTAGCTTGAAGGGTGTGTCATCATTTTATTAATTCACCACACCACCCTATTTTTTTATTTTTTTGCCATTTGTTGTAATGATGCAGATGCCATTTCTGCATGTGGTAGCCTAATACAATGGTGTTTTGCCTGAATGCCAAACTAAGCAAATTGTTCGATCATTTTCTTCTTTGCACGCAGGTCATTGATCTGTCGGAAAATTCGAACCCATGGACGATCTTCGTGGAAACGATAGCCCCTGACCAGAACATTGACCGCCTTCCGGACTTTGACAAGGAGACAGACGTACTGCTCTTTTTCAAAATGTACGATCCTCGGCTGAAACAGATTGCATACTGCGGCCACGTTTACATGCCCATCGTGGCCAAGGCCAGTGAGTACAGCTTTGATTTTCGTGCACTCTGTGCCTTGCCCTTTGTTTCTCTTCCCTCTTAAAGCTCTGGAAACGCACGCAGTCAATCATTTCCTCACGACACGGTTGAGGCGTGCACCAGGAACTGAAGGCCAGGCTAGCAATTGAGAGAACTATAAGCGTGGGGCTGGTTATGCCATTGCGTTTTGTCTGAAACTCTGTTCTCGTAGAATTTTCAAGAGTTGACGAGATGACAGCACCGTGCATGACCATGCGTCTTGCTCAGCAGACGCGCGTTTTTCTTGTTTTTCTTTGCAGAGGAGCTGCTGCCATTGCTAAACAAGCGAGCCGGTTTCCCAGCTGATACGGAATTGGTGCTGTATGAGGTGGGTGTCTCTTCTCTCTCTCTGTTGAGGTAACTAGACTCAAACTTGGATACCGTGTTCACTCGCGTAATGAACCCACCTAGATATACCATATTTACTCTCGTAATGAAGCCGAAGACCCCAAGTACCTCGACTGAGAGGATACTATAGAAGTGAAGAGGAATGTTTGGAAAACAACCTAAGAGCAACCAGATTGCTCTTCAGAACTGTCCCGTTTCGCAGTTTCAAGGCTTGGTCCAAGTGTTATTTTTTTGTCTACCTGCTATCTTTATTCAAAGCATTTATCAAATCCTAATTTGGTTGTTTCTGTGGTTGCCATCTGAAGGTGTCGGCGTCTAGAGGTTTTGTGTAGAGCGCTGGATTTCGCGCGAGCGCTACGATTAGTAATTGTTTTTTTTTTTTACTATTATTGACGATACATGCATGCTCGCGGGAATCGATGCTGCGGGCTGTTGCGGATGCGGCGTTTTGTTTTGGTACTCCTTTAACGCCGTGCTTGTGCCTCGTTTCTGAATCGCATGTCGGTGCTCTTTCCATCAGGAAGTAAAGCCGAACATAGTGGACAGGATTGAAGACCTGGAGCTTCCGCTGGAAAAGGTTCTGGAGGAACTGATGGACGGTGACATCATTGTCTTCCAGAGGCTTGACCTGAACGTGGACGAGTACGAACTGCCTACCGTCAAAGACTACTTCAGGTCGGTGTTCTCTCTCAGATTGGAGTCTTGTCTACTATGACCTGCCTCCCTCAAAACTCTCACGTTTTACGCCAGGCCATGGGTTGTGCTGGAATTCGAGAGACGATTAGAATCGCAACGAGCGTAGAGCTTGTATCTAAGATAGCTACGTCTACCGATTCATTCAGTCAACAGGAGTATGTTGACACTTTCTTGATACCTCCAGCGATTCTACATCTCAATAACTATATTTTTTTTTCGTGAAAGTTGCACCAGCGAGGTTTTACTGTGATTGTCCATGTGTCCAGCATTGTTTGGTATATGCGTTCCCTAAGTGGCTTCTTTCCCGACGTTTCTTCAGGGACCTCTTCTATCGGGTCGAAGTGACGTTCTGTGATAAAATGATCCCCAACGACCCCGGATTTACGATGGAGCTTTCGCTAAAGATGAACTACGACCAGGTGGGTGGTGATCGTCTTGGTTTCGTTTCGTAAAAAAGCGGCACGCAGCGCCCCGGAGAGTTTCGGCGTACAGCTATCGGAGTCTATTCAAATCAACGTTGTGTCTGATGAAAATGTTCTTGCAGCTTGTGTTGCGTTTTTGTTAAAGTAAGGCTTTTGTTTGAGCTAGTTGGTCTGACACATTGGCATAAATATTACGGCATCTTTTTTTTCAACGCTTTCTACATTCTGTCTTGCGAATTCTTGTTGCTGGAAAATGCTGAGTATATTAGTGCACTGGTTTCAAGTATGCAATATTCGATGAAAAATGATGATTTCGCATACTTGTGCATTGGTTTCAAATGCACTATTATTTTCCCGTAAAATGCTTAACATTTCATGTGCTTCTCAAGACCCATCTTCTCTAAAGCAAGAGTTACAAAATGTATCAGCATATCAACAATCTGGAATGAAAACTGGATGTGATTAAACAGGCATTGATGTACTAACAAGATTTGATTACCGTATTTACTCGCATAATGCTCGCGCTTTTTTTGGCGGAAAACCGATACAAAGTTGGTGCGAGAATCAAGCAGGGAAAACTTTCCACGAAAACGTACAGTGCAAAAAAGAAAGCGAAGTGGCCGCAAATCGGGATTCTCACACCAGCAACTAAAAGCAAGCTTTGAGAAGTACTAATTAAAACTGACGTCAACAATAGAAGCACTGGTTCAACACAAGACAAGATTTGAGACACAAAAAGTGCAAGCAAATAGTTGAGAATCAGAATATCGTAGGCAAAGCTTGTGGGTGTTGCGGGCGTAGCGGTAGCGTTCGTCGCTTAACAGGAGCCCTCAAAAGGTAAACGTAAGACGTCAGTATTGGACTGATGGCGATTAACAGAATCGTCCGTAGCTTCCTTCTGAAGAAATCAAGTTTACCATCAATCCCAGTTTCAGGCACACGGCAGACCCAACGCTTCTTGGTGGCTTTCAACTGCCGTCACCAGTAGCGAACACAAAACTCGTTGGCCCCGAAGGGCCTGCCGGTGGTCCTGTTGCTGATGTGTAATGCATGATCTATTGCTTTCAACTTGAAAGCAGCCGTGTAGCTTCATTATCGCCCATAATGTGACAATATTACCGACACAACATGCAAAACACGCCGCAACACGCACTTGCCACTTTGGCTTGGCTTGGATTGGATTGAATCTTCGTGCAATAGTATGCTTGATGCTTAAAAGATGGTGCCAGACGGCACCCGCTATCATCATCAGTGGTTGGAACGAGCAGACATTATTGCAGCAGTTTCCGGTAGTGCGGTAATTACTCGAGGAAAAAAAAAAAAAAGAAATCGTATTTTTGTTGTGCGATGTGGGGGTGCGAGAATTATGCGAGTACGGTATTATAATGGGCTGAACTGTCAAGAATGAAATTCCTTCGGTATTTTCGTGCACTCACAAATGTTCAGCATACCGTAACTCTTGTTCGAATGGGTTTGAAACATCAGTGTTTGATTCATTGCATGCAGTTTTCATTCCATGTTATTGTGATATGCGGGCTTACTTAACTCTAGTCTCCCTCCTGTCAGGGCAAGTGAAATAACGGGAATTTTTATAGCGGCGTATTGTAACAAAAAAAATAATTTAATGTTTTGCATTCAAAATACAAAAATGCATCTGCTGCGAAAGTTTGGTTAAATTCTGTTCAAATGTGTAAAAAATGTGAGGTAGCCCCGTAACAGTTTACTGCGGGGCCTTGTGTCCTCGACATAAATCTCTTCTTGACTGTTTCTTTTTCTCTCCTCGATGGAACAGATTGCGCGGGCCGTGGCACAGCGGTTAGGCACAGACCCTTATTTATTACAATTTTTCAAAGTTCAGAGGTGAGTACTTGTTGCAATTTTCTGTTTTGTTCTCTTTTTTCCTGTTTTTCCCTTTTGCCTTGCTTCAAGTTCTACCCGCACGCTGCCTTTCCGTTCACTTTTTCATGCAAAGGTTCAATGAAAGGCTGAGTGAAAGAAGCGATCGTAGAGGTCGTCTTGGCTCTCGGGCAGTTGCAGCACGAATTTTACAAAGTGCAAAATTTCAAAATTGGGTGGGGTTAAGGGCAGAAATGCTTCTTAACTCACAGTGTAAAGGAATTCCATCTTAATTGACCCTCTCTACACGAGCATCTCGCGTGTCGCTTGCATGTTGGTGGTCCGCCACACGAGAGGCGTCCGAAGTCCAGCGATGTAGGTCAGGCAGATGCTTACGTGAAGTTATAACCTATTGCCGATACAGAAAGGTGTGTACTACTTGTGCAGTGATTATATGAGCAAAGTGAGCTGGTAAGATGCGTGGGGAGGTGGTTTGTGTCGCTTGTCGCATAAACTATGAACTTACGCAAGCGACCACTGCCGCTCTCAACATGGTATGTGTTAGAGTGCACACACAAAAAAATTATAACTGTTGTGATCAGGAAGACATAGGCTTGTTTTGCTTGGTTGTTTCAGGGAAAACTGTTTTAAGTCGGTTGTGGTGGCCAGTAGTTTCATTAATTCGGGTTAATGACTGCATTGTACGGTAAGGGGACTGCCGGGAACATGCATTTCTTTGTTCGGTGAGGAGCTTCTGCAAATATTGTTAAACGAAAGTTTTAGCTGAACCTTCATGTATCAGCGAGTTATGGCACAGTAAAAGGTCAATCGATGTAAAGTTCAGTTTTTGGGACGTTAAGAATATAATGTTGTTGAATAGTGCGACATGTTTAGGGTCCTTCATAATACTATGTCGTTGAATAATGTAACATGTTGGTCGGCAACGAGCACGAGCAGTGACAGGCCTGTCCTTCACGGCACTGTCAAGCTTTGTGTGCTGGCAGGAATGGTAATGGTATGTGGCGCTGGTTGCCTTTTGGCACTGCTGTTGTACTGAGTTGCGAGTGGTAGCGAGATGTTGTACGTCATGTTATACTTCCACTTTGCTATTGTTGGTGCTGGTACTAGTTAGTGCTGGTGCTGGTTTCAGAGTTTGAGAAAGCAAGGACAACGCAGCCTTGTCAAGTTTTTGAGCTTTGCTCTTTGTGCTGGTCTTCGGTCGGTGCATATCTTTTATTGCCCTGCCTTTTGTTCCCCCTGCCCCACCCGAGCAGTTACCGTGAAGGTCCCGGTAACCCGCTGAGGTGTACATACGAGGGAACGCTCAAGGACCTGTTAGTGTTCTTCAAGCCAAGGCAACCCAAGAAAATCTATTACCAACAGGTGAGACCACCCGCCTCGTGTTACTGAGGCGGTGCCCCATATATTTTTGTATTTCAGAGTCACTCGCAGTAAGCGAAATGACACGAATATCTAAAGACGGAAAGTGACCAGCTGTCTAATGAAACCTTAAGTCCACTCTAAAACATCCCAGTTGAAATCTTTTGCCGAGCTTAGCCGATCTAGAAGTTGGTTAACTAATCCTGCCTAATTAGGCAGTCAAGCTGACCACAGGTAGTGTGGGACTTGGACAATAGTCAGCAGTAGCTATTCGTTCGCGTTGTCATTGGGCGCATTGGCATATATTAAAACACTGGCTTTAGCCGGGGTCACCCTGTGTGTTTTGTAAGGAATAGCGCTTAATTTGTGTGCAGTAACGCTGTGCAGAGTTTTAGATGGTGCATCCGTGGATTTCCTTATTTGCTATGTTCATGGATCAGCAATTATGGTCAATATAAGCTCCATATAATTAGATACGGATGTAATGACCTACTGGATTTTGAAAAAGTGGACTTGCGATTGATACAGTGTCATAAATACATGTTCGTAACAAATTTTTGGTTATAAGGAATGTTTTTCTGTGTCAGGTGCACCCTTACTGCTACAAGTTTTGTCTCCCTGCAAGGATTATTCTGCCTGCAAGCATAATTCCTATTCTGTTCAGTCACTCGTTGTTGCCTTGCTCCGATTGGTGTTTGTCTTTTTCTTTTTTTTTTTTTCACGCCCTCGTGTGGTTAAATCTCTAACATACACAGACGTAACAGTGTGTTGTTTCTAATGAAGTGAGAAATAGTCTGATATCCTGCATTGCTGCTTTTGATACGTGTTTAATAATCAGCATGCAATGGAACAATCATTTTGACTTAATTTTCGTGAACTGCTGTGACTGGAATTGAAGTTTTAAAGCTGTGTTTCGTGGTATGTAATGCTAGTGCTGTCTATGTATAGTTACTACTGTTTAAGGGGAGATGCTACTCGAAGACACTTTTTTTTAAATATTCTCCCTATAGCAATAAAACTTAAGCTGTTTATGGAACTTTTTATGCTGGTTTCAAATATATAATTAGTTTTCTTGCAAGGTACACACTTTTAGCTCTGTAACATGACAAACGAAAAACCTTAACCCTTTTGCCCCCCCCCCCCCCCCTCTTTTCATCCCTAAACTTCTGTAATTTTTTACCATTCATAGTTCATAATGCTTCAAATAAAGTGTAGAGTGCAAATAACTAATTAGGAAGCACATATGAAATATTTAATATGCTTGAAAAATAATAGACTAAAAAGTTCATATTTCACCTACCCTAGTAAAGGTATACATACAATTTTTTATTATACAATAAAATATTGAAAATTGAACTAGATAATTGCATTTGTCATACTTTGGAAAAAATTTGGGCAAAATTTCATGCAGATCCGAGTACTAGAAATGTCCGAAAAAAAAGGGGCACAATGGAAAAAATGACAAAGTTTGTGTTTTGAGAAAAACGAGGTTAAAATTGAGTCTTTATTTATCAAAGATATCATTAAATCAAATGAAATTTGCACACAAAAAAGAACAATCCTTGTAGTGGCCACTACGACTAAAATACGCCAGCACCATGAGTTTGTCTCTCTCGGCTTTTTCGAGCCGACTCCTCACAGACATTTCGCTCGCAGACAGGACCATGAAATGCTTGCCAAACTTCCGCTCTATCTGGCAGAGCCTTTTGCCAACTGCAAGCTAGGAATTTCGCAGTCCTAAGTCCAGTGTCATGCCGATTTGCAGCCATGTTTGTGCCACATACCGTCGTGCATAATGGCAATGTCGTCCCTGCTAAGTTCTCTCACTGCGAGCTCTTTTCACCTCTCAAGATTGGCGCTGACGTCATTCATTGCCGCATCACGAACTTTCCAGCTGACGGGTGTAAATGACTTTTGATGCACTGGCTTTTGCAAACCAACAACTGCCGCAAATCGGACCAGCTGCTCGTAGCCTACTCCTACAGAGCGCGGTGCACAACGGCTTTCACTTGCGAGCAATGCCTTTTTTTTCATTCACAACGGAGATAATTACACAAGAAAGGCATTATTCAGTGCACTGCTCGACAAGACATGGACCCAGCCAGTAGGTTTCACAGCACATACAGGCGCGCAGCGGCCAATGGCGGTCCCCGATTCGTACCATGTGATAAGCAAGTCGTGGCGCTCGAAAAACGTGCAGAAGAGTGCTTCTTTTCATTATTTCTTGCACTGCATCAGCGAGAGAAATTGTTGTTATATGAAGAGTGAGGCTCGACTCTTCGACTCATGCGATCAACAATGGCGAGCGGCGGCGCATTATCGGCGGCAAGGTGCTCGAAGAATGCACACTTTGGACCATTTAACAGGCACCTTGTGCTCTTTAGGTGCAAGTTTAAAGCGTTTCAAGTCAAGTCTTGCCCTGTATTATTTTTTTCATAACAGTAGAGGTACTAATCTTACTAAAACAGGCGAAAATAAAAAAATCAGTAATTTTGAATAAAACTCGCGTTTTTCGACCCGCATCTCTCTTTAATTAGGATTTATTTTTACTACTGTTTAATTACACTGATTATACATCTGCATTGTTATCCATCATACTCGCATGATTATTCTGTGAAATCGAATGGGTATGGGGTGCCAGATGTCTAGCCGGGTGACGTTTTTATAACGTCACTTTTTTCTGAAAGCACTACAACAATCTTGTACTGTTTCCCAAATAAACAATTATTAATGCTGTTTTGTATGTACACTGATTAGAAATATTGGCTCGTCTGTGTTTTGTGGAAAGGTTTTACTGTATGTGAGGTGCCTGTGAACCTAATCTATTTTGCCCAATTGAGGCGAGCCGCCTTGTTCTGATCGACATCTAGCTTTTTTTTTTTGTTTTTTGTTTTTTCATGCCCCTTCTCTCTCTCATTCTGCAGTTGAGCATACGAATAAACGAACTCGAGAGCAAAAAGCAGTTCAAGTGCATCTGGGTGAACAACAAGTTCAAGGAAGAGGTGAGTCCTGGCTGTTCCGGTCTTTCTCGCATGGCTGTTTTATGAGGCAATATAGTTCAGCTTCGTTCATTTTTCATTTTATGCCCAATCATGAGTGATTGGCTTATCGAGTACCAACTTATGTCCACTGTTGCGACATTGGGGAGACCTGTGCTTGTGGGGTGATGGGAAGGCTCTCCGATTCGTCAAAACTCAGGCTACCAAGTAAAGACTGGTACTCTTGCTGGTATGAGCAGTTGCTTCATTTTAGCAGCTTAATGGTAGCACCAGCAGCATCTAGTATTGCTTTTGCCAACTGTAACGTTCATGTGTTTTATGTTGGGGTGTTGCCAGTTTGTACCAATACTGGGTGGCTTCTACACTGAAATCACGATATAGCGAACCCGGATGTAACGGAACATCGGTTACAAAGAAGTAATAGAAGAATAGTCTTACAATAGTCATGTTGGGAATGTATCTTTGTAACAAATTTCCAGGCATAACAAACCTATTTTTGTGTAAGAAACAACTTCAATATAAGGAGGTCTGAGTGTAGCTGTTTGCTGTAATTGCCAGTCTCGTAGAAATAATAGGCACATGTTGCAAGGGCTAAACCACAACTCTTGTGTAGTCAAGCGTAAGAATGTACTAATCGTAAGGAAACACTGCATAGCAAGGATTTCAGTCATGGCTGAATAAGGGAAAAGATCACTGCATACGATAATGGGAAGTAAAACCTACTACTTTAACCTTTATATGCTGTATGGATGCAAAAATAAGCTATGTGAAGTACCTTTCTTCAGTATGCACTGGCACCATGGCACTACGGCACGATAGTGGGGGTACTACGGTGCGGCTGCCTGTTCATTCTAGTACTGCGATACCAGTTGTGGCATCTTGTGAGCTCGCAGAATAGATGCTGGCCAGTATGCCGGCACTGCAAGAACTGGCTGCACCGTACACGAACGACACCTTTTTCGCTGAGAAATGCCCGGTTCGTCTACAATACCAGTCTTTGTGGTTGCAGCGAGGGTCGAACCAATGTCCTGCTCTAACGAAGGATGCAGTCCCAAATATGCTTTCAAAGCAAATTAACCAAAGCTGAAACATGCACTATTTCATTGGGTTGCCTAGGCCCAGAGGCGAGAAAATTAATGTTAGCCAAGGTTGGCAGCAAATGAAGACGAGACCGCATTCTGCGCAAGGTAATTGGGGTTAGTAAATGGCGGTCACCTAAACTAAACAAATTCCTCCAATGTGATTGATTCTGTTCTTGAATTGTTTATCTCTATGTAAATGGAACTCCTGTTAAACAGAACAAGTTTTCCTGGTTCTTTCATGTTGCATCCAAAGAGAGGCTATCTAATGTTGTTTGATAGTGTTCGCCAGGCCACGGAAAACATCTCGATAAGCCTAAAAGTCAACTCCGGCAATTTTTCGAGATCAGTGTTGTGATGAAATTCACTGGTCACGTTCGTTTGCACGTTTGTGCCATTCATGCCTAATTGCAGGCTTGAGAGTTTTGCAGATTTTTTTCAAATGGAAGTTATAGCTTGGCTCCAAACATTCACCTTGCTTGCCAGAGTTAATGGTAATATTGAGTATGGGATGTTTATTTTTGTTAAGCGGAAGTGACGGAACTGATGTGCCACTGAAGAAGCGTCTTGTCTGCTGTGATTGAGTGGGTTTGGCTGTCGCTTCCTTGGTTGAACATGGGATTTCCTTTTCAGTGTTGGTTGTCGTGTGATAGGTGGCAAGTGGTGTTGCGTTGTGGGCCACACACGATTCGTCATATATTCACCGTAACAGAGCAACCGTTTTAGCTAATCTCCGCGCGCAGAAACTCTCACAGCCCGGACAGGTAGTGCCATCTGGTGGCGTGACGTGCAACCAGGCAGGTTCGAGCGAAAGATTCATGTCATACATAGAAGTGCACACGGTTGGATTTTGATTTTGGTATTGCAGTTTTTTGCAAATCAAAAATTATTTTCAAATTTCTTGAGCATTTCTGCTATCGGGTGCATGACAAGTGTCTCGGAAACATGAAAGTACCATTATCTAGACACGGTAAAAACAATCGCTCGAGTTGGCCTTCAAAAATGTATTACTGGCGGTCATGTGTTCATGTCGTCGGTTGGCGGCTGGCAGTACTCAGCAGCAGCGAAGCAGTGTTTATCTCGTCTTTTGTAACACGCTTCCCTTTTGCACAGAAGGAGTTGGTCCTCTACCCGAACAAGAACGGCTGTGTTAGTGACCTGCTGGAAGAGGCACGCAAGCAGGTGGAGCTCTCGGAGGATGGTTCGGGGAAGCTCAGGTGGGTGGGCCTCGGTCTTAATTGGCAGTGTCTGCGATCACTGGCCAGCAAGTTGGTCATTCTCCGGTGATTGGACAACTTAGTGGTACTGTTATGCAAACAGCCGAAATTTAGGACTCCTCAAAGTGTGCCCGAGTAAGCAGTGAAATGCATTTTTGGTCGTGGTGGCATTCCGATTGCAATAGGCACATTTACTCGAGATGATCAAAAAAAATATATATATCGGAGGCAGTTTTGGGCCCTTTGAGAGCATACCGAGACCAGTTTTGCTACGCCATACAGTTCATAAATACGAGTGTGTGTGAAGCTCGGAAATGGCCGAGATATTCTAGCAAATAAGCCAGTTTTCGCTAGCTTTAAGTCCTTACGTTGACACTAGTGTGATGATGTCAGGCTAGAGTACCTGTGATCGCTCATCAACCAAAACAGACAAAATGGTTGTTGCTATCAAAGCAGCCATTGAAATGTCACAATATTTTGCACGAGCATGTGACAAGAGGCTCCTACCATGTTGTGGCATCGGAGGTACAGTAACAACGAAACTGCTTTTGAAAGCATGTTGTTTTTCAAGGTGCCCTCACGCTTACTGGTACACATTCTAGGCCCTCGAGGGCCAGGACCTCTGACGTGAAGACGCGCCTGAAAATTATCCTGTCATTAGCTCTTGAAGAGTGCACTAAAGAACTAGCCTGGCCCAACCCCAACTCCAAAGCTCCTATTCCGAAGCCCCTCTGGGCCCACCGGGAGGAAAATCTTCTAACCTGCCTGGCCCGGGTTTTCGGAACGATCCGAGCTCGTGCAGTGCCCTTGCAATGCTTGTGCTGTGCTCCCTAGAGTTTCCTGCATATTTTACAAGAGACAACTCTGGCGCTGCGATCGTTTCGCCACCATGGGAATGAGGGGTAGTACACTTAAACCTTGATATAACGAAGCTGGATATATCGAAATATCGGTTGCAACAAAGTAAACAAAGAATATTCTTGAAGTAGTGTTAAGAATACACCTTTATAACAAATTTTTGATTATAAACGAACTTATTTTTGTATAAGATGCAACTGTTTTAATGAGGTTTGACTGCATGGATTTGCTTAATACCATATTTACTCGCATAATGAACACACCTTTTTTTTTTTTTTTTTTAAAGAAAAGTTGACACTAGTTTAGGGGGGAGCGTTCATTACATGGGAGAAAAAAAGTCACTGGAGTTATAACGGCAAAAATTTCGGGTGACCACTTTGCTTGTTTTGACCCGTGAAATGCACGACAAATTTTTTTTGTAGCCCGAAGCTCCTCTCATCCCGTAACGAAAGTGCATGGAACAACGCCAAAGTGTCGTTTAGTCGCTCCGTTCCGATGCTCCAACGCATGCTGATAGTAACCAGCCGTGTAGCTAGCGTACCGGCGGGAACGCGCCTTGCGCAGCAGGTGTCCCAACTAAGTTCGCAATGGCAAACCCAACAACAAAAACGCAGCGTTGGATGGTGGTGCACAAACATTGTGGCAGACGTTGCAGGTGCACAACGCGCCGTCAGTGCAGTGGGTGCGGTTGCGCTTTGCATAGGTCCGAGATGGCGAGCGCGTGGCGTGCTCCATGACGGAGCGCGAGGGCCATTTTGGACGCCATGCGCTTTGTTTTTGTGCCGCTGTGCTTGAGTGGCACTATCGGCAAAGAGGTTTCTCCTGCATGCTGCAGAAGGCGCTTTGCCGTACGAGGCCAGACTTTCAAATTTTGATTGACATCGTCCGTGCTCGCACTGCTCGCAACTGTTTAGCATGGTTGCAAAACTATCTTTGGCTTTCATTGCGTTATTTTGTGATATAATGGCTTGATTTAACGTTGTTTCGAACGTTAATGGCACTGGCTATCATACCGAAATAAAATAAACAGATTAATACATTAAAAAGTTATTTTTTCAAGGATCAAGGTGCGGGGTGAGTTGATTATGAGAGTTGGTTCATTACGCGAGTAAATACGGTATTAACGCTTGCATCCTTGAACGCACTTATGGCTTCATATATCATGATTTGGTGTTTGTCTTGGATCAAATAATTGATCGTTGTGAACTTCCCGGTGAACTTCCTGAGCTCATTTGAATTGGCTTAAGAAGCTCAGTGGGGTGAAGTGGAACTGCTGAATGTTCTCTGAACTTCATCTTGTGACAAAGTGGCAGCAAGCGACATAAAGCTAAGTGGAACTGTGAAAACGAAGCTTAGAGAACAAATTTATGTACAGTAGACTCTCGGTAAATGGAAATCTGAATGGAACTACTGCCTAAACGGAACTATTGCCTTTGCAATACTTGGTTTCAGGTTTGTATTCTGCACCCATGTTCACCTTTCAGTAAATGGAACTCCTGTTAAATGGAACATATTTTCCCGGTCCCTTCAGGTTTCATTTACTGAGAGTCTACTCCTGGGCTGGTTAAAGCACCATGTGTTACAGCTCTCATAGACCCTAGTGCCCGAGTTCCCCTCTAGTGTAGTGTGCTTATTGAAAACTACATCAGTGCTCGAGCCAGCCCAAAATGCCACAGAATGAGCACATTGCTGTTTTGGCAAGGAGTTTAGCGACTGCTTGCTTTTTGGTTCATCTCGCACAGGCTGATGGAGGTGATCAGCTACAAGATCTTCTCTATCCAGCGGGAGGACGTCCCACTGGACAGCCTGAGCCAGGCCAACTCGAAATCGTATCGCATCGAGGAGATCCCCCGGGAGGACCTCATCGTGGCCGACAACGAGATCCTCATTCCGTGCGCCCACTTCCAGAAGGTGCGCGCTTGACTCGTCATCGGCCTCGGCTTCGGCACGACTGTGACTTTTGTGCAAGAGTTGTGTGGTAGCTTTACAGTTTGCTGTAGTCACAAGCTTGGCCCTTGGTCTTGACTTTGGCTTTCCCTAGTTTTTATGAAGGGTGCCCTGCAACGCTTTTAAAGGGTACCTGTGTTTTAATACTCACTATAGACTGCTATGTAGACGGCTACGTTGATTGTTATGTCGACAGTATGTAGGAGGATATCTAAAAGGCTTCGTAGAGAAATATGTAGATGGCTTTGTCTACAGCTAGCCAGAGCCCGAGATGCGTGTGCATAGTATCGCGTTGTGGCCCCGCCGCGGTGGTCTAGTGGCTAAGGTACTCGGCTGCTGACCCGCAGGTCGCGGGTTCGAATCCCGGCTGCGGCGGCTGCATTTCCGACGGAGGCGGAAATGTTGTAGGCCCGTGTGCTCAGATTTGGGTGCACGTTAAAGAACCCCAGGTGGTCGAAATTTTCGGAGCCCTCCACTACGGCGTTTTTCATAATCATATGGTGGTTTTGGGACGTTAAACCATACATATCAATCAGTATCGCGTTGTGCCGCAATATGGGGACACGTCTAGCGTGGATTGGTGGATTGTTTTCTGTCCCCACGCAGAACTGAGCAGGGTGCAGATGGCAGGGTGGTTGGTGTTGGCACGCTTTGCTTTCAGTGTGGATGTGCCTTAAGTCCCGTTTTGTTTCTCGTTAAGTCGTACAAAATAAGCCGCTTTGAGAAGATGGAATCTGATACAAAGCATGCTGGCTACTTGTCTGTCTAGACAAGATGGTGGCTCAGTAAAGGGCTCAGACCTTGCCAGTATCGTCGTTTGCACGCCAGCAGACGCTTTTTCTTGCGTAAATTTTCATTTCAGGTAAATTTTTTATAATTGAGCGCGAAGGATGTTAGGGAGATAACAATGACATGAGCTTTTCTTAGCTTTCTCTTGTCGACGCGAGGGGGTATCATGTCACACAGATGTCATCTGGATGCATTCTATTTCTTGGAGTATAGGTGTTTGCTACTATTTTTTTCATGCAGTTACTGTAGACTACCTAGGACGCTGTCCAGAATCCCAACACAGCCCAAGTAATCATTGAAGGGTTTCAATAAAGGAGTTTATTGTATTGCGTCACAAATTGACTGCCACAAAAATTTTTAGAATACGAGCGGAGTCACGGGGACTTGTCAGACTGGTGCAAGCACATTCTCCTTCTATACTGTTGAGCGTGCTGAAAGCTACGCAGGTGGGCATTGATGAGGGTGGCAAAAAGCCACGTTTTACGTCAACACGCGCCATCACCTTGAGCACCTTCTCTTTTTTTTCTTCCCATTCATGACTTCAGTGTGATTGCACAGGCGGGCACACAGCGCCATCTCATCACAACTGTGGCCACTATACAGCTGACGGTGCTCAAAGGGGTGGTGCCATCAAGTTTCGAGGCTAATACAAGCCTCTTCCGGGTTTCCTCTGTACGCTAGGGACACTACACAAGAGCGGTCGGACACAGCAAGTGTTTGGAATATATTTTAATTCACCTCCAAGGTCGACCTAAATGCTCATTCTCCCGACCAAAGCCCATCGCAAGTGCGTCCAGAACTCTCATAGCTCTGTAGGAAGGTTAACGAAAGTTGCATGCAGTGACGTCACACCACATGTGCAGTGAGCGTAGGCGTTGCGCAGGTTTTTCCCCTGCATGGGGAACAAAGGTTCATCGCAGCGCACCCTCCCCCTATTATGTCAATGTATGGGTCTGACTTTGCACCTCCTCCCTATTATGCCAATGTGTGGCGCTGTGTTTGCACACCCCTCCTCGTATACTATGAGAGTGGCTGCACCCTTGACCCACTCCCGTGTGCATGCTAATGTAGTGGGGTGAGTGACCTCTGGAGACCTCTACCATTTACATACCGGCAAAGCATCACGACTGCTACGCATTTCTTTTGCAGGTGCTAGTGCAGCAAGTAAGGTGTGGGATTGGGCTTGTTGATAATCGCACGTGTGTGCGAGAAAGCTAGCGAGAGCAGACGACAGTCAGCACGACATGTGTCCGTTTTGTGTGGCCACATGACCATGCTACACTGCTACGTCACGGCCCAATTCAGCCCCCAGAAACCGAAACCAAAAATTGTCTACATAAAAAAAAAGTGATATTAGTTTATTTAGCGAGAACAAATTCAAGAAAAGCGAGCGATTTTTAGCCGACTGAGAATCGTAAATTCCAGACAACATGTTGTGCCATCTTTGGCTTGCGTGTTCTCGGGAGCCTCGATTATCGATTGGCAGCGTTTTTTTTTTTCTTTACCATTCTCAAATAGTGTTGCAGTGCCCCTTTAATTAACGCATTGCACCTACGCATTGCTTAGTTCATAACGTCTGTGCGCAGACCTCCGACAGACCAATAAGCTTTGTCATGTGACCGGTATCTCGATTCGCTTGGTCTGGGTCTTCGTGATCTTCAAAAAGTGGGTCAAAAAATTTGGTTGCCGTTCGGCAGGTCTCTGTTGATGTTTTTATACCCGTGCCACTAGAACCATCTGAAAAGGCGGTGTCACAAAAATAAAAAATGTTTGTTGCTGTTCTAAATGTGGCCTTTAAGCTTGAAAGTTCAACTTTTTTCACCGAGCATTCGTTTGCCGGGATTTTGTATTGGGCTCTTGATGGCATTACATTGCCGTGCTGGTCGCTAGTTTCGTCCATTCTGCAGGCTGCATTGTGGCGAAGGTTTAAAAAAAGTTTCTTAGTTGCGTAGACTTCGTTGGTTCATGTTAGTCATGTTAAAGAACCCTGGATAGTCAAATTTGACCGTATAATAACGTTCCAATCATTATTTAGGTTAGAATTGGAGAAACCCAAAAAATCATTCGTATTTGGCTGAAGGGGGTTTTGTGTTCGTGAGCAGTTGACACATGTAGCTTGACATTAAGTTGACTTGTCCGTTAAGCGTCCTTCAAAAATACAAAACTAGCGAATTTGTAGTCTCTCTATGTGTCCCGAATTTCTCGTGCGTTATATTTCATCTGTAGAGTAGTGGAGCCACTAACCGATAATTTGAATTCCAATTATTAGGGCACGGCTCGTTGACGCCATCAATTGACAATCAATATTTTAGTAAAACTGTGTATAGTGCTCTAATTTGGACACCATATTCGTTACCACATGTTAATATCACTGTTGTTAAACCAATATTATAATTTTTTGGTATTGATACATTGCCAGCCCTTTTCCAAAGTCAAAAAATCGCTGAGCTAATAATTTAGACAGTCACTGACACTGCCCGCTGCTTTAAGCTACCCTAACCCCCCTCCCCAGGATAATCTAACCTAAAAGGATTATCCTAAACGGATAATCTAACCAGATTTGGGAGGAGGGCGCCTGCTCAGTCCCGGAGGGGTCATTGGGGCTCATTTAATAACTTGGGAAAAAGGGTGTGCTTTTCGGGTTTGGGTGCTTTATTAGAACTTTACGATAGCCAATCAGCCGTGTAGCCATGTAACAGCTATTAGCCTTTTAAACAGCATTATGTGCGATTTTCATGCGAGCTTCATTTTGCCCCTACAGTATTCCACGATTTAAGTGTTAATCACTGATAGTGACTGATAATGGTGGTGGCCTTTCCCTCTTAGATGTGAAGCAGCTCTTTGACTTGACTGTAACGCTTTCCCTCCGTACGAGCGCATCACGCGCTGACAATGTTGGCTTGGTGCTAAGTAGGTCACACTAAGGCACTGACATTAACCGGTTTTGCGGCAAAACCGGTTATTCGATTTCGAAAACCAGATATTCAGTTGGTCATTCAGTTAACAGTACCATAATATTCGGATAATCAAATAACCAGATTTTCATTTTGTAATGCTAGGACAAATATTCATTTTTCATGGATTCTCGTGTTTGTAGAAAACATGGCAACTATTTGTACAAGTCCGGTATGTGCTTTTATAGACCTTCTCACGTTATTCATTTGTCTTAATGTGGGGTCATTATGTGAGCCACGAGTGATAATTCCTCTTAAAAGGTAGCTAGTGATTACTCATTCACAAACTTTCCGTGAGTTACGTATATCCGCAGGGTGTGAAAGTGCATGCATAGTTGAGAAACGGGGAGTCTTTGCATGGGCCATTAGTGATTACGTCGGCAATGAATTAACTAGCTGCGCATGTTGTGTCGGTGCGCATACAATAGCAGTTAAATTTCGAAAAAGCTCTCAGCGAGACTAAATATCCGTTTCTGAATATTCGAACAATTGGGTGTTCGTTCATTCAAATGGGATAAGCAGAATTGCCGTTTTTTTTTTTTTTTTAGTCCGGATAACTGGCTTTCAAGGCCAATTCGCTTTTCTCCGGTTAAACCAAATAGCTGGTTTGGCGGATGCTTGCAAGCCCTAGATAGCACCTCTGCTGCGCGTTGACATCACGCTCCCCTCGCAGTGCGCGCTGACGTCACTCTCTTCTTCGCCTGCCACGCACCAGCGCGGTTCCCGCAGCTGCCACCTCGTACGTTCCCCCGAACCACCTGCCGCGACCGCCGTACACTTTGAAACATGCCTGTATGTGCCACCTACAAGTCCTGTGCCAACGATCTCTTGAAACGAATCTTCCAGTGCTCACCGCAGCACCCGTGTTAGCATCGTTCAACCTGCGATGACACCCGTACACACCTCTGCTGTTTCGCATCCGATCAGGGTTTTCTGCGGTGGGATGGCCCAAGTTGTTAACTGGTTTCTGTAGTTCAGCGACACCAAAACCGGTGTGACCGAGGTAAAACAAGCAAAAGATTAAAAATTACAATACTGTAAATGCGGGAGGGGGAGAGAGAAAAAGAAGGATTAAACTTTCGTGCTCCACACCAACACTATTATTTGATGGGCCTCCGTGTCACCTTCGTCAAACAGTTTCCATTGTTGCCAACTTTGTTGTTCATGCCTGCATGTTGGTGAGAGAATTAGCAGGTGAATTACCTGTTTTGAAGTTACCCTCTTTTTTTGCAATCTTAAAAGTAGAGGCACTTTTCACTAGTTGCATGATCTTCACCTCATTTTTTTAGATTAAACATCCGACAATGCAATACTTTGTTTCGTAAAGTTCCGCATTTTTCAGCAATACCCGATCTCCAATTTATTGGAAAGTATCAGCGGAGCTATTAGTTCAAATTATCGACCTGCGTCTGTAGAGCAAGCGCTAGATCTCGCGGAAATTTTAGTGAATGTGAGAAAACTGTGCTTTTCTTTCATTTTTTTTTTTCTTCTTACAAAGGTGACAGCCGTAGTTCCCAGTGCAGCTGTTGCGTTTTTTTTATTTCTTGCTCTCTTTCGACGCAGGTTCAGCGGAGTCGCGACTATCAGAGCGATTCGCCCGACGACACTATTACTTGTAAACAAGTAAATATCACGCCAACGTCTCTCTCTTCACGTTATGTGTAGTCCTAGCGTTTGTCCATAACACGTAACTCTAAGGCTAACACCTGTGTTGTGTGCTGTGATGACGGGGAGAACGCTGGCTAACGAGAGTAAAACTCGGTTGGATCTCCGGAAACCTTCGAAGCGTCTCGATGCGGTTGAAGCGGCGTAACGAACAGCTACATCAATCGGCCACTTGGTTGAAGATCTCGGTTGTAGATCTTGGGAGGCCCTTGGGTGGCATGGGTAGCGGACCTTTCGATTTCTCCGATGCTCGTAGTCTGTAATTTAACGGCGGTGTAGAACTGAGGACAAAGTTCACCTGCACGAGCTGGCTTTTACATTCCTTGCAGTGATCTCTAGTTGGCCAGTTGTTCACTGCTTTAGCCCTAGTGTTTCGTCAGCAAAACGTATTAATACTTCTCGTTCTTTAACAATCTAACAAAGTGGGCTCTGTCTTATGACCTGCATGTTGTATGTTGACCTCTTTTCTTCAGAGTTGCTTGTAAAACTTTCCGGTTGTTCGTAGTGTTTTTTTGGGGGTGGGGGGGCTGTTTACCCTTTTCCTGCAAGTTTTTTTTTTTTTTGAGTACCTGTCCTGTTCACTGATAAGACGTTTGTCGATGAATTCGTGGTTAAATGTCAAAATGGAACATGCATTGGGAAAGGCAACAAGCAGCATTATGTATGCACTGGCTGTGGTACAACGAACAGTGTGGACACTGCCCTGGAGATTGTTGAAAACTAAATATAGACTTGGGCACATTTTCTCTAAATGAACTGATTAGGAAATTTTTACTGTCTCTTCGTATTTGTGCATCTTTTTTTTTACCTCAAAAAATATTTCAAAAGGGAAAAGCTATTAAGCTTTAGTTTCATTCTGGGTTCTTGGGTAAAATCAACACCACTTTTTGGGGGTTTCTCTTGGGAAGACTATTTGCTTATTATTTAACGGCACCCGGCTACCTTGTTTGCTGGGTCCATTTCTTTAGCCATTGCTTAATGAGCTATGTTGGCGCGGGTAGAATGCAAGGACCTTGTATGTCTCAAAACTCAGCGGCAACAGTTTCCACCTGTCGTTGTAGTCCTGTGTCTCGTGATGTAAGGATTGTGCTAGCGATGATGTCATCGGCACTCTTTCTTTGTGACTCTCTACGATACGTGTTCGCATGGAGGATGAATGGCGGGACTTAAAGAAGTATCAATACATGTAAACGTGCGAGTCGGTGTGAAGACGATGTTAAACAACTGCTGCGCAGTATGCACTTGCAGCCGCTGGCTTGACCCACAGTCAATCGTTTCGGACACTGCAAGTGTTTGTTCAATTTAAGGCGGGGTGTGACCTTTCCAGCCCCTCCTTTTTGTTTCCTGGTTTTGTGTGTCCGTGCCCAACGTCCCTCTCTTTTTGTTCATGTTCCTACTTTTTTCTTTTCTTTTTCAGGAAATCTTCTCAACCTTTGGTGTACCGTTCATGCTAAAGATTAAGCATGTAAGTGAAACGGAACTGTACAGCATGCTGGTTGGGGGCTGTACGTTGCATCACCTATGTGCGCATGCTTTCACTATTCATTGTTCGTATGCGGGCCTCACCCTAAATTGTACTTGCACGATGCTCAAATCCAGGGAGAACCCTTCGCAAAAGTCAAGGACAGGATCCAGAAGAAGCTGGATGTCCCCGACAAAGAGTTTGAAAAGGTGAGACCTTTGTGATTTCTTTGCAATTTTGAGCTGTTGCGTGGCCTGTGCGTCTATCGCTTTTATGCAGACTAGTCGGGTTAAAATATCACCGGCCTCCCAGTGCTGAGGGGTAGAGCACATTTACGATGAGAGTGGTGGTGGTGGTTCAGCGATAAAAGTGAGAAAGAATAGAACGTTCTGTTGATAAGCGCATCATCTTTCCTGGGCACTTGAGGGAAGACACTTTCTTGCCAGATACAAGGAAGTTGGGAATGCCTCAACTGCTGGAACACCGTGTGTGCGTGGTGACATGTTGCAGAGTACTCGTCCCTCTGCAAGTTTCACACAGTGCACAGTTCTTAGTGAAGTCCTGGGTTGTTGCTTGCAGCTTGGTTAGAAAATGTGTTTTTTTCTGTACCCTGGCCTTTGTTTCTGCTATGCTCGCTCCTGGTTAGCATCTAGTCTGTGTAAATGGGCAGTTATAACGAGCTTTGGTCAATGCAGGTTATTTGTAATAGTAAAAAACTTGCAGGTGAACTTTCCTGGTGCTTCGTTAGCAACGCATTTGTCGATAAACGTTGTTCCCCTGCTGAGGTAATGCTCCTTTGCTCTTCAGTGTGCCCTCATGATCTCCTCTTCCGTGCAGTACAAGTTCGCCATCGTGGTGATGGGGCGCGCACAGTTCATCGAAGACAACGAGTATGTCGTCAACCTGTCCGACTTCATGGCCCAGGCGCCTCAAGGTGGGTGATTTATAGATAGATAAATAGAATTTTCGATTACCTGAAGACAATGCAGCTAATAGCAACGTAGCTAGCGTAACTTGCTACTCCTGGTGTAACGACTACGGTATATACGATTACCACATAGAACACACATTGACGAATATTGCACAAAGCTGTAATTCATAATTTCTCGGTTAGGTGGCCGAACGACTTCAGCTCTACACACCACACTGATAAGGAAAAACACCTGTAAAAGTCAGTTATTAAAGCTTCATTGAAGCTGATCAGAAGAAGAAGGGGGAGGGGGGTCTGCAAGTATTCAAAATTTTGAATATTTTTTTAATAGTGTTTAGTAGATTTTATTCACACCAAAATTTTGTCCACAATATTAGAACCAATGCAAAAATGACCTATAATCACGAGTATGACACTTTGTATTTGACTCGGTCATGTTTGTTGTGACGGCGCACATAGTTTTCTTACCAAACGTGAGTCCCAAACGAGACTGACGTTAGAGACATGAAGAGGCTTGAAGTGATCAGAAATTTTTTGAGACAGTCGCTAAAAACAGTTTTTCCGCAAGTTTACTAGTCGATTGTCTGGACGACAAAGTTGTCTCATCAGTATTAGAAGTGAAGCAGCCAGCATTAGAAGTGAGGACTCTCAAAGTTTTCAAAACACGACTACATGGATTTCATGAGCAGGAAAAAGCCCATAGTGACGTGGTTTATTGACGCTGGATGTCGGGGAAGCCTGACAAACGTTAACCGCGAAGTGTCGAGGAGCGGCAGGAGTGAAGCAGCCAGAATCCGGGCAAGCGCGAGCTCGAGTCTGGTGCTGCTACTGACGCTGGTGCTTGCTTGCTTGCTCGTGCCTTTCTTCGTCGTCTTTCCTTCACTACACAATGTATAATTTCTTGACATCATTTGAACTACATTCCAAAAGTTGTGGTGTACACGTATCCCGAAGGAGTACGGCCACCAGCGTGGGTCCGGTCTTAGCGAGTCGCAGGGCACACGTTAACCATCGCCGTGGCGAGAACACGATACTGCTCAACGTCGCAACACTTTATTGTGGCAACACCAAACGCAGTACAGCCCGTTGCAAAAAGGCGCGGCGGGAAAGCAAATAGGCTTATCCACGCCACGGGCACAAAGTACTACACAGGGTGCCACGATCACGTCTCCGCGGTAAAGGTGATCCACGGAGACACCGGGACCAAGGCCCGGTTGCTCGAGCGAGGGCAAAAGGCGCTCGCGTTGGCTTTGAAGGGAGACGGGTCGGCGTAGCTAGGCCACGCACTAGGACACCGTACCGCCCTTCGGCCGTGCGTACGCAGCGGAACAACAAAAGGTGAGCGTTCGCTTCGGGTGCGAGGCGCCGTCAGCGAAGTCCGACGAGCCATTGAGCGACGGGAGTCGACGGACAGAAAAGGTTGCGTGGCTCACCGTTTGCTGTCCCGGAGAGTATCCGACCGCTCCCGACGCAGCGCGCAAAAACCTCTCGGGGGTCCCCGCGCGCAGCGCCACAGTCAACCTCCGCTTCCGGGTGAGGGAGTTAAACGTCCCTCCGCTCTCTCAGCGCGGCAGACAGCAAAGGAGGGCAGACATGTCGGGACATGAGAACGGCAGAAAAGGCGGCAAAGCCCGCGCAAAAGCAGCGAGCTAGCCTCAATTCCCACAAAGTAAAAGGAGCAAAAACTATGTAGGGGTTCCAACACAAGTTCGAGCCTAAAGCATTCCACAGACAGCAGCTTGACTGGTGTTTTGATCAATTAGTATAGCGACACTGTACTGTTGTCAGTCCAGTCAGGCTTGCCGAGAGCTGGGCTCGCTTGTGTGCTCGTGCAAAATCAATACCTGCTTGAATAATGGCTCCAAACACATGTGCTCGCTTGCTGCAGCTAGGAAGTCAGAAAGACCTTCGCAGAACTGGAAATACCAGTGTTAGCACATCGCAGAGCCGCAAAAAATGTGTGTTGCCCGATTGAGTCATCTACGTTGAATGTGTCGTTGACTTGCTCTGTGTAGCTCACTGGGGCTTCTATGCTATGCCGACCACAACTTGCTGTCTCCATTTTCCCGTAGTTAGCATGCCAACCGAGCGAAATAACTGTGCACGATCCAACTGGCAATATTTCTGAGCGAGTGGTGTGAAGGAGCGGAGGCAAGCGCTACAAGCTCGAGTCAAACACTTCCCGCACTTCGCCCGATTTAAAATTCAAGAAACAAGAAATAAAAAAATGACATGCGAAGAAAGGAAAAATTCTTTACAGTGGTATCGAATTTTTTTATTTGTAAAAACTTGTGCAAGCCAAAAAATGCGAATGGCACATTAACCTCGCTCCGTTCAACTGGATCTTTGGATGCTCGGCAACTGCTACGAGCATGCATGTTCTTAAAACCGAAACTAGCACAGAGTTTCTGGGGCCTGGCTCAGCCTCAGCATTACCTTATCTTTGATAAAACAACTAGGGAAGACAATCGCTAGCCTAGCCACAAAGGACACTTTAATGATAATATCTGATAAGAATGTGCTTAGGGATCCTCTGCAACTCTTTTCTTTAATTTCAATTCAAAGTATTCAAAAAAAAAAAAGTCAAACAAAACTTTGGGGATCTGAGGCTTATGTCGTCAAATTCTTTGTCCTAGAACATGTGACGTAGTTATCCGAGCAACGTTTCAATGAAATGAAAAGTTTGCAAGTTTGCTCGGTTCAAGCAATATTCCAGTCTTACGGCTTTTTAGCCCTGGTAGATTGTGAAAACTTGTAGGTGCACGTTAAAGAACACGAGGTGGTCGGAACGGGTCCGCAGTAGCTTACTGCGTCGAGCGCGGCACAAACCCCTTCACGACGAGGAGGGTTCTTGAAAAGGGTCTTTCTTTACAGCATGCGTTAGATTGAGTAAACAAGACAGGACAAGTCTATGCTGGGAGCATAGACTTCCATCTGGATATCTGGAAATGCCTTTCTGCATGGTTCCTTACTAACCCAAGCTTGAACTTTTAAGGGGGGGGGTGGATATTGATTGATTGACATGTGGGGTACGGCCCAAAACCACCCATTTGATTATGAGAGACGCCGTAGTGGAGGGCTCCCGAAATTTTGACCACCTGGGATTCTTTAACGTGCACGGGGCGGGGGGGGGGGGGGGACGACAGCGCAGGGAGGTGTGCAAGCACTTCTGCCCATCGCTCTTATTTTTAATGCAAAATTTAAAGCATTTTTATCATATGTATTGTGAATTTGGCAAGAAAATACAAAGCTGTTCTAAAAATAGTAAAAAATGAATTATTTGGCTGTTTTTATTCTTGAAGGAACATTTGTGAGAAACAGCATGCATGTAAGATTGTGAAATCTCTTCTGATTACCACATGTGCCCAGGGTATCCTTCTGAAACAAAATAATAATTGTAGGCATGACCATTCTTTAGGCACAAGTATAAGTGTTTCATGACTAGAATTTTAGCACCTTTTTTTTAACATTTGTTAAAAATATTTTATGTAGCTACAACATTCTTTTGCCTCAGAAAGGGCTCGTAGTATTCAGAAAGAAGTTGCAAAAGTTAGTATTTTATAGCTTGAGTGGTTACAGAGGAAATGTTCCTTTTATGACAAAAAAAAAAGTGTCCGGAGAAAGCTCAATTTAATGGTACAGTAGTCATAGTGCATTCACGGGATCGAGTGTGGTAGGGGCGGTTTTTTAATGCTTTTCACTGCGTGTAAAAACGGTAATGCTGGAATTTTGTGCCTTGAAAATTGACAAAAAAAAAAGTCGCATTTTCAGTCTTTGCCCTCCATTCCCCCCCCCCCCTCCCCCAAAAGAGGAGCTCTGCCGCTTTTTAAGAGGTCTATACTTTAACTGTAGTATACAGTAACTCGCGAGAGTCGTATACACTAGAAGTGGCACGGCCATGCTAATGGCAGAAAAAGCGCGCGTCATGCCGGACTGTCCAAAATGCCGCACACGAGCGCCTTCAGGTAAAGGCCATCTTTTAAATTACGTTGCCACTTGGCAGCGCAGCGGGATCCCGCACTGGGTCACCGTGGCTTCACCGTGACGTCACATGTGTCGCTCCTTACGGCACACCGTAAGACTCTTCCATTTCTGCCACTTTCTGCCATGCAGTTCCAGACATCGCGCCGTGCGTGGCATTGCAGCGTGACGCGTGTGTTTCTGGCACCAGTGTGGCCGTACGCTGAATCTTTGTAGCATTGAAAAGCACCCTTTCCTACTTGTAGTAAAGACAGCTGCGTGGAAATAACCTGGAGCACCCTCTGGCCCTTCCCATTCCCCTCCCCATTCTCTTTTCGCTCTCCCACCCCGAATTTCTCTCCCTGGGCTTCCTCGCAGCAACAGCAATGCACCCGCGGCCGTGGTTGGGCATCGAGCACGTCAACAAGGCGCCGAAGCGGTCTCGCTACAACTACCTCGAGAAGGCCATCAAGATCCACAACTGACCAGCACGGGCCTCCATCTCAACCAGGAGGTGAGGTGGGCAGCAGCAGGGCTCGTGTTTTGTTGGGCACGAATGAGTTCCTGCTTCTCCGTTAGAAGTGTTCGACGCTGAACATTACAGGTCTAGCCTGTCTGTCAAAAGTATCGTTACTTAACGTTACACAATTCCTGCTTGTCCATAAATCCATCGCCATGTGACTTCTGGCAGTGCTGGCCTTTCTCTATATGTATCAACCCTTTATGTTACACTTTTGTACTTATCCTTGAAGTATATGCTCTTTACATACAGTTCCAGGTATCTCAAACTTCATTGTTATCAAAGTTTCATCTTACACAAGAATAAGCTCATCATATCCAAAATTTGTCATAAAGGTATATTCCCAACACTATCAATTGCAAGACTCTGCTTTACTTACTTCGTTGTAACTGATATTTAGTATATCTAGGTTCATTATAAAAGGCTCTGAGTATAAAGGGTCTGAGCATGGCTGTTAGTGTATGTGTACCAGTGTTGCAGTTCTGTCTGTAAATGTATTGCATACTCGGGTAATTACACGTCGTGACATCGAGCCAGGAAGGCTAACATCGCTGCGAAGTACAGCATTTCGACGAGTACATAAGAGCGGGATATTGAAAAAAAAGAATGCTGACACAAGAGCAAAGGTTGTTTTAGAAGCTTCGAGTACCCAGCAAATATGTTGAGCTGCTTACAAAGATGTTGAGGCGCAGTTTAAGTATGCACCTTATTTTCTCGCTCAAAACCTCCCCTGCACGTAACCCTCGCCCTTGACTACAAACTGAAAAAAATATATGCATATATGTTCATGTCACCATTATGACGCCATCTTTTTTGCATTATCACGTACTGATTGAAAGCCAATTTATTCACTGAAAGTACGGCATTGCTTTCTTGTTGTATTAAATTTCATTTTGGCTGGCGCACTTTGTTTCCTTCATTTAAGAGTTTCACGTTGAACTCATGATATGGTGGAGTAATTACCATTGTTTTGTGTGCTCTATATACGTCGGTATGACTGCACGTGGATAAAACATACACAAGTAGACTATGTTGAAACCGAGGTGCCACTGTACTTCCGAGTGTGTGGTAGGGTGTGATGTGCTGCATCGGGGCTCGGTTCTCGCAGTGTCCTCTTCGGTGAAGCGTGTTCAGTTGCGCGAAAGAACGGCGAGTCGCAACTTCGTGGCGCTCTTGCCCACGGCGATGCACCGGACCCGCCAGCACATTTCCGGCGTAATGACGAAGAAAATGGGGGAAATGTGCAGCAACAAGACTGTTAAACAAATTTGACAAGTCTGAACTTGGGCACAAACGTGTTGAGATGTTTGAAGAACGGTGCAGAGAATGCGTACCGACATCCCAAGGTGCGTCAGGCGGCGTCAAGCCTAAGGGCTAACACGATTAGAGTTCACGCACGGCCTCTGAGATATGCATCGAAAAGTGGATCTCTGGGGGCATCATTTGTTGTGGCAAAATGCATTCGGTCTCTCTCATTTGCGTCGAGAGTTCTGAAAGCTTCGGGACTTCGAAGTTACGTTGCAGAAGAAAGACCGAAAACAGGCGACGCACTGCTTTGCTGAGCTCCTGCCAATCGGTGTAGGCTCAAGTAGACATTTCCACCAAGTGGACATCGCGAGAATAGCTCTCTTGCTGCATAGTTTCCTAAGTACACACTATAGAGAATTCTGGCGCTAGTGTCTATGGAAGCTGCAACGCATACCGCTTCGGCGAGCATGAGAACTAAGGGTATGATATGGATGTACCTAGTCTTCTTACTTTACGCTCGTTCTGGCTTCGCGTCATTCGAACCTGCTCTGTGACAAAACAATCGCCAAATGTTCAGCGTTTGCGCTTCACCAACCAATTTTTTACAACTAACCATTTCAAATCGGGTCACCAAGTTCAAAGGGATTGTTCTTTCCTTCGTAACAAAACAGCAATAAACGAAGCCATAAGTGTGATTCACCACCCACAAGTATGAAATCTAGGCAAATCCATGTCATACCCATAATTTCCATGGTCGCTGAACAATCGCAGTGACAGTGTCCCCTCCAGTTAATTTTAAAAAACTCTGTCTTGCTGTTCTGGAGGGGGTACATGTCATTCTGGTTCTATTGTTCCTCTCAAGTGTTTATTTGGGCCTTGTCTAGTGTAGAGCGCTTCAACATTTGATCCTTTTTCTTGTGCAACCCAGTTGCAGCGGAGACGCCAGGTGCGCTTGAGGATGATGACACTTGCACGCCACCACCACCATCGGAAAAGAGGAGCTGAACTGTTGTCGTCCCCCTCCGGCATCTGGCAAACGACGACGGCAGGTGGCACTCGGCAAAAGCAATGGGCGGTGGCAAAAGGCGTGCACGCCGCCGCCTTTGCTGCGCCGAGAGAAGACGAAAAAAAAAAAAAGGAACGCTTTTCCACGGCAATGGTGACGACGACGGCAGTCTCGCCGTCCTCCTCTTCCCTTGACATCCTTTTTTATTATTAGTTTTTGGCATCCTCTCTCTTCCCCTCTTCCGGCACGATGGCTTCTCCTTTCCCGCGAACACTGCACTGTGGCCGACGGGGGAAAAGGACTGTGTGCTACCGCTGTGCGTAGGACAGTGTGCTACTCTTGCGGCCGGCGACCGAGTAACGGAACTGGGGGGGCGACGTTCTACGATGGCATAGATTGAGCTTTTTTTTTTCTCTTGCTTCGTTTCATCCGCTACTCACGGCTGTGACTCGCATCTTGCTTCCGCGCTCCCCTCCGCGACCCCTGTCGCATAAGGCTTCACCCCCTCTCCTGTCGTAGTGTTTCCAGAGTGTCCTCTTTTTTTTTCTTTTCTTGTGTCTCAAAATATTCCTATGCACAGTGGGAGCTCTGTCTGTCTTTGTCGTTAATCTCGAGGTTTTGTATTTATGCGTTTACTTTCGAGAGACATGTATAAAAACTGTACTTTATTTACACCCATCTCGTAAATCCTCGCTTATCTTTTACAATATCGAGGTCAATCAGCTGGCCCACCTTTGTTTCATAAAATTTAACTGAAGCGCGTAAACTGGGCGGGCTGGTCTTAATTCCGGTCTGTCCATTCCCCCCCCCCCCCCCCACCTTTCATAATTATCAAGTTCTCCCGAGAATCGCTGTGTTCTACCCAGCTGAATGAATTTTTTTAGAGTTTTTCTACCTGGTTGGCAGGGTTTCTGCCGCCTCGAATAGTCGCGCGTTTTAAGCGCTCATTCCTTGGTTTTGGCTTTTAGGCCTGTACAGTGCTAGTCTCCTTAAGCTAACCCCCTTTTTTTTTCTAATTGCTGCCAAAGTCCCAAAACATTTAACGTGAGGATAACTGCCGCGCCGACTGCACACTTGGCGGAGAATGTTTTTTTATTCTTCCAATTATGTTTTTCTCCAATCGCCATCATTCTTCAGCCCAGAAATGAACTTTTCCTGTTAGCGACGCTTGTTTTTTTTTTTTTTACTTTGGTCTGGCCAGAAGTTTGTTCATTTGGAAATTATCTTCTTAATTAGCAGCATTCTAATGAACCAGTGCATTAGTGACAGCTGCAGCGCATGCGGTGCCATTTCATGTTAGTTTGGGCAACAAGATCTCTGAACAGCCGTGCAATGTTCTCTCGATAAAAAGGGGCAAACGCCAAACAAATCCACTTCATTCGTTGCTGCTGCTGCCAATGCATCTGCACCAGTCGATGGGTTTAATGGGATGCAATTGGTGTTTAGCATTCGTTTTGTGTGCCCTAGTTAGCATGATAAGATGGCACCAACAACGGTGCTGCAAGTCTTTCCCTTCATGGTTTGCTGGTGTTCAAGTGAAGCGAGTTTTTCAGAGTGTCAAGGTATGTTCCAACAGTGTTTCTGCTGTTACTTTCTGATCTAATCTTGTAAAGAAAACTTTATTTGTAAAAGCTTTGGCACTTTTTGTTTTGTAGATTTTTTTTCTGTAGAGATTGTGTTGTGGTGTAGGATCTTTGCAACCTAAACGTGCCACGCAGTTTTGCTGGTTTTACGCCTTTGTTATGCCCTGTTACCTGTCTAAACATTATTCGCAGTTGCAGCGAAAATTGTTTGTTTTTTCAGACAGCAGTGCGCACCCTTTTACTGTGGCACTGACTTACATGTGGTTTCCTTCAGTAAAGATAACGGGGAAACAAAAAAAATAATATCCACTTATTCGTGGATACGCCGTATAGAGAAAGTAATTTAGCGCCATTGACTGTACACTCATTGGAGGGTGTTAGTTGCGTCACTAAAGGGTATGAAATGTTACTGTTTTCAAGAAAGTATCTGAGTTTCTAGAAAAAAAAACAAACTGAAGTGTACCACAGTTGTCTGTCAGTGCGTGGAAACGTACGGCATCCATTGTTTGCAACACCATGTGAAATGCCTGATGTACATATTCAGTTGCGAGCAGCTAGATGTTACCAGCGGGTGGCCTCAGTGCAAGCAATTGTGTTTTGAGCGGAGCCGACAGAGAAGTGTGATGTGTTTTTTAAGATGGCAGGGGCATGTTGTCCGAGTGCAGGAGAAATGTTGATAAATGATTGTGGTCGCTGCACATCTCGGTTCTTATTATTTTTTTTTTTTTCGATCGTTTGCCTTCAGTTCCATGTTCTACACTGCCGCTCGTGGCAACCGAACATGGATCTTGCAATGCAGCGTGCTTATAGAACACTGCCTCACGCGCACTCTGCAAGATAACTCGCACCGTTAAGGGCGCTTCCGTCGCACACCGGTAATAGCCATACTTCTATGCGTTTTCTTACATGCACGTTACATGCATGGCGCAGCATTTTGGATTAGAGCGTATTATATTTAGCGCACTGTTCAGAGCAAATAAATGCGAGCAAGAATGGACAAACGCTAATTTTCGGACACAGATGAACCTCGAGCAGTGTAATTGCAAAGTACACAACGATGGGTGTTTTACACCACCTAAGCTGTGTTAATTGGATAGATAGGAGGGTGTAAATGCATTAGTGTGACCTCTGAGGTTTTTTTACACCATACAAGGTAAAAATGGGGCAAATACGCTTCAAATGGTGTCAAGTGCATCAGTGTGCTCGGTCGAACATTCTACACTGTTTGAGGTGTAAATCTATGCTCAGTTAATGTTTTTTTTTGCTTGAAATGCAGTATACGGGGTGTGCATGCACACAAATTTAATTAGATAACGCAAGTCCTTGGTGTTTAACATTTTGATCTTTGGCTACAAAACTTGCACCTTAGCATTAAGTATCGCGAAAAAAAAAGTGTAAACATGTGGTTTATATACAGGTTTAATAGGTTTATACATGTTTTAATTTGTCATCGAGGTGCATAAATAATGACAGACTTACTGTAGTAGACAGTTGTAGGCGCTTTGCTTGTTTTACAGAATTTTCAGTGCCCAATGCTGTCGTTTCTCTATGCTACCGGGAAGGAATATTCCCAATAGCATCTGTTTATGCTCTCGGGAAGGAGCAGAGGTAAAGAGCCTACCCCTTATTTCTTGCGCCTTGTCCCATTGGTTTCCAAAGAACGGGACGTCATGGCCGCATTAGGTGGCGTCGGTCCATCTTTCCGAGGGTCGGAAATGTGTGCAACGTCGAGATTATGCATACAAGAACTGGTTTATTTCTCACTTTCTTCGGTGATCGACGTTTTTTTATGTGCTTCATAGTGAGAGTTTCTTTTCTTGTCGACGTATTGTTTGCACAGGCCTGCTATTTTTTTGCACTTGTGCTAATGTGCCCCTCCCCCTTTTATTGTTTGTTCATTAATGCTAGAGCATCTCGGCTGTCGCGTTAAGCATTTACATGAATTTTTATTGTGCAGTGGTCTTGCTCTGTCAATATGTTTGTTTTGTCGAACATTTCTGGTGAAGTATCGTGAACCTGCACTTTTCGGGGATCGTAGTTAACCTTTTTTTGTGCCAGTGGCTTTGGGGGTAGCATTCGGAATGCCGCGCTGATTACAAAATGTTTCGTTAACGATTTCCGAATGGCCAGCCCGTTTGCTGTCTCTTCAGCTATGCACAGCGATGGAAGGTGCTTTGCAGGCCTAGTGTGGCGAGCATCACAATTGTTCCATTTTGTTTTAAGTGATTGGGTACAACGGAGTTCTTGATAGCGTTATAGGACCGGTAAAGGCAGGTTTTTTTTTTTTTTTGCATGAATCGAACTTGTACTACGTTTCCAGAACGAACGCTAATCTCGCTTCTACATGAGGTGCACCTGCCTGATTGCCCCCCACCTCCTAAAAATGGGCATGGGCTATATCAGAGTTGTACTGCAAAAAGCCGCTTGTGCCTGGAGTCCAAGAGCAACGTTGTGTTTGCCGTTTAGCTGCTAAAGTCGATATAGCAGTGAAGCATCATTATAGCCAAGTCGCATGTGACACCAAAATGGTTTTTTTTTAACATGCAAAAAGTCCTGACACTTCATTAACGACATGACTTTGCTTTTTAATGACCAGTAATTTGTTAAATCCACATTTGCTGCATAAAGGTTTACCTGTATTTGGAGATTTCCCAACAGACACTACGTCGAGAGCTTATCAGACTACTGCTGAGACTTATTTCTGGCTTTGCCTCTCGACGTGGAGACCCTTATCAGTCCTGTTTCGATGTGCCTATTTTTCTGATTGCCTCTTTCCGTTTTTCATTTCGCGACAGGGGTTGTACGTCGGAAGGATGTGGTGGGAAGGGAGTAGCCTTATTGCTTTGAGACTGTACTGCTGCGAGAACGTACTGACCGTAGCCTCGACTTGCCTTTCCGCGTAGCTGTTTCGTCGTTACTTTTTATCTTTTTTGGTTGCTGTCTTTCAAGGAAAGGTGCGATTACCTAGAGTCGGATGCAAGGGAGGGGGAGGGCTGAGAATCCTCAGCTGTTCTTTAGTCTTTGTTTTTTAATTATATGCATGTACAGATTTAAAAGAAGCAAGCAAGCGCGATAAGAACGACGTGCTTGCGCGCCAATGTTGAAAGGAGTGTGTGCGAAAGCAGCATGTATGTGTGTGTGTGTGAGTGTGAGTAGAACACTTTTTTGTTTCTCTGCTTGTCGCGTGCGCCCATTTTGTGGAGTGGTGCCCCCCCATCCCCATCCCCAGTGGTCGTTGAGGAACTTTAAGGGGCAGTAATATTTAGTGAATGTTGTGCAACTTTTTTTTTTTTTTTGAAATAAAACTTGGAATGAAAAGAAAGAGCACTGGGTTGTTTTCTTTGCATTTGCTTGTGTGTGTGTGTGTTTTTTTTACGTGTGGCACATACTAGACTATGTACCACAGTGGCTGTGGTTGAGTTTGTCTTGAAATGTACCAACGTTTCTAAATTTATTTCTAAGTTTATTTGCTGTGAGTAGAGTGAAAATGACTCTGTGCAGGACTCTCATAGCATTGTTCACAACAGGGATAGTTGGCTCAGTTGCAGTTTAGATCAAAGCGGTGCAAACAACCAGGACGTGCACAACGAGTGCTTTAAGAAAGAAATGTGTGTGAAACTCTTGTTGTTCGTCTAGCTTTGTGTTTGTTTGCCCTCCTTCAATGGGAATGCTCATGTATTCGAAATCTTTAACTCTGGGCCAAATAGTCAACACATTTAGTAAGCTCTAGTTTTTTTGCTCGCATCCCATAGGTGTAACATTGGCCTGTGAACTTGCATCAAACCCGATTGAACTACTTGTGGTCAAATTCAAAGCAGCATGACTTGGTTTTCTCGAGTATGTAGTTGCACAATCCAGTAGCTGCGCTTTGTACTTGATGTAGCATTTGAATTTGGGAGCACTGTACCTACATAGATGTATTTGGGAGACATGGAAGAGGGAAATGCTTTCTTCGGTGTTGGCTCACTCCACCTGATCATCAAATTTTGTATGCATAGTAATCTGCAGGAGTTGTGCGCTAAAGTTGCGTTGGCGTGGCATGTTTGGTGTAAACTATTTCACACTTAGCACATTGGGGGGGGAGGGGGGGGGGGGGGGTCTTGACCAAGGGAGGTGTGCCATTTGATGCGACAGCTCCTTGTGCCGTGGTTTCGTCACCAATCTCGAGATTTCGCATTCGGTGTCCAGCCACTAACAGTTGATTGAAATATTTGATTAAGCAGTACACAAAGGGACACGATCATGCACAGATAATCTGGGGCAAATATATGTGCCAGATTAGTTCTGTACTACTACAAACTTCCCAGATTCAGTGCACACCAAACAATGCGCATCATGTTACAGAACACTGATGTTCTCGCCAATCACGTGCGCAATGCATGGTGTTGCGCTAGCAGCGAGTGTCTCTAGCCACTTTATCAACTATTGCGTGAAGTGTGACAACCCTGAGTACATTCTTCAGCAAGAGGAAATGTGGGGAGCAGCGCCTCGTCATGCTCTTCAAGAAGCCGCACGGATACAATCAATTTGGAATTTTCACTCCATTACATTAAAAAAAATTCCCACCAAACTTGGTACAAAACCCCTTCCGACCCCCTGACTCTTCATGCAGGAGCTGGTAACCCTGCTTAATGCTGTCACCATGGCCTTAATAGAGTTGGTGTATATGCTACCTTTAGGATGAGTAGCACATGCAGTAACTAAGTGGTTAACACACTCGCAGCGTCCCCCTCCCTAGTATTTCCAGGAGGTGTGGGTGTAGTGGCAAGGGCGGAGGAAGAAATAGTTTTTCCTTCCTCAATGTTTAGTATGGGGCAGACTTTGGGCCCCTTCTCTCAGGTCGCTAGAAAAGGCGACCCTCCCAACCCCTCCTCATGGCGCTCTGCTGTGTGCGCACCTTTCTTCCCTCTTCACTTTACACCCGTGAAAAAGCAGCAAGCTAGCAAACTGCATTTCGAGTCTACTCTCGTCCTTTTGATGTTATAAAACATCTTGGTTAGTGATATTGCATTGCTTACGTTCACGCGTGCTTTTCGTCTCAATGCCGTGGACAATAAAGGAGGACGACAGTGGTAATAATGTGCAGGCCGTTCAGCTCTCTGTAACCATTTCATAGTTATATAATGTTTGACCACCACCACTCTATGCACCGCTGATTCCTAGAGGAACACGTGTTCGGGTGTGAGAACGCTGCTGAACGCCAGTGCAAACAATTTAACTAGCGGCCGTCTCTAACTCGAGTAGTTTGTGTGAGAAAAAAAATTAAAAATCCTTAACTGCCGTTGAGAGAACAGACTTCAGTGACGTGGTTCTCGAAGGGCAAGAAAATCGCGCCATCCTCCGCATTCCCTACAGCATGTCTGTACTCTTGGTTGTCGGCGTGCTAGCGAAGGGTGTCGGGCGACAATTAAGAAAAAAAAAAAGGGGTGTCGGGCGAAGATGCGGTTCCGTGTGATCACATGAGGGGTGGAGGTGGTCAGAGTCTGCTCAGGTGTTCTGTGGTCTGCCCCATACGTACGTTAACCGGGTTGGACCAGTGTCGTCTACACGCAGGGTTTTTTTTTTTATTTTGACCGCGGTGGTTGCACTTTGAGAAAAAGTGGAGTATTCTGGAAGTACTTCTACACAACAACAACCTTAATTTGTTGAAAACCCGGCGTTGGGCACTTTCCTGTCGGGAATGCCATGTCATACTGATAACGCGCGTGCCATCTGTGACCGCGAACTACCCAAACCGTGGTGATAACGCGAGGAAAGTACGTTAAGTGATAAGAGTTTGTGAGAAACTCTATGCTCGAAGTAGCTGATTGTGATGTTTGTTGGTGAGGTTCGTCGCGCCGCAGAGCGTGTGACGCGTTGCGGATGGAGGAGACGGTATCTGACGTTAACAAACCACACTACAATTGTATTTGACAGCATACACACACGAAATACATAAAGCGGCAGCGTACACTACTAGTCAATTGTCTCACGTGGCGGTGCTTGGGGACCAGGAGGCTGTGGGCTGGTTGAGTCCCTGTGATGACGTAATCGTCGTCGGGTAGATGTCCGGTGTGGCAACGACGTAGCAGCAGCAGGGGTTAAGGGCCGAGTGAACGAACCGTCGCTCGGTAGCCGGTAGCCAGACAGGGCTCGTCCGCGCCAGGCCAGGACCTTGCGACGCTCGTCTCGACGGCGGTGGACAATCTGGAACCTCGCGCGTAGGTGCGGGTTCTCCGAGAGCAGCAGGCCGCGTCCCAGGTCTTGCCAGGCGAGGACCGTGAGGCGCTCGCTGTCCCGAAGACAAGCGCCCTGTGTATGCGAACCTCGCGCGTAGATGCGGGTTCTCCAACAACCTGCCGCCCGTTCTGCCGGCGTTCCCAAAAAAAAAAAAAAAACTGTCTCGCCTGCGCGCGCCCTTCTTAATCTTCTCTGCAGCCCGAGCTCCTTCGTTTTTCTCGCCTTCCAGCGATCGGCCACTCCGTCGTCTGCTCTCGCTTTCCCTGCTTCGTCACATTACCCCCCCACTTAAGAAGGTTCTTCGCTGTGAAGAACTTGCAGCTGCCACTGGATCCCTTGGGACACGTAGTACACGCGCACTCGGAGCACTGCACTACACTTCCGAGCCCCGCACACTCGGCACACATAAGAGACACAAAAGTTGTCACCAGTGTTCAGGGCCCCGCACACCCGACACTCTCAAAGGTACTCGCAAGACGAGATGAAAGTTGGTCCGTCACGGTAAGTAATGTGCACCGAAAAAAAAAATTCCATCAATTATACCCGACACTGCGAAATCCTCAAGCCGTGTAGCGATGATGTTCATGCGCTTGGCAACCGGCTCATATAGTCTGCTCCTACATTCTCACTGCCTTTTATATATTCAACGCTGAAGTCGTACTCCATGAGTATGAGGCTCCAACGTAGAACACGGCTGTTGATGTGTTTGGCGGAGTTGATGTAAACGAGAGGCTTGTGGTCGCTTTGTAGTATGAACGTTCGCCCGAACAAGTAAATATGAAATTTCTGGATGGCCCACGTGAGTGCCAGGGCTTCGCGCTCGATTGTCGAATAGGCAGTTTCTCGTGGTTGCAGTCGTCGGCTAGCGTACGACACTGGGTGTAGCATAGCACCATGCCGCTGCATAAGTATGGCACCTACGCTTGTTGACGAGGCGTCGGTGCGAAGTACAAAAGGCTGAGCGAAATCGGGTGCTCTCAAGACAGGTTGTGTAGACAGCATGGTCTTGAGTGCATCGAAGGCTTTCTGTTCCTGCACTCCCCAAATTACTTTGTTAGGGGCTCTCTTTTTAGTCAGTTCAGTTAATGGTCCTGCTATCTCGGAGTACTTGTGGACGAAATCTCTGTAATAGCCCGTAAGTCCAAGGAAAGAGCGTACTTCTTTTTTCGTCTGTGGGCGCTTGGCTGCCCGTATTTTATCAAGGGTTTCGATCTGGGGTTTGATGATGCCATTTTCGACGTGATGCCCGAGGAACTTTACTGACCGCTGACCAATCTCACTTTTCGTTGGTCGAATCGTCAACCCGGATTCGCTAACTCGTTGAAGAAAGGCTTCAAGTGTGGCCACGTGTTCTGTCCACGTCTCGGTTGCAACGAGCACATCGTCGAAGTAAAAGTAAATATGGGGTATATCTGCTACCACCTTCCTCATTAGACGGTTGAAGACAGCTGGGGCGGTTTTAATGCCAAACGGCATGAAACGAAACTGATAAAGGCCTGCTGATGTAGAAAACGCTGTCATTGCTTTGGACTCTTCATGCATCGGGACTTGCCAATACCCTTTAGCAAAGTCGAACTTAGAAAAATATCGTGCCTTCCCCAGTTGTCCAAAAATAACATCAACTCGAGGTATGGGCTCATTGTCGTTCAGCAGTATCTTGTTGAGTTGCCGGAAGTCAATGCATAGACGTATTGTCCCGTCTTTTTTCTTGACAACTACTATCGGCGACTGGTAGGGAGACTCAGATGGCTCGATGATGCCTTGCTTCAGCATGTCTCTAATTTCTTGTTGAACTGCCTCTTTGGTAGCAAACGGTAGTGGATACGGCCGTATGTTCACTGGTGTATCCGTTGCGACATTCAACTTGCACTGGGTGAGATGTGTTCTGCCGGGAATGTCGGTGAATACATTCTCGTAGGTATGCAGTATTCTAGCGATCTGCGTGCGCTGTTTAGTAGAGAGTGCTTCCGATATGTTCACATCGGCAGCAGATTCTTTTTGCTGAAAAGGTACGCATGGTAGATCGTCGTGCTCAGTATCATCAGCCAGACACGCGACTGACGCTTCTTTTGTTGGCTGTGGTACCGATGGTCGTTCTTGATATTTTTTGAGGAGGTTGACGTGAAACAGAGATGTTCGCGTTCCTAAATCAATAACGTAATCCACGTCATTCTTCCTCTCTAGAACTGTGAAAGGCCCTTTCCATGTTAGAATCAGTTTGTTGTTGTCCGACGGGAGTAGCAGCAGTACCTTGTCTCCAACAGCTAAACGCCGTGGTCTAGTCTTCATGTCATAGTGCTTCTTCTGCACAAGTTTGGCTTTCTGCAGCTCCTCCTTGGCTAGACGACAAGTGTTTTCAAGACGTCTCCGCAGGTCAACTACATAGCCGTACGAGGTCTTCGTCTCATCATCTAGATGATTACCAGTCCACATCTCTTTCAATATTGACATGGGCCCTCTGACGTAACGGCCATACAGTAAGTCAAACGGGGCGAAGCCCAAACTTGACTGCGGAACTTCTCTATAGGCGAAAAGTAAAGGCGCTAAGTACCGGTCCCAACTTTTCGGGCACTCTTGACACACTGATTACTCAAAAGAGATGACTGTTGGGTGAATTGGTTCTCGACATAGAAACCATCGCCAGGGCGCAACACATGGGAAGATTGGTTGTTCCTCAGAGTCCTGCATGGAAACGGACGATTGTCGATGACAGTCATCGTCTGTTTTTTTCTCTCTATTGTGTTTGGTTGCGCCCTCACGATTGTTGTTGTGTAGCAAAAACACTGTCCATTATGCACTTCCAACGTTTAGGCCATAGTAAGAAGTACGGTAAGAAGTACGTCAACAATCGCTTAATTTTGATCCTTTTTTTTTTCGCCTATCCTCTCCCCCTACCTCATACGAATGGGAAACCTTACGCGCGACCATGGACGAAAGAAAAAGAAACCTAATTTCTTTAATCAATTCTTGACCGATCCCCCTGAGTGGATATGAACCTGGTTTGCGGACTCGTAATTTCTTCTTACACGCGCGCGACCGCGCGACTAGGCTTGCGGTAGTTTTACTGTGTGCCCCGGTCAGCCTCTCGGCGTTCTTTCTCTCCAGGCGGCTTGAACCAGAACCACCTGCCAGAACTGTCGCCAGAACCGCAAGCACCCAGAAACGCGCTCAGCGGCCGCTGCGTGGTGCAGCAGTTGCAATCACTGGCAATCGCATTTTGGACACGCTCGCCATATCGCCTGACAACTTTGAGCGCTCAGTATGGCGGCTCCCGTGGCTTCAGCCGACGCGACAAGTCAAGACGATGACGACGAAGTCGTTCAGGAGGTAATTTTGCTATGTATTTTCCCCCCGTTTCCTCGATTTCGCGTCCCAGTTGCACGCGAGACGTATTCGCCGAACTTCCGCGTCATCTCGTTCCATGACATGACGCGTTTGTAAGCATGCACCAAGGTGAACCCGATGACACATGGCACGCTGGGGCCTCTATTACGCGAGATCATCACTTCGCGAAATAGCGTTATTAAACGCGTTGCGGACATTCAGTATTTTGTGGCAACGTTAAATTGCTGTTCTGACAGTGATGGGCTGCGTCCGTACAAGCTAAAGCTGCAGACTTGCAGTTATTCGTAGATGTCAGAACGAAGCAATCAAACCACGCGTTCCGAATGCATGCCGCTTCAGCGTCGGTGTTAAAGAGCATAGTTCGTTCGTACAAAGTCTCTGTAAGCTTCGACAACCCAATCGAAGACAAGGTTAGTTTGGAAATATACTCGACACAACATGTTAGACGCACCAGTAAAATGGTCTCGCATGTGGTGATTGCGTAGTTTAAAATCGACGCGTTTTGGGAGTCAAGCGCAGTATGTCTGGCTGCTGGGTGTGCGAGTAGAGAAACTGGCTTAGCTGGCATTGACGCGGAAAACAGCTAATCACCCCTGAAGCGCTTAGGTGCCAGTAAAGCGCATCTCCGGTTTATAGTGGAGTGCCCGGAGCCTTTTGTTTGTCGCACGCTAACCATGGGTGGAGAAAGGAATTTTCCCCTTGCCCCCTCTCCCTTACCGCTTTTTGAAATTTTTATTTTTGACCCTGCTAACAGAGGCGAAGAAAGTAGTTTTCGGCGGGATGGGGGGAGGGGAAGGAGATCTGATCGCCATTTACGTATGTTTGTGCACGTGAGAATACACGAAATGTAAACATTTTTAAAGGAAGGGGGTGGTGATTCAACCCCCGAATCTGTGCCTGTGCCTTTGAGTGCTAACTCTCATTATTCTTGAAAGTTGCATGAGTGCGCAAGGTATGCAAAGCCTGAGTACTATATCCTAAAGCTGCCTTGCCTTTCCTTGACGTGGTGGTCCTGACAATAATTGTTTCTTGACACCTATTTCCTAATTAAGGTTGTAAAACTGGAGCAATGCTTCGTTCTTTTATTTCAGCTGGATGTATACATATCGAAGGCTCTGGCCAACAGCCTCTACCTCCTTCAGTACCCACACCAGCCGTTCGGCTCCATCATCAACGAAGAACAGTGTGTTTCGGCGCGAGTCAAGCCGAAGCAGCACAAGGTATAATGTCTGGCTAATGCTATACGTAGTGTGCGGTGATATCACCGGGGCCACCATCTCTGGGTACCAGCTGGTTGAGATGCCGTGTGCATTTTTACTCGAACATGTGCTGGAAGAAACTGTGACATTGGATTAGTGCAAGTACCCTAATGCATTCTTTTGCAGCTGGCGAGCAGAAGAAAGTGGGGCACAAAAGAACGAAACAATGACTGCATGCCCTCCCCTGCACTGACACTAGTGAGATCAAAAGTCGCGGTAATTGCCATGTCTAGGTACCTAGCACGGAGAATCTGTCCGTAATGTCACATAAACACGGTATGTTTCATTGCAATACTTCTGCCGTCGCTTCTGGTGATTATGGTATTCGACTGCTGGCCAAAATGTCATGGTATTGAACTCCAGCAATGTTTCCATCTTGCTGACCTAAATAGAAACACACTTGTCGAGAACCCTAAAAATTGAGTCTCAATGCTTGGGAATGCATCGAATATAAAACTGTAGACTATATAGTGCAATTGATTAACGGTACATAACAAAGGTACACCCACAACAAAGTGCCAACTTCTGAAAATTAATTTTATTCCCTTTTCCGGCAGAATAAACACAGGAAGATGATCACAGAAAGAGGCATTGAATGCTGTTACAAGCTGCCACTCTAGCGTCGCCAGCGCGAAGTCGGCGACGGGAATGACAGCAGGTTGGTTCGTTCCGTACGCAAGCAGAGACAGTGAAGAGATCAGAGACGTGAGAAAACAAAACAAACTTTACTCTAGTGATATTGCAGCACACGGGATCTAATACAACACTTCAATACAACTAACAACATACATCGACATTTGATACAACTAAAGAAATATATAACAGAAACAGTAAATCAGCTTACGAGAGAGAACTATCACAAACTACATAAACTAACAAGAATAGAACGACGGAGGAGAAAGTTCGAAGATATAAACAGGTGAAGGCATACGTGTGATGACCGGCAGCGTTGTGTCCCCGACGATCGGATGCGAGAAGTCGAAGAGAGTTCTGGCACGACTGCGATGTCGGCGGTGTTGCAACGCTGGTGGCTTCGGGAGGCTAGTGCTTGCAGGTGACTTCGAGCAGGTTGAGCTAACTCGAGGCGAAGTCCCGATGTCTACGTTGCAGACGTTAATATCGCGTCACGACTAGACGAACGGCTAAGTTTAGGTGGCCAGCCGATACAGAGCCACACTAAAAACTTCTAGAAGAGATGCTTGTTGATCTGTTTCTACACCATCTTGGTCAGCGACTAGTCTGCCTAGCAGGGCAAAATCCTGCGCTTAAATCCCCCTCGTGTCTCCTCACTCTCTTCCTTGGGGACAAGAGACCTCTACATGGGTCCAATCATGTGCGTCTAATTGATAAAAACTCCGCCCTAAAAATATTTTGACCCCACCCCTTTTTAATTGGGAGAGGGCCCGCAACTAGCGAGAGTGACAACCTGTCGGGTGGTTGTCATACGGCTCGGCCACCAGAGCGTTTTCCACGCTTTTCCCCGTGGGAACGGTCAACCATTTAGCTCTCAGCCGGGGCGTCTCGTAGTCTAATCCTTGTTCGGGGTATACCGCGGCCTTCTACGACCTTGCAGACGCCGCCACAGTTACAAAAGCATTAACCGTCGGCGGCGACGTTCTAAGAAGAGCACCCCATTTTGCACTTCTCGGCTCCCTTTCATGCGCCGCCGTTTCTCACGGTCAGTCGGGGAGTACGGCGCCCGTTAATTGCCGTGACGCGGTGTCGCCAAAAATGGCCGTCCGTGACAAGTGCTGATAACCGAAAAACAGGCATTCTGTGCTTGTTTTCTCACTCGTGATTCCCTATTTATTACATGTGACAGGAGTTGCACGCCTGATGCCATGTTGCTGAACTTGCCGAGGCATTCGACAGTTACTACAATATGCTGCCTGCAACTGACAATTTAGATTATTGCACGGTTTGTTCGCTACTCCAGTGGCATGGCAGGCATGATGTCGGGGCAGTGTGCTTATTTTCAATTTAAATAGAGTTATGGCTTGTAAGAGCAGATCCACCTTCCAGCGCTAACGGTGCCTCATAAGGTACGCCGTGGAAATTTTTTTCAAGCAGAGTGTTGGTTCGGAATACTTGTTATTTCATACTGGGAACTTTCTCAACACGGAAATCACAACGAGGAGGCAGTCCACAGTGTACAAGCGGGGCCGCTGTTAGAGGTTATGCGGCACGCATGGCTGCTCTCCTTAGACCACCAAGCAGACGCCGCACAAACTATTGTGGCAGGAAGCGCAATCAGCGTCAAAGGCGAAGTTAGCAGCGTGTCCTCTGCCATGGCTCTTCCCTCTTTGTCGCATGTGCTATCTGGATTTTGCTGCTCGTGTTCAAGTTGAAGGAACTCTGCAGTTATATAGCACGTAGTACGCTTGCGCTGCCATACTTTGTGCGGCGCCCGTCGAGCCACTCCACGTCACACAACCACGAGTTTCGTGTTACTTGTCACAGTGACTGTGCATGTACACTGATGCAACACAGCATACCCAGTGCCTGTGTATGTTGCACACTGTTACAACTTCCGCTCTAAAAAAGCTTGCAATGTGCGTTGCACTTGAGTATGTTTTATGTCTGTGTCCTCGATCTGATTGACGTGCTAAGAAATACCATAATATGAAACTGTTTTCGTTTCTTTTTTCATTCTGACAACATTGGTTGCCACTTAGTGCGAGCTAGTCAAGTTCTGTGCCTACTCTTGCGGGCTTTGGTGTAGCTTAAAATACCTGCCCATAAACGCGCAGGTTACTAACGGTATCGTTACCGATATATTGGTTTCGGATTACTTTGGTTAGGTATTAATTTTGCTGCACACTTATCGTAAAAATCTTGGACGTCTGATAGGTCATTTCTTCGTTGGCAGTGCCTATGGTCAGTCCCAACCTCAGAATGAATATGAGCTCGACTCACAGGCATCACTGTCTCACTCCGAATAAGCATCGACGTACTATGCAATCATTTTTGCTCACTTCCGCGAAGTCGTTTCACATGTTTTAGATTCTTGGTGTTCTCGTACAGACACATGATTGTGTCGCTAGTGCAAGTTATCCCGGAAAATTTCGCTAGAGATTGTGACGCCATCGCTCAGCCAAAGCTGATATTTTAGATATGATGGTCACAACTTCAGTTTCCTGTATGCAAAGTACTTACACGAGCATGGAAAGATCTCTGTACGAAATAAAACTGGCTCGCACAACTCTCCCCTGCAAAGGTGATTTGTAAGCAAGCTGTGGTTCTTTGGGCACATCTTGCGTTCTTGTAACTGACAGTAGAGCATGGCCTTATTTACGTTTCATGCGATTGCCACCAGGTGGAGCTGGAGTTTGCCCTCGACACTCGCAACTCCAGCTACGACAGGCTGCGAGGCGAACAGCTCGCGGCCAACGCGGACGGCGGCGGCGACCGGAGCTCTGGTCAAAAGCAAACTTTCAATAGGTGAGCGTGTGCCAACTTATTTGTTTCTTTATGTCAAACTTTTTTTGCTGCACTGGCCCTTGAGGGAACAGGGTAAGCCCTATATCCGCCATGTATTTTGGGCGGAGTTCGTGCACCTTTTTCTCCATAAACGTGAGAGTTACAGTAAACATTTTACCATCATTTGTATCGTAAGCCATTCCTTTTTTACCTGAAGCACATTTAGCACCGAAAATTGAAGCGCTAATTTTTGTAAATTTTTTTAACTTCGGGTACTTAATTATCACTCGCTAGTAGCTATTAGATGTCGTGCCGAAGAGGAGCACTTCCTCACACATTAAGTCTGCTTCAGCATATTGCCTATTATGTTATCTGAATACTAGTTAAACTATGATTCTAGATACTTTGGTTATAAAGATAGAGGAACATAAAAAAAAAAACGCATTATTTCAAAAGTACAATGGGATGGCAGCAAATTGACGGGCCCGTTTCATAGGCATCAGCCAGATACTCGTCACCAATATAACTTTTATTGTGATAGCAATTCTATGGACACTCTCGGCTGGATTTTGCCCCCGGCGTGGGCGTCGAAGTCACGCACCGTATGCTTATAAATATACCGTATTTAGCCCCGCCGCGGTAGTCTAGTGGCTAAGGTACTAGGCTGCTGACCCGCAGGTCGCGGGTTCGAATCCCGGCTGCATTTCCGATGGAGGCGGAAATGTTGTAGGCCCGTGTGCGCAGATTTGGGTGCACGTTAAAGAACCCCAGGCGGTCGAAATTTCCGGAGCCCTCCACTACGGCGTCTCTTATAATCATATGCTGGTTTTGGGACGTTAAACCCCACATATCAATCAATCAATATACCGTATTTACTCGATTCTACCGCGCCCTCAATTGTAACGCGCACCCGGTTTCCACGACGAAAAAAAAAAAAGTAAGACATCGATTGCAACGCACACCCATTTTTTTCGTTGGCCCGCTCTATCACACCACTCGGGAAAACGACTCCTTTCGGGAGCGTCTTCCGTTTAAATCTCGTTAAAGCTTGTGCCTATCTGACGTGCAACGGAGTATTGCCGTCACTCTAGTTTTACCGTGGCCCGATGTCAGCACGCGAACTTGCTTCGCCCCCTTCTTCTCGCCAGTTGTGGTGCCAGGCATGTTGAAGTAAAGAGGCGTTTGATCCGCATTCCCGATTTGCCCAAGCAGGTAGCCATTGTTGTGCCGCAAGTTTAGGACGAACCTCTGAAAACTGCGAAGATTTTCTTCGTACTCCTCCGGCAACTTTTGGCGTATGCCCGTTCGCCTTCCGAGAGAAAAGCCTTTCCTCTTCATAAAGTTAGTTAGCCAGCACCTGCTCGCTTTAAACTGGCTCGGCATTTGCCCTTTTTCTAAGGCTAACTGCATAGCCTGCACTTGGGGCAGTTCTGTCGTCACGGGCCACTGTGCCGCTCACCGCTCAATCTCATACTCGCCGAGCAGCTCTTCAATTTGCGGAAACCGACCCTGCTGTGGTCCACTGAAGCTTTTACGTGAATCTTTGCTGTCGACAATATTCTGCTTTTGTTTCCGCAAGTCCCGCACCCACATTTCGGGAACTCCGAACGACCGCGAGGCGGCCCAATTTTCGTCCGTTTCAGCACACGCGATGACTTTTCTTTTAAAAGCGGCATCGTGGTGCATTTGTCGAGTTTTCGGAGTCGGCCCTTCCATGCCGTCGATGCTAATGCACTACCAGATGACGAACTCCTCAGCACACGTACGAAGTGCCGCACATGGGAAACACATAGGCAGAAATTGCCCACGCTCCATGTCGACGCACGTGGGGGGCGGCCATTTTGAAAATGCCGATGGCAATAGAATGACTGTATTCATTTTTTTTTTCGTACTCGATTCTAACGCGCATGTGATTTTTGAACTCGCTTAACTGGAAAAAAGGTGCGCGTTAGATTCGAGTAATTACGGTATATGAAAATGCAAGAAAGAAAAAAAATCCAGAAAAAAAACTCTGGCGCTCGAATTTAAAAGTGGGACCTTTGCGAGGTGAATGCAAGGCGTTAACCACTGAGCCATGTTGGGTACCTCCTTGGATGTTCAAACTGCAAGCTATTTATATCTACCACTTACCGCTGTTGGCGGGCATTTCGGGGTGGGGGGATATATCGCCATTTCAGCATTATCAGCAAGATGGCGCAATGAGTGCGCGGCGGCTCTCATCTCTCACGCGTACTTTGGCCCGCGTAGAGAATAAGGATGTGTACGATCGATTGTGTGCCCTTATCTTGCATCTGAGAGGATCGTACGTCTCGTACGCATTCTGTTGTAGTTACCGGACGCACAAAGGTCACTGCAATCGTTGCACATCCTTCGTTTGTGAAAAGGGCGTGCATTTCAGACGGCCAAGTAACAACTGAGACACTTATTCGTGTTCATCTATACCTGTGAGTATGTTTCGTGCGTCATTTTGTGCTTGAGAAACGTGAAGCATGTTTCGATCTACTTGCCATTCTGCGCGTGACCTTCAATTTGTTGCTATCGCGTTCATTGCTTCGCCTTTGTGGCAAAGCTGTAAATTTTTTTTTTGTGCTGAAACGTCTCGCCTGGCGAGCCTCCTTTGTCGCCTGCTGTGCGGCCCTGTCACCATAGTACTCTCTATGCAGGTCAAGAGTGCATAGGTGCTGCACTTTTCACCACAGCACTTTTCAGTGCTGTGGCGAAATTCCAAAGAAGCTCAGCACATTTGCATGGGCTATATTGCCGTTCGTAAAAGCGAGCACAGCATCAACAGTGCATATTTTCAGTGCTTGCTGTCCGAGGATAACATTTTCTGGAGTGCGCTCCCACATGACAATTCAATGACTCGTTAGGGTTTTGGCTTTTCCTAAAGGCACATTCAAGTAATTACAGATGATCTAGTTCTGGATAATTTGGCTCAACAGCCTCCATAACAGATGCTGGAAGGTGTTCTTCATGAACAAATGGTTCACCATTTAACTCGGCTTTATTGAACTTATGGCAAGTTTCGGCGTCCTCCGAGCGAAGGCCATGGGATGGATTGGTATCCTTTAAAGCCATAGGTGAATACGTGGCCCGGACAGCTTTGCGCGTGTCCTCGAAGTTGGCTCTATTTCTTTAATGGCCGAACGATAGTAGTTTCAGTGATTACCAATGATGGCACTGCCAAGACTACTAATAAATGCAGATTTCTCGACGGAAAGCTTTGATGCCTCTGCTTTCTTTCGTTTTCGCACTTCTGTGCCCATTGTTTTCTGAAGGTGCCAAACGCACACCAGCTTGTAAACTGTAACCTCTTCATATGGCTGTGACACTCGAGCTGCAAGGGCAGGCAAGGATCGCTCCTCTGGCCCCGGACCATTAACCACCACTTCGAGGCACAGTGTGGGTGCTCACACCGACTCCATCGGCGGTGGGTCGGTGTGCCGGAAGCATTGTTCGCTGCTGTTGCTGTTCATACCGGTTTTGGGAACCGTAGTGGAAGTTGAGCGAGTCGAGAGACGTGGGCGATGGCTGGCATTGTCGGCTTGCCAGTTTCCAGTGACGTCACCCAACGTCACATTCTGTAGTTCATGGCGCTGCCGCTAGACACGACAGTTTGTGAAAAACGCACTAAATTCATTATTCTACCATAGTTTCTGCTTTGAATGAAAGTTGTCTCTATCAATTTCAGGATCCAATCTATCGAATTGGCTGAAACTGTTCACAACAAAAATTTTGTTCAGTATCCCTCTAAAAGAGTTATCGTGAACTGTGAACTCTGTGGCAGTGTAGGTTGCGTGCTCAACATGTATTTTTTTGTTTGTTTCTTTTTTTAAAAACAGCTCCATGATGGACAGGCAGCTCCTCACGTCGACAAAGTCTAGCAGTTCAGCCGAAGCCTACGCTGTAGGAATTCTCAGGCCAGGTTTGGACTTTTGTCTCTTCTTTGTTGCCTTTGTCATTGGGACGCTGCAGCGACTAAATCGATTCTCTCATCTCTTCCCCAGGGGAACTTCATCTGTCTCCGGTCAGTGCCGTCTTGCAGATGAATCCGTCGTTTCCCTACCTGGACCAGTCGGACAAGAAGGCCAAGGCAGCCGAAGCAGGTCAGCTGAATTTCGCTGGTTCCTTCTACACTCGCTTCAACCTGAGAGAGAAAAAAAGAATGACAGCTCCGCCTACTCCCATTGCCGTCCCATCCACTGATAAGTGGCATAAATGCTCTGTCCAGTAGTACTTGCTCATTTAGTGGTGTCAAGCACTTCTAGAGTTTTTCAGATAAGTTGACTTTCTGATACTGACATGTTTGTGTCGCTTGTTCTCTGTCGGGACACCTGAATGTCCTGGTAAATTTCATCCTTAATTCTAACGTCGCTGCGCAGCCAAACACTACATGACTAGTGACAACAAGTTAGTTAACTCGTAATGTCCATAGTATTTACATCAGTCCCTGAAAACTACTTATGGTCTAAGCAGAAACAAGATCGTGCCACTCTTTCACAGATGAAGGGCTCGCACGTTGTGGTTTGCAGGTGAAGTCAACATTTTTTTTGCTGAGGTTGTAACTGAGTATAGTTCTCTCCATCAGCTGTGTTTTGTTCTCGCTGTATGTCTCCATTTTTAATGTGCTTTTGTTAAAGGGCCGCTAAACAGCTTTGTGGTAGAAAATTTTTGATGTACACATAACTGTGCACTTGTGCTATGTGGACGTGCTGCCACAAGAACCTGGTGAGTGAGTTCTATAGTACCGAAGTAAGTTACAGGTCTTAGAACGACCTGCTTTTTCTCGTGACAGTTACTCGCTCGTCCCTCCCATTTATTTTTTTTTCCAATGGTACGCATAGCCTTTTGTTGTGACTGTGCCCACTTCGCCATCGTAACGCGATGTCAATGATACGTCATTGGCGCACAGCCAGCCACCAAGCAGAGCTTCTCGTGTCATAGCGGTGTGGGGAGGAAGTTCAGTGCGAGGAGCGGTAAAGTAGCGAGGCGCCTCTTTATCTCTGAGGCTTTCGTTCTGGTGAAACCGCTTCTCTCGGTAGTCTCGGGCTCTACAGAAGGGCGGAAGGCAGCACAGTAAAACGAAAAATGCAGACTGCACGTTCCGAACTGCATCACCACAAGGCCAGGGTGCCGTTTCGTAGGGCAAAGGACCAATCGACAAGCTCAGGTGTGCGTAATATTGGCGATGGGCAAGATTTTGTCGCTGCTCGTACAAAAAAATGGCAGCATATCCACGGAGTGAATGATGGAGAGTGGGGCGAAGCATTCGTCCGTCCATGCGTCCGTCTGTGTGACCGTTCATGCGTCTGTTTGTGCGCCCGTCCCTGCGTTCTTTCATGCATCCGCCCCTGCGTCCGTTCATGCGTCCATCCATGCATCTGTTTGTGTGTCCGTTCGTTCATCTATTCAACACTCCAAGTCCCACCATCTCGCATCTTTTTATCATATATTCCCCATATAGAAGCACCGCCATCCAGCGGATATTCCAAGGACTAAACGAGAGGTGGCACACGCACACTTTCTTACGGCCTGCGCTTTGGGTCCACTTCCCACCTTTAACCACCTCGAGTTCATGGTATATTCTAGTTCACTGTATTCATGGCACTGCGACCAAACGCTCGCTAAACCTTTCGAAAACCAAGGAGGTTACGCCCAGCGAGTATAACGTAGCAACCTTTCCCTGTCAGATAGGGCTCAATTTACATGCCAATGGCTGCTAATGAGAAATGAGAGACAGGAGAATTCGGCTTTTACTTTCTTACGGCTTGCGCTTCGTATTTACTTCTCATTTTTAACCACCTTGAGTTCATTCATGGTATATAAGGTTCATTGTATTCATGGCACTGCGGCTCAACGCTCGCTAAACCTTTCTAAAGCTAAGGAGGTTACACCCAGCGAGTATAATGTAGCATTCTTTTCTTGTCCGATAGTGCTCAATGTACATGCCAATGGCTGCTAATGGGGATCGCAGCGTGCACGTTGACTAAAAGCCGAATGCTCATGTCTCTCATTCCCCATTAGCAGCCATTGGCATGTACATTGAGCACTGTTTTTTATTGTTAAACAACGCACAGAAGAAGTCTCTCACCGGCACCACCTTGGAGGTCAAGTGTTATACCTATTTCGGGTATGTGCCACTGGTGGTTACGTACTACGAGGGACGCACAAGCCACGCCATAAGGAGCTTCGCCCCTAAAAGGATCAGTCAGTTGATGGAGAGAAGCAAGGGAATCGTTTTTTCAAAACCGAGGGTCTGCACGATGTACTGTGCGCTGCAATATTTGTAAGATATGATTGCCGCGGTTGAAATAGCAAGCTCATTTGGGGGATGTAAAAAAAAAAACGCCAGGCCTGCACGGAAGGCGCAGCACAGTCACAGAGAAAGCTAGAAGAGCAGCCTTTCAGAGCCTTTTTGAAACACTTATTCGGTAACTACTGCAAGCACACTTGCTTGATACTTACTAGGTCATAATTAATAAATTTATTTGGGTACTAGGCTGGCATTCGCTATGCTATTTTTCGTCCTTTTTCTGAGAAGCGTGGTATTTGCTAAACACTTGCAAGGAATTTTGTGCCAGTTGTTCGTGCAGTGGCTGACGACGATTAAGAATTATGGCTGAAGTGGGTATGCGCCACAGTTTATGTGGCAACAAGAACAGGCTTTTGTGATGGGTTGGAGCATTGGACGGCCCACTCGTGACGCTATTCGCATTGTGCGACGACTGGTTGTTCTTTCGCTGTTTTAAGACTTTTATATGTGGTATTAATGCGGTTGCTTTTCCAACATCAAGCCTGCCTAAGGCAAGTTTGACAACAAGTCACAAGCACTGGCGTAACTCGGGGGGTAAAATACTGGGCTGGCATCCAGCAGACCCAGGTTCAAGCCCGACTGGTCATTGGTGCTAGGTTTTTTTTTCTCTAATTTGGCAAGATGTGGTTACGTATCACGGCAGCGGCGGCGGCAGATTGCACGTGACCAGAGTTGTGATCTCATAACAGCTTTCGCTGTAAAAAAAAGTCTGAGCCTGTTTACGGGCCTTTCTTAAGTGTACTCAAGCAATTGTTATTCAGGCAAATGTTAAGAAGTACACCAGGGTCAAGAAGACATAGCAGGTAGTGGTCATGTTATCGTGGTAGCACGTTGAAAAGGGGTAAAGTAGAAGCTATAGAGAGCTTGGAAGAAAGCAGCAAATGCACCGTATTTATCGCATAATCCTCGCACTTTTTTTGGCAGAAAACTGATGCAAAGTGGGGGGGGTGCGAGAATCGCGGGGGGGAAACTCTCCACGAAAACGTAGAGAGCGAAAAAGAAAACTAAGTGGCCGCAAATTGGGATTCTCACTCCAGCGACTTACAGCAAGCTTTAAGAAGTACTAATTAGAATTTACCTCGACAATAAAAGCAGGGGTTCAACACAAGGCAAGATTTATTTGAGACACAAAGTGCAAGCAAATAGTCGAGAATGAGAATACCATACGCAAAGCTTGTGGGCATTGCTTGTGGGCACAATTCCTCGAGGAAAAAAGAAATCGTATTTTTGTTGGGCGATGTGGGGAATGTGAGAATTATTCGAGTGCGAGGATTATGCGAGTAATTACGGTATTTACTGTATATAACACACAAGGCTGTGCAGCAGCACGATTAGATTGGCTAATTGGTAGTTCATTTTTGACAGAGTATGGTGCCATATTCTGTCTAACAGGTGCATTTAGTGTGAACATCGCGCTCTTGTGCTCTAGCACATCTGCAAAAGCAGCTGTGACTTCTGCACTTACATCACTGGCAGGTCTATTGGTGACTGTGTTCTCATCCCGTCGTTTGTGCAGCCATGGAAGAGGACGAAGAGGTTGATGAGCCGAAGGCGGTCACCGTGCGATTTGCCCACCAGGAGACGGACCGTGCCAAGCGGGCTCGTGAGAAGTCATTCCGTTTCATCCACCAGAAGCAAGAAAGCGAGCCGTGGGTGGAGGCAACATTTCACAACTTTGGGGTAAGCATACTTTTTTTTTTCTTAACAGCGAAGCTGTTCAAGCTCGTTGTTTGGCCCTGCTTCTGGCTCGCACAACCAGTAAACTAAGCTGTGTCTGGCACCTGCAACTCCAAAATTCAGCCAATGCACGCTCTTTTTGTCTTCTTCTTCATCTCAGCGTTGACTATGAAGACTGTTTGGTGTTGGCGACGTACATGTGAAAAATTTGCATAGCTAATTCTACATTTTTCTATATCGCCTCGTAATTTGGCGGACAATAAGGCCAATGACCAACACACCTGTTGAGGTTGATGGTACGGATGTTCAGTGTAGGCGTTTCTTCAATGCAGGTGCCCTCTGAAAAGAATAATAAAAGGATAGAACAAAGAAACAAAGCGAGAGAGGAATGTGGATTTGTAAAAAGAGAGTAAAAAAATTTGATTAGGCATAATTATTATCATGTAACTAAAACCGTCATTTAAGAACGTGATAATCAAGACCCTGTTATTAATATGTTGAGATTTTTTTCTTTATGGGCATGAGCACCGAGGGACACACTCTTTTTTTTTTTCAAGCACTTCTGGTCATGCTCTTTATTGGTGTTTTTTTAATATTCAAGAAAAAGTCTTGTAAAAAAATAAAGCTGCTACAATATCGCTGGTTTGTTTCAAGGTAAGAGTTACGTGATGGATACATACAATGTTGTAGTTGAGTTCGCTCATGGCAAGTGCTGATATATTGTAAGGATGAATAATTAAATTTAATTGAATTGAGTTCATTGAAAGACAGGGCAGTTTTCGTAAGCAGCTGGGATTACCAAATGAGGCAGATGTTTGGTGGAAGTTTGAAGAGAGTCTTCTACACAAGATGCCGCTGGAACCAACCTTTAGTAACGTCTTTCTAAATGCAGCAGGCACCTATCTTGTCACGTGTGTGTATATGATTTGTATCTTCTTTCCTAACAAAAACAGAAGGAGAGCGGGCAGGGCAAGTGTAAAAAACAGTGGCCTGGGTTGGGGAAGAAAGAACGAAGAGATGGAGATACAGTCGATACCGGTCATATTGAACTGGTATATATTGAATCGTTGTCTGTATCAAACATTTAAGAAATCCGCTTGAATTTTCCCATGCAAAAATGTGGGGCTGCTGCTCATGCATATTCAACTCCTTGCACAGCAAAACATCCGCTATATCAAACGCTCCCCCGCGCTGAAGCCCAGGAAGTTCATTTTTCCTGTCAAATAATAATAATAAGCCGCTATGTAACATTTTTGAGTCCCTCCTCATACGTGCGCGATGAAAATGCGGCGTTGTTTCACTGCGCTTATCTGGATCATCGCGCAACGCTTGTGGGTGCACCGGTATGTTTGATGCACGATCTGCAGGGTTTACCGCGCCGACATGACGTTTTTCGAACATGCAAATTGCCGAGGGCACGAAACTGGGAATGGGAAGTGAATCTGCAGCCTCGTTGCAGTGTTCGCAATCCTTGCCTCGTTGCAGTGTTCGCAATCCTTGTCTCGTTTGTCCGTGCACAATAGCATGCGGGCCCCGAAAGCATGGCCTTCGAGATGTACAACCTCGTAAAGCCTTTAGGTGTTCTTGGTTTCCAAAACGCACATCTCGGAGGCCACGCTTTGTCTTTTCACATCAAAGCAGTGGCTGTCTGCTACAAAGCCACAAGTGCCATCGCTGTCGCCAGAATATCGACGGGGGCAGCGCAACACCATCACTTGGTCTGAAGTGGACTGATTATGAAGGAAGTGCAGAAGCAGGTACAGAGGGCTTATAATGCCTCTAGGCAGTGCCAGACCGCATTGTATTCCGTTCGAAGGGGGACGTGTGCGCATCAAGAAGAAAAGTTAGCAGAGACGGTCGGGTGAGTTAATGCAGATTCGTATTTGAAAAAAGTAGGGAAAAACAGCAACACAGGCAAATGTTCCTTCGTTCCTCAGTGTTGTTTTTGTGCTTTCTTGAAATATATAAAAAAATAAGAAAACGATGGCTTCACCATCAGGTCCCACAACTTTCCAGAACTCTCCCCAATCTTGATATTCCCTGTGACTTTTCCCTTTCTCAACCACGTTCTGTTCTCATACCTGCCTTCTTTTCTTCTTCTGGCTTGTTTTTGTGTGTATGTGCTTTGTGGTTGAGGGTACGAAGTACAGTGTGGTGCACTGTTAAAACGAACACTCGAATTCACACCATCAATGTTCCTAGCCCTCTAAGAGCGAGTGGATAAGGAAACAATCTTCATGCAAGTCAACAGTCTGTCAAGTGGAGTCGGAAGTTTCAACCACCAGTATTCCTATGCATATCTAAGCCACTATGCTTCCGTAAGATAGCGATATCTACACATGCTGCTCACGCAGGTGTTCCCTTGAACGGTGGACCCGTCAGTACATACACATGCTGAGGTAAGCGGTTTCTGCCTTGTAAGAAGGCGGGACTGCTTGTTGAAACGGTAGCTCCAGTGGTATCCCGTCCTCAAAGATTTTTTATTTGTGCGGTTTAACCTCCCAAAACCACGATATGATTATGAGAGACACCCTGAAAGATTTTTCAACACTTCGCCGAGTTTTCACAAAGTGTGCCATCGCGGTCGATTGCAGACGGAGTTGTCCGGCGTCGAGCGGGCCATGCTCATCTGCCCGCAAATGGACCGGGACGAGTCGGAGCTTCCCAAGACCCTTCCGGACTACTTCAAGGACCTTGTCGTCGACGAGTGCGTATTGTTCTTTGTCTTCCGGTAATTGTTGGTTTGTGTGGTAGGCTATCGGTAAATGGCAGCCTCTGTAGCATAACTGCTGCCTAAATGAAGGAACTGCCCCCATATACATCTAGTTGCGTACTTGAATTCTGCTTCTCTGTATATCTCTTAGCAGGTGAAACTCCCGTTGATTAGAACATATTGGCCTGGTTCCTTTAATTTTTGTTTAAAGAGAGTCTCATAGTTCTTTTTCTCTACTTGGTGTCCACACTCTTTCTATACACATATCTGAACACCTGCCCTGCCCATCTACTCTCCTTAATTTCCCTAAGCCTCTCTTCAAATCTCGTTTTGCTCTGAGCTTCCCTTACATCAGAGCCTGACCATCTTATATCCCCCTTTACAGCCTCATTCGTAGTCTTCCTGTGAGCACCCAACACGAGACGTCCCACAGTCAATGGATTTACATGCATTCCTGATTGCACCTCTGACTTCCTACACACCACTGATAAGAGCTAGCGCCGTAGCACCATCTAGTAAGCACTCTGAGTACTAGGGGTGGCTACAACGTACAATGGCGGACAGGCCCACACCCTAAGGACCTTCGTCCCTGAAAAATGAAATGAGAATAGTCCAGGGTCGAATGGGTTTTTTTTATTTTTATTTAATAATACTGTCAACCCTCGCTTGAGGGTCATAACAGGGAGGGAGTACAATATGAGTACAAACAGAACACCACTAAGCAATAAACACAGGAAAACAGAATGGGCAGTACTTCAACCATTACCAAAATAAGCATCAATTTCTCTGTCAAAAGTTTGCACATCGGTACTATTAATAACATGTTGGGGTAAAGAATTCCATTGTTCTATAGCGTCCGGGAAAAATGACCACCGAAAGATGTCAGTGCGAGTGCTAAAAGGTTCAATGGGGGCATCATGATTCAATCTAGTGCTACGTTTTCCAGGAAGGCGTATGTACTCGTCTTTAGGTATTTTGAATATCCCTTGGATTATACGAAATAATGTTTTAAGTTTTTGTTTCCGTCTTCGAATTTCCAGTGATTCTAAATTGATCTCGGGGGCCCTTTGTGTGGTAGACGCATAGTCCAACACAGAGCCACAATAGTACTTTGAACTTATCTTCGGAGAGATCCTGTACGAGCATCGTGTTGGGTGAGGAATCGCATTAGTCGGTGTAATATGGTGTGGTGGGAAAGTATAATAACAAGCAGTCATCTCCAGTGCTAATAGCGCAATGTATGGCTTAATGCTTCCCACCTGCCGCAAGGTGCTCGGCCATAATCCTTCATTGCCATCAGCCACATGCAACATGATGTACATAACGGCTTACAGACTTGCAGCGGGCACCTCGCAGAAAGATCAGTAGTAGGCGCTGTCCTAATTTGCAAAAATTACGACTTATGGTCTAGGCGACACCATGCGAAAACCTGAAATTTCAAACTCAGTTGGGCTTGCCCCAATACAAAGCCGTGTTCGGAATTCGCATTAGGCAGTGCTGTTAACTGTCAGCGATTCTCATTTTTCTTTTTTTCGTCTTGTTTTGCAGCGCTGACACAAAGACTTCCACCAAAGGCTCAAGGGAAGTCTCCATGCATATGCTCAGCAAACTGCCCGTCCAAGACCAAATCAAGGCAGTCCTCATGAGTGGTTAGTTGCGGTTGCTGTCGTTTTACTGTTGCCGACAGAAATGGCGGTTTCGTTGCTATTTTGAGTCAAATGCCATCGTCATTAATAATCCTGATATAATTAACTATCGGTTGTAACGAAGCAAATGAAGAATGGTCTTGCCGGGAAAACAGCTTACGAATGTATGTTTATAACAAGTTTTGCTGATATAGTGAACTTATTTTTGTGCTAGATGAGACTAAGTTTTGCGATGTCTGATTTCATGCAAAGAACACTCTGCTTGGGAAGATGATCCTGCTTTCACTTAGTCACTGCGGGCTGTCGTGCTCTAGTTGATATTTGCTCTTTTCTGCGCAATCGTGTGGTCATATCCAGACATGACAGATACAGATATTACTAGCTATTGGTTATATCGACGTAAATGAAGAATAGTATATAATATAGCTATCATACAGTGTTACAAGTAATACACCTGTACTAATAAATATTCAGATGTAACGACTCCGTTTTTGTGTTAGATGCAATGTTGTGGTAATGAATCTGGCTGCAATTTCCTGGTTTTTATCCCGCTGTCACTTTCTTCCTAATGGATGCAGCTATGAAAGATGTCTCAATATTGTGTGGCAGCATAATCGTGATTGTGTTCTCAGACGAAGTAACTGATGTGTCGTAATGAAGCCACCACCGACCAGGAAAAAAGTTCGTTATACACTCAAACTTTGCAATAACGAACCCAGATATAAAAAAGTGTCGGTTATAATGAGGTAAGTAAAAAACAATCTTGCAATAAATATAGTGTTAAGAATAAACCTTTTTAACAATTCTTTATAAATAACAAACTTATTTTCGTGCGTGATTCAACTTTGTTATAATAAGATTTGAGTGTATACTCAAAATTTTATTACAAGCATTCATATACCTAAAAGTGTTGATGGTGGGACTATTCCTCCTCTGCATCTTTGTAAGAGATAATTCCTTATATCAGTATGTGATACAACAGGTATGACTGCATTCAAAATTTTGAGCATTTGTATAACGAAGTGTGCCAATAAGAATTTTAATGCAGTAAGAGTACACCTTTCTTTAAACATCCATCTCTTTGTTCGTTGGCTTTTGTGCTTCTTTTATTCCCATTTTTGGGATTAACTTTGATTTTCTGCTTAAAGGCACAAGCTGCAGTTACGAAGAATGCTTTAGTTTGGTTTATTTATTTTTTTATATACAAAAATACCTCAAAAGCCTCTGTTGAGGCACCGTGTAAGGGGGGACGGGGGCATTAAAAAATGTGAACTTTAGTAGTGCTCTCATACTACACTATGCACGAACAGAGAGCACGCTGCTATAATGACAAATATCTTTTAATTTCTTTTGCCGGATTAACCAGTCAATACGAGTGTTTATCAGGCGTGATGCTGCCTGGCAGGGAATTCAAACATTGTACTGCACGTGGTAGCGCAGAGAAGCGGAATGTACGTGTTGATCTCTAAATGCGCACATAGCAGCATATCGATTTCAAGACTCGAGGTCCTTTGCCGATCAAAATTTGTGAAATGATGTAATCGCTCTTTTTTGCTTGTCCTTCCAGCCAAAGTTACCAACTTTGCGAAGCTCATGGCGGCACTGCCACCGAAGTCGGACACGTCGTCAGTCGTGCGATTCCTGCAGCAGGTGGCGCTGCTCGTGCAAGGCTGTTGGGTCGTCAAGAGGTGAGATCACAGGAAGGATGTGAAAAAATATGCCGCTTCTAAACGATTTAATGCCTGCATTCGTTTATTGCTTCACTAAAACTTCGTTATAACAAAGCTGTGTCTTATGCAAAAAAATTTTTATATAGAAAAATTTGTTATAAATGTATATTCTAACACTGTATCTATTGGTAATTTTTCATTTACTTTGTTATAATGAATAATTCGTTATATTCATGTTCGTTATGCCCATAAGCTGCTTGAACGACAAAGGCATGGATGAGCTAAATTGACTTGCATACCTGTTCACTGCTGCGTAGAGTTTACACCGTGCCTGATGATTATCATCGTTGTCATGCGTACAGCTAACTGCTGTGTGCTACGAGGCATGTCTCGCTGATCCTGTTGGCAAGTGGAGCTTTGCAACGTATCAATTCTTCTATCAATTCGAACACGCCAACACCAGCAGCTGTCCACCATCAAAAGGCTTCTGACAACGTCGAGATGGAGGCTTAGGATCGCGGAGCAGTGACTTATGTTATTATTATCATCCACTAATCGGGCCTGGCTAATTTTGTTGATAATGCGGACTAACAGCCACTCTGATGAGTAACCACGGTAGGGAATTGGAAAAAAACCAACACCACTGGCATTGGAAAAGGCATCTTAAAAAACTACGAGCGCAACAGAGCTTCGGCTTCGGATTACCTGCGGCTCAGAAGCAAGCCAGTGGCAAAAGCAGGGTGGTTTCATTGCCATCATTATCGAGTAATGGCAGCTCCCATGCTTTGTAGACAGCGGTGCAGTCAACAGCGGCAGTTTCTGGCTGTGCCAACGCTGTTCTTAGACTTTGTAGCCATACTTTTATGTTCTGAAAATGCATTGAAATGCTCAAGCTTGTGTTTACTGCATGGCATTAAATATCTGAGCCTCGAATTAGATCGTCAATTTTCGTTGAAGCGGAACAGCAAAAAAAGGGGGGGGGGGGGTTCGTTCTGGTAAGAATATTCAGAATATGCATTGACTACTATGGACTGCTGACGGGGAACAAGGCATGTGTGCTCTGCTTAGAGGAGTGCCGTTTACTGGGAGATAAACGTCAGCGCAGGATTGAAGTATGAAAGCAGTTGTATTAGAGGCAGTTGTTCCATTTAAGCAGCAGTTCTGCTTTAAAGGGCCAGTCAACAGGCTCAGACTTTTTTTTTATACACCCTCTAAAAAGCTCGGCACGTTTCTGAATATTACAGCGCTGCGCACCGCGCAATGCCTCCATTTCGGAAAATTCCTGCGTATCATTCCTACGCCTGACCAACATTCTTCATGCGTAGTGACGTCAACTCGGCGACGTGACGCATCACCCAGTTTGTCGATTGTTCTAAACCAGGTCTCAACAAACAGTAGTGAAGTCTACGACAGTTCCTGTTCTCTTGGTATCTTCCCACAGCTACGACAGGGTTATTGAATCATACGAGTTGCGAAACTCTCCGTAGGCTCCATGTAGTATCGAAATCCGGATGTGTCACTGGCCCAGTTTTTGTGAGTGAGCAGATTTTCGTGCCACCTGTTGATCAGCACACACTCCATTGAACGAATTATTTGTGTTTCGTGCTGGTATTCCCAGACGGCGCGACAGTCTGATAACTCCCGGAAAATCGGGTCAACTGCATGTCCAGGTTTTGGAACGAACTTTCGCTGCAAATTGTTGTTGACTGCAAATCGAGCGATTGGGCTGAGAGGAACCATCTGCCCCGGTTGAACGGTAAATATCTCGGCAAGCAGAAGTGCATTGCGACTGATCGAGTTCACTAATGACGTCAATTGCCGACGTCGTGCCACGTTGTCGGAGAGGGCGGAGTCAAGACGACGGGCTACACCTTCTCCTCCCTCTGAGGGAGAACTTCCCCTCCGAAATAGAAGGATGGCGAGACTGCGCGAACATTTGAAATCGGCTGAAAGCGATGTTCTAACCTCGATAACTTTCTTAATATAGCATGTATTTGCCGAATTCTTGCGGAAGCATGTTAACAGAGTAAATGTTTGCATATTTCTCTTTATAACAATTTTTCGACTTTGGGGTTGTTTAATGGCCCTTTAAGAGACTTCCGTTTGCTGAGCGTCTGCTTACGTACTTTCCAGCGATGTCCTCTATCCAAAGGATAGCTTCAGCCCCAAGACTGGCGTTCCGGCCGAGACCATGTCCAGAGCACGTGACTTTCTGGTGAGTCATTCTTATCTTATCTTCGCATTGCTGATTGTCGAATCACTAAATTCATGAACACTTTGCTGGAGGAAAGAGGGAGAAAAGTTTTTTTAACTACGCTTGCTGATTCATCAAAAGAAGTGTAAAAACTTTTCCTTTGCGCTTGGGTGCTTTTTTTCAGATGTTCCTCTTCACACAGTCGAGGGTTGTTGTGCAGACCAAGTTTTCCGATACCGTTAGGGTGAGTGTACTGTTGTGAAACATTACATTTATTTTTTACACTTTTAATTGCACAATAGGAGCTTGCAAGTAGCAATCTTTAAGAATGAGTTGAGTATGAATCGAGTAAGTACCAGAAGCCTGTAGAATCAATTAATATAAATCAGCCTTTGAATAGCTTTAAACTGTGGAGCACCCATTCAAACAATACAAAAGTAATCACATTATTTTCATATTTCGAATAATAGACCACAATTTCCAACATTTTATTGCATCCCGCCCTCATTGCATAATGCCCGTAGGATCCTGTAAGACACTTATAATTAAATAGGGGTAGTTGCTGCCATAAAAGCTTCAAATAAAGCATCGTCAACAGGTTAGCAGATGCTTTGAACGTGCAACACTCTTCAAAGAGCGCAAACCTTCATTAGATTGTTTTAGAAAAGTGTGCTCAATGCTTCGCATTAGCGTTTGCCACCACTACGCTTCATTTATACGCTGTCGTTTTTGGGCATTCATGTTAAGTTATGAAAATAGCATATTCTACCGTAACAATGCTGGCTTTTTGAAGCCTATTTTGAGGCTGTTTGTAGTGTAGTCAGTTAGTCTGGCTGGCCAAACAAGGTCTAATATTTTGTGTGCCCTATGCGGTGTCCTATATAATGCTAATGCTTTGAGCCATATTAAAAGAATGTCTGTTGTCATCAGTTAAGGTTTGGCTCTACAAGCAAAGTAGCCGCCACGCCATGTAAGCTGTCGCATGTTGTGCCCACTTATACTTTTGTCTGTGGCAGTGAAATTGTAATACAGCAGAACCTCGATAATACAAATTCGAAGGGAGCACGCAAAATACCGTAATTACTGGCATAATTTGAGCACCCATAATATTTTGTCATCTTTATGAAAAAAGTGTTCCCACCTTCCCGAAGGGAATTGTGAGAAAATGCAAATGCATTTCTTGCGCCGAGAGAGGGCACCGTTGCAGGCGGGCATTCGCCTTCACCGACTTCTACCATCGTCTTGAGAGGGGCCCAGCCAGCGAACGATCGAAGATGAGGCGCGAGTGGCCGGGAGAGTGGGGCGCAGGGAGGAGTGTGAATGGCGAGAGGAGCGGCCAAGCACTGCACCTACCCTCTCCTACTCTCTCTCGCACCATATGCTCCGCTTGCTAGGGGTGAGGATAAAGCGCGCCCGCCCTCAGCTCTTGCTATGGGTTAGGGAGTGAGAGCAAAGAGATAACACGTGCCTGTGCGCGGCCGCCGCCGTCGGATGCCTGACCTAGCCCAACTAAAAAGTGCATTCACACTTTAAAAAAATACTCGCATATTTTGCACTCCCTGACCCGGCCGAACCAGCTTGCCGGGGTGCGTGCCTCGCCGATCAGGCGAACGCAGTCAAACGAGCTGCGAGTGCGAGGTCAGCTCTTCGACGACTTCCCCCGAACTATGGTCTCTAGAATACCGTGCACGAACACTCAAACCTGTTGACGGGTCGCCGGAACTGCTCGAGCATTTGTCCCCCTCTATCTCTCCATCTCTACCAGCGGATGAATGCACGCTCGCGTTATGGTACGGACAACTTTCGGCACCGGAGGTGTGCGAGGTCCTGTTGGGCCTGTCGCGCTGACTGTCGCCCTTATTCTCTGCGTCTGCACTGCAAGGCATGCTTGGTTGATTTCGGAAGTTCGAATTTCAAAAGTGCCTATTCAAGAACATTGATAAGCCTTGGTGTTTGGTTCATGGGCTCCCATTGCTCTTGAGAGTCTGATGATACCTCGTTTTTTGATTTCAGCTGCCTGTGCTAGATGTCAAAACTCTCCTGGAGGATATGGCGAAGCCGACCCCAGACGGCTGGGAGTTTATGCTGCCCTACGACCGTGACTTCGTATCAAGGTGAGCACTGTTGAAATTTGGGCTTATTGGTACACACTCTAGATATGAGACTAATGACTGATGGTATGAGATTTCATTGCATACTCGGATTATGTGCCATAAATAAAGTCAAACTTTTCTATACTGATTTCAAAGTAATTTCAGTAATATACTAGTAATATGTCATTACCTTTGGACAGCTGTAATTTGCAATTCATTTACTAATTAGTTTAGAAATGCAACTGTAGTCACGCCCACATATTCTGACATTACATAACACAAATAACTGTGTATATCGGGGAGTCATTAAATCCCCTTGAATACCGTAATTACTCGAATCTAACGCGCACCTTTTTTCCGGTTAAGTGAGTTCATAAATCGCATGCGCGTTAGAATCGAGTATGAACAAAAAAATTACGGTCAATCTATTGCCATCGGCAAATCCAAAATGGCCGCCTCCTACGTGCGTCGGCATGGCACGTCGGCCATTTCTGCTTATGTGTTTCCCATGTGCCGCACTTCGTACGTGTGCTGAGGAGTTCGTCATCTAGTAGTGCATTAGCATTGACGGCGTGGAAGGGCTGACTCCAAAAACTCGAGTGCACCACGATGCCGCTTCTAAAAGAAAAGTCATCGCGTGTGCAGAAACGGACGGAAATCGGGCCGCATCACGGTCGTTCGGAGTTCCCGAAACGTGCGTGCGGGACCGGCGGAAACAAAGGCAAAAGATTGTCAACAGCAAAGCTTCACGCAAAGGCTTCAGTGGACCACAGCAGGGTCGGTTTCCGCAAATTAAAGAGCTGCTCGGCGAGTATGTGCTTGAGCAGCGAGCGGCACAGCGGCCCATGATGACAGAACTGCTCCAAGTGCGGGCTATGCAATCAGTCTTAGAAAAAGGTCTAATGCGGAGCCAGTTTAAAGCGAGCAGGTGCTGGCTAACTATTTTTATGAAGAGGAAAGGCTTTTCCTTCCGAAGGGGAACATGCATATGCGAAGTTTTGCGGAAGAATACGATGAAAAGCTTCACAGTTTTCAGGGGTTCGTCCTAAACTTGCGGCGCAACAACGGCTAGCTGCTTGGGCAAATCGGGAATGCTGATCAGACGCCTCTTTACTTCGACGTGCCTGGCACCACAACCGTCGAGAAGAAGGGGGCAAAGCAAGTTCGCGTGCTGACATCGGTCCACGGTAAAACTACAGTGACGGCAATGCTCTGTTACACGTCAGATGGGCACAAACTTTGCCCGTACCTCATATTTAAATGGAAGACGCTCACGAAAGGAGTCGTTTTTTCGAGTGGTGTGATCGTGCGGGCCAGCGAGAAAAATGGGTGCGCGTTGCAACTGATGTCTTACGTTTTTTTTTTTTTTTTTTCGCGGTGGAAATTGGGTGCGCGTTACAATCGAGGGCGCGATAGAATCGAGTAAATACGGTATATTTTCTATAAGTCAAATATTTCATATACTTATTTTCCACATAGAACTATTTTGTCACCCCCATCCAATTCGGTATGTACAGGCTTGTCTGTACCGGGGTAACTTGAATTACGTCTTTAGCCATAATTTAGTCATCTTTTGATGAAACTCTTTGTGCAACACTGTTTTTGTGAGTATTCAGGAAAGCCATTTCTTATCGCAATGAATCTAATCGCCAAAAGGATCGCAGGCGCTGATCGACGTGTAAAAGCCAGAATTGCAGCGGTGATGTAGAAACTGTGGGCAGTAAGGAGCGAAAGTATGTTTATGCGTTTGTTTTCTCTGAAGTGACACAATTCGTCATGTTAGCATGACGGCTAATGCTATTTGCCACTATGCACGAAGTTGCAGGTTACATTCCCAGCTCTGATGGACGTGCTTCAATGGGTGGAAACACATAGACGATGTCTCTGCCTTGATTTGGACCACGTTACGAAACCATAAGTGGCCGAAATGAAATTGTAGTCCTCCACTGCCATGACACTCAATAATATAGTATGGTCTGGCAGGTAAAGCCTTAGGATTTAGTTGTAATAATTGATCCATTACATCTTACGACAACTGCACAAAAATTTTGCAAAGCACGTGGAAAGTTGTTTGCGAGGGTTTTTTTTGTCTCTTAGTGAAAGACATGCGAAGTATTGGACATTCTTTCCATCGCCCACAAGGTCTTCATTTCTTATTGCACAATGTTGCCTGCTTCTCTCTTCTTGGTACTCAACGAGCAACTAATTGCAGTAATTTTGTGCTCTCTTTGCGCACACAGGTATCCAGATGTGGTCCAGAGGCAGAAGATGCTGTGGGAAGCAAAGCAGCAGTTTCTTTCAAAGTCATTCCGCCTCACACGCCAGGAGGGCCAAGGTAAGACCTCTCGTTAAAATTTTGCACGGGAAATGAACCGGGGTTAGGACGGCATAAAAGAAAGAAAGATACCCACGTCTGATGCTCTTGTTCCGTGGCATTATTACAGTAGACTCGCAGTAAACGAAGATCTCTTAAGGGGGGGGGGACGTGGGTTCTAAAATTTTTTTTAAACTTTTTGCTCAATCTTAACCAAACTTCACTACCTAAGCATTTTCGATGGAGGCGGAAATGTTGTAGGCCCGTGTGCTCGGATTTGGGTGCACGCTAAAGAACCCCAGGTGGTCAAAATTTACGGAGTCCTCCACTACGGGGTCTCTCATAATCATGTGGTGGTTTTGGGACGTTAAACCCCACAAATCAATCAATCGACACTACCTAAGCTAGTTTTTCATGCTGATTTCAAATCTCTAGTTTGTTTCTTAATATTTCAAGTGGTTTAGAAAATATAAAGGTCTGAATCTTAATTAATTGCGTACTTCTTACGGGACTTTTTGGCAATTTATTCTTGCTTAATCCAAAAAGTGAATGCATAATCCCAATGCTGGATACTTGCTGTAGGGGGTGATGCTATTTTTATCCATTTGAAGGCATTTTATAAGCAAGAAAACGGACAAACACTTATGGCCAATATATTACAATAAATTTTTCTCACAAAAATCTTCAACGGTAATTTTTGAAGTGATGCTAGAGAAATAGAAATGGCATCACCCCCCTAGATCATGTCAAGACGAATAAAATGATACCAACTTTGTCGCGTTCACTCAAGTTTAACATAGGAAAAACCTTCGTAAGGCTGAGTGCAATGTGCAAAAACATCAAACTGAGAAAAATGCATTTGAAGTTTCTAGCAACTTTAACTTTAGCTAAAGTGAAGCTACAGCAATAATAATGACATCATTCTGTAGCTCTATATTATAGGATAAATGGCCATGCTAAATTTCACTGTACGCACCCAGAATACTCATCACAGCTTGTTCAAGAACTATAAAATAGTCATTGACTCAGAATGAGAATTATTATTTTATTTACTTTGTGGTCGTTCCAGTGCCTTGCAAGTGAAAGGAACACAAAAAAATTATGTAATAATGTTTTCCTTGGATAGACACTAGATTTACACAATGTTTAGGTCTAAACGCAAGAATATTTATTTTTGCGAAAATTCTCACTATTTGCCATCATGACTGTTTACAGCAGACCAGGGCTGTAAGCAGAGTCCCCTGCTGGCTTGTGACGCTTTGAAAGTCTTTCCTTTATTGAACTGCTTTCGAGATGCTCTCTTTGCGATTTTCGCAGCCTGCCCTTGTCCTTCTCAATGCTGCGACGCACCAAGTTATTGCCAGTGCTGTAGCCCAGCTTCTCGGCAATTTCCACATTGCTCTTGGTTGTGCCTTAGTTGAAGCGGCTGATGGCTTCGGCAACTCCCTTTTCAATGCTCCGCAAGGATGCATGCCGAGTTTTGGGGGCCTGCTGCCAAATCATAGCGTGCAGGCTCTCACTTGGGTTCTGGGTGATCCCATCGCTGCACCTTTCCAAGAGGGCATTGTCGCTTAGCCGCCTAAACACAGGCTCCAATGCCTCAGTTACGAAATCAGGCAGGCTGTCCTTGTGTGGTGACGGCTTCTCATTTTTCGCAAGAGCTCTCTGAAATTTGCTCCAGGATTCAGGGCTTTCAGGGCAAAGGTCATGCTTTGGTGCCTCGTCATTTGAAGACATGTGGTTCAAAGTTGCTAGAACAGCCTTCTGCATACCTGGAACATCGTTCCTGTGGCTTCTCAATGCATAGCCATAGTATGAGGTGATCTTCTTTATCTTTTGTTGTGTAAGTCTGCCCTTTCCACCAAGTGAGCCACCTTGAGCTTTTTTTTTTCTCTACAAGGGTACGTAAGGCAGCTTCCATACGCTTGTGTACATGATTTATCATGTGACCTTTTACAGACTATCATGTGACCTTTTACGGGTGTGCTCTATTAATTCTCTCTACATCAGCTTTGAAGTATGGAACACTTTTTATGATAATCTTTTCTAACATAGAACCTGCAGGTAAGCCTTCGGTCACGCTGAGCATAATGGGGCTGTGCCACCTTCGCTTAACGTATGGTCCGATGCTCGTGAACAGCTGCTTGAACACGGTTAGCCGAGGTACGAAAAAAAAAAAGTACGAAGAGCGCCCCGCGGCCTCCGAGATTAGCTTCGATAACGTTTTGTCTGAACTAACCGTGGTGGCCACGAGCAGCTTACTCACGTGGTCGTGACAGGACTTCACATGACGTCGAAAATTCGGAAGACTTGTTCTACCCGCTTCTTCATTTCGAAATGGTCAAAAATGTCTATATGATGTTAGCTAACCACAGTTTCTTTCACTCTTGTTAAAGCAGAAGAACCTTGAGCATAATGTGAGGATGGCTGTTGGCATTGCTCTCGCTTCGCAGCACGGCTGGATGATGTCTACGTGCAGTTTAGAGGCTTTTCAGGTAACCTACATCGTGCCGTCATGGTTTTCTGCATACAAGCTAATGCTTGCCTACACTCAAGGTAATGCTCAATGTAAACTGCATCCAATGTTTCTAAATTCTAACGTAAAAGTAAATGAAGAAATGGCTATTACCATATTTACTCGTGTAATGAACGTGCTTGAATAATGAACGCACCCCAACTTCATTCGTCAAAATTTTGATTATTCTTTTTTCCGCGTAATAAACGCACCCTCTACATTTGTTCGCTGCAGTCCCGCTAACCAACACCTGGCGCCTTCTTGTCCATTGAATCTCTTCCACTTATTATTATTATGACGACCCCTCTCGACCACCTCGGTTCGCTTCCTTGCCCGCTGCTGCGCACCGTACAGTTTTTCTTTCTATCTGTGCGCAGCACGTACGCAGTTTTTTTTAAATATCTATGCGTCACAGCGGCGTTCACGAACGATGCGAGTGTAGACATCGCGGCTGACTAGCACGCAGCGAGCGAAGGTCACGAAACTTCCTGCACCGACCGACGGTCGCCTTCTGCAAATACGGAACTTCAAGAGCCAACCTCATGCACGCAATTTTCGAGCGACGACGACAGCATTTGCTCTTGCTATGGCTGTCGTGAAGAGCCATTCGTCGCCATCGCGTCACAGGTTTCTGGAAAACCAGAACGAAATTGCTTGTCGCCCAGGAAAAATCGCGACTGTTTCCGCATTATGGTCCCCTATTCTCACTTTGGTTGGAAGCGAGGCGGCCGCTGTATTCTATTGTTAATCTTGTTATCAACTTAAAGAACCCTAGGTGGTCGAAATTTCTGGAGCCCTCCACTACGGCGTCTCTTATAATCATATGGTGGTTTTGGGACGTTAAACCCCACAAATCAATGAATCATCAATCTTGTTATCAAGGGTTTGTTTGGACGCTTCGGTGGTAGCTTGCTGCAATGTTGGTTGCTTGCTTTAATGTCAATGGCATGGTTGTTGTGCGAGGTTGCCACGAAGTTGGCAAAGTGCGTCGTGGCATCGTAGCGCACGCTTCTAGGCGCCCCTAGGGATCACAGCAGATAACACTGTTGCGGTTGAACGATTGCGAGAAAAGATAGCTGTGAAACGCTTTTATGGTGTGCACGGGCAGCGTGGGAAACAGTATGCAGAAGATGGTGCTTTCAACCGCCGAAGATGAGTGAAGCGCAAAAAAGAAGCCGAGAGACCTAACTTTTTCTTGCACTACCGCATTTTTTTTTGCTCATACCGGAAAAGTTTTCATATAATTTACCCGCATAATAAACGAACCCCCGACTTTGTTCGGATTTTTCTAGAAAAAAAGTGCGTTCATGATGCGAGTACACTCAACCGTCGATATAATGAAACCGGATGTAACGAAATATCGTTCATAACAAAGTAAAATAGAATAGACTTGCAATAGATATAGTGTTAGAAATAAACCTTTATAACAAATTTTCGGATATAGCAAACTTCTTTAGTGTAAGATGCAATTTGGTTATAATGAGGTTTTGGTGTAAATACAGTACATTTGTTTTTATAAGCTTTTTCTTGTCAACGTGAGGGGACATCAAGGTGTACAGACGTCGCCCAGACGCATTTCATTATTAGTTACGATTCCTAGGGCTCTCCGCTGTCGTCCGAGCTGTCAGTGTGCAGACTGTTTAGGTTAACGCCCGTAATTTGAACGCAACCCCGGTCATCCGATGTAACCCACAAAATTCTTACTACTGGGCAAAGGGGGCGTCTTCAGCGCTGAGAAACAGAGCAACTGTCACAGCTTTCTCATTTCAGGAAGTCCTGTGGCATAAGCTTTACATCAGTGATAAAATGCGTAATGTTCACGTTTCGTGCAGATGCACTTAATGCAGTCGCCACCAGCCAGCACAAAAGGGAGGCAGCAGAAAAAGCGGGTGCGTTCGCGCACTAATTCGACGGCCAGCGATGGCAGCGGGTCGGACAGCGGCACGATGACCAACGGAAAGGACGCGCCATCCAAGGTCGGCAGCTCCGGGCCGTCAAAAGCTGCCAGTGCTGCCAAGAGGGTACGTAGGATTCGCATTTCAGGCGTGAAGGCGTCCTTGCTTCACTTGTTCGCTTCGAATATTGCCCATACTTGGGCAGCCATTCACAGAACTGTCTACCTACTCTATACAGTAAAAGCTCGTTTATCCAGACCTAGTTAACTCATGAAATTCGGTTAACTCGGACATGTGGCAGGGTCCCGGCAAAATTGTGTATATTTCAATGAGGTCAAATGCTCATTACCGTAATTACTCAAATATAACACTCACCTTTTTTCCGGTTAAGCGAGTTCATAAATCACATGCGCGTTAGAATCGAGTACGAAAAAAAAATGAATACGATCATACTATTGCCATTGGCATTTCCAAAATGGCCGTCCCTTACGTGCGTCGGCATGGCGCGTCGGCCATTTCTGCCTATGTGTTTCCCATGTGCGGCACTTAATATGTGTTCTGAGGAGTTCGTCATGTTGTAGTGCATTAGCATCGGCGGCATGGAAGGACCGACTACAAAAACTCGACGAGTGCACCACGATGCCGCTTTTAAAAGAAAATGTCATCGCGTGTGCCGAAACGGACGAAAATCAGGCCGCATCGCGGTCGTTCGGAGTTCCCGAAATGTGCGTGCGGGACTGGCGAAAATAAAAGCAGAAGATTGTCGACAGCAAAGCTTCACGCAAAGGCTTCAGTGGATCACAGCAGGATCGAATTCCGCAAATTGAAGAGCTGCTCGGCAAGTATGTGATTGAGCAGAGAGCGGCACAGCGGCCTGTGACGACGAACTGCTCCATGTGCAGGCTATGCAGTTAGCCTTAGAAAAAGGGCTAATGCTGGAGCCAGTTTAAAGCGAGCAGGTGCTGGATAACTAACTTTATGAAGAGGAAAGGCTTTTCCCTCCGAAGGCAAACAGGCATATGCGCAAAGTTTCCGGAGGAGTACGATGAAAAGCTTCACAGTTTTCAGAGGTTCGTCCTTAAACTTGCGGCACAACAACGGCAACCTGCTTGGGCAAATCGGGAATGCCTATCAGATGCATCTTTACTTCGACATGCCTGGCACCACAACCGTCGAGAAGAAGGGGGTAAAGCAAGTTCGCTTGCTGACATCGGGCCACGGTAAAACTAGAGTGACGGCAAAGCTCCGTTGCACGTCAGATAGGCACAAGCTTCCCCCGTACCTCATATTTAAATGGAAGACGCTCCCGAAAGGAGTCGTTTTCCCGAGTGGTGTGATCGTGCGGGCCAACGAGAAAAATGGGTGCGCATTGCAATCGATGTCTTACTTTTTTTTTTTGTCGTGGAAACCGGGTGCGCAGTTAAAATCGAGGGCGCAGTATAATCGAGTAAATACTGGTAATTCGGAGGGATTTAGCCGCGTACCGGTTATCTCGGACAACTCCGGAGAGAACTATCGGGACTAAGAAGTCGCGCGATCTCGGCGGCTTGGAGGCTCAAGCACCGCTTGCCATAACCGACAGCAGAACCGGAGTTTTGGAGAAACTGAAACCGAGCGAACTGTAGCAGAATGACGATGATGATAGTGAATGAAGGGGGAAGTGGCTAGGGGAAGTCACCACCCTGCGGAAGCGCTTGGGCCACCAGCGCATCTAGTGTCTACTAACAGCTGCTCGCTACGCCCATGCTACGCCTACTGGTGACTACTTCATGTCTTGGTTCTTTGTGTTGTGACTTCGCGTGTTGCGGCTGTGTTTGCGTGCGTTGTCGTCGCCGTCGCGCTTCATGGCGACCATCACAGGAGTTGAAGCGGCCACAGCAGCCAGCAAATGATCTTGAAAGAAAGCTTATGATATTGAAAGACGGGATGAGCCGACGCGTCGTAGCCACACTGTGCAGGAGGCCGCCGGAGCCCTCGCTGTCCTCGAGGAGTTCTGTGTTTGTTCTCGTGACAGTGAACCGTGCGCACCACCACCTGATGGGATTAAATAAGATCGTTCTGTTAGAAATTTCGACGGCGAGGCAGGCAAAAGTAACGCACGTTTTAAGAAATAAAGGTTTGTCTGTGCCGTGTACGTTTTCTTTTTGTTTTCATGGTCCGTTCGATAATTCGAAATTCGATTAACTCGGACATTTTATCCGGTCCCGTGAGATCCGAGTTAACGAGCTTTTACTGTATGTCCATTTTGGCAGAGCACATTCACTTACTCTAGAAGGCGGCGAGCTGTGATAATATCGCGGTGTTGACCGTGTCGATGCGCCGAGTCCCCGCAGGCTTGTCCCAGCATTAAAAGAAAAGAAAAAGAAGTGGATGAAATGTGCAGTCACAGAACACCGAAAGGAGTACTGACACACATTTAAGGTACGCCAAAAGGGCCATTTTTCGGCTTCATAGTGTGCACTGTCAACCATGTCCACAGACCTGAGCCTGAAAGCATGTATCGTATTTTTGAGCGTGCTGGTGATCCCGGATATATCGAGCTTGAAGGGAATCGCGAAAGAGTTGGACATACAGTCGAGCCTGCTTATAACGAACCTGAGCGTGACGCGGCATCTGTTCGCTGTATCCCGAAGTTCGTAGTAAATTAAGACACAGCTTTTTAAAAAGTTGCAAGTGAAACACAAACTTTTTTTTACCCCAAAAAATTCATGATGCACGTGTTTCGAAGAGCAGAAGCGATAAGGGCGGTCTCTAGTTTATTTCAAGCAGCAGCGTGCTTTTTCGCCGAGGCCCGTGGCATCAGCTGCATGAGGGACTGGCTCCAAAGTTTCGTCGTTCTCGCTCTTGCCACGTACTTTATTCACAAAGCACGGAGGGGTGCGTAACAAAAAGCGGTCGGGGAGAGTGGGAACTAGAGGGGTGGGAGGCAGGGTCGGCGTTGAACAACAAGAATGTATGGGCACCTCGCCAATGCCTGATTGGTGGTCGAAAGTGGTTTCCCGGGAAGTCGGCAAAGCGCCGACTCCGTTCGCTGTAACCGATCGGTGGCGCTCAGAAACGTTCATTGTAAGTGGGATTTTGTGCCATTCAACCAATGTATATTTTCACGATCATGCGGATATTGTTCGTTTTAAGCAAAAGTCTGTTTTAAATGGAGTCGTTATATGTGGGCTCGACAATATTGATAATTTGAAATGCGAAATATGCATATTTAAGGCCTAAATGAAAGCATTTCAGGCCTCAGAAATCGTTGCAAGTGCTAACATAATGATTCGCTCACAATATGATTAAGAACAAGGTGTGAACAGCAAGGTATCGCAGCTTATTTCGCATGAAAATAGTCCATACACTTCTCTCGATTCTTGCATGCTGTCAAGTTCTAGCTATGCTCAATATTATTGAAGCTTTTTAAATAAGCGAATTCAGCTCATTTGGCCTCAACAGTGTTGATTGATGCAGAAATTCAATGCAAGCTTCGTAGCGTGGCAAAGAGGTCGGTTAGCAGCGGCAGCGATAGCATATTCACAACCGCACCGGTACACTTCCGCGGCACCGGACACGGCAGCCATGATCTCACCATCAGTGCAGTCAGAAACAGTTACGTTGTCATCTGCACCGATAAATTGCTCACTGTTCAAGATGGTGCCCGAAACCCTGATAAGTAGCAGAATTCACCGAGGCACCGTACGCCAGCGGTAATGATGCATGCCAAGTCGTCACATGGCCCGCAAGGAAAGTTTACGACGGTGCTTTACTTGACGGTGCTCCAAGCACCAGTCATGATTTTTATCGCTTCTTGCGGGTCAACGTTCAGTTCAACTCCCGAATGAGGATTTATGAGGAACGAGGCGTGAAGTATGCAGGTCCTGAAGGTGCAAAAGACAACATCAAGTTTCCACTATTGATGTCACTTGTGCCTTTGTCGCTCACTGCTGCTTTGATGTGAAAAAGCTAGAAAAAGGTAGCCTCCGAGATGTGCGTTCTAAAACTGAAAACACCAAAAATACGTTGCGAGGTTGCACATCTTGAAGGACATGCTTTTCAGGTTCGTGTGCCATTGTGCGATAACAGACAAGGAAGGGAATGCAACCATTGCAACAAGATCGCCGAGCTGGAGGCAGCATTAAAACCTAATTTGAAGGCAAAATGGGGTCACAAAGTCAAAATAAATGCACTGCATGCAAGATTCGCTCTGCCAAAAGCAGATCTGGGGGGGGGGGGGGGGGGTGCATTAGCCGTGTGGAAGTACATCCATTCTTCTCGTTTTGGTCGAAAGTTTTGAAAGCTCCCTGAAATCAAAATTGACATTGCGTAAGAACGGGAAACTGAGGACACGCTCTTTGTCAAACTCTGGACAATCAGCGACAGCTGATAGGGACAGTCTGCTTGCAAATAGCTTACAAATGCTGTGCTTGGACATCTGGGAAAATACAGTGGATGGTCTTTTAGATTTGAGGCACAAAAAAGCCATGGACTTGGGCTTTATCTCATATGGTTATATGGTTTACTTAAATAAAGCTTCTTGTGTTTCAGAAGACCGGGTTCAATCAAAGCTACTTGTACAAAAAAAAAAAAAAGGTTATATTTTCGGACCTCTCAAACTTTTAAAACGACGCTTCGGGTGTATCTAAAGGAGAGAGGTAGATAGTTGCAAAACTTCTTAGCTTTCGGTGCGAGGTTGATTGGTACGTGCTAAGGAAATATGTTACCTTCAATTGACTTGACAGCTAGCACATGGGGAGTGCTAGATTAATTAGATTGTATTACTTTCAGCAGCCTCTAACTGCCTTCAGCTAGCTCAATAGTTACAGTAACCACTGAAAGCAGTGTTGCTAGGCAGCGTTTGTTGACATTGATTTAACTTTGCCTTCTCTTTCAGCTGACTAAAGGGTCTAGAACACCCAACCTATCATCGGCAAAAGCATCCCACTGACAAGTATTAGCCATCATCACGTATCCTGCACATCGCCGTCACGGTTTGTACAAACACGGTTGGTAATATTTTACGTATTTACGTTCCCTTTAATTGATGCTTCTTGTCAAATTTACTTGTCATCCGCTTAAAAGAAATACCCACTTGAAAATTTTCAGTTGTCATTTTATTGTGTTGAGTGAAAGGCCGAGCCACGAAGAGCCTAGAAAACTTCCCAGCTTGTAGCATATGTTTAATCAGAAGTGTGTTGCTGGTTTTAAAGATTCTTACATTTGTCCGCTTGCGTGCTTTTGAGTGCGTTGCCTTGCGAGCTGCCCAAAGGAAGCTGCAAACTGTTGAAGCATGGTACGATGGTGTTGGCACCACTGTGCAGTAAAAAGTGGCTATGCGTTTTTCTTTTTCGGACGGGGGGTCACGGATTTTTTGGGGCTGTCTTGAGCTTGGAAGTCCCTCCGCCACGTGTTGGTGAAGAAAACTGCAGCCAAAGCCTTAGTTAGAAGATTAAGCTTTTCATTTGGAAAAGCTGCGCCTTGTGGGAGCAATTCACGCTCAAAGCGTATCAATACAGTCGAACTCCGCTTCAACATAATTTCCGCTACAACGAAAAATTCACGATTCCGATAATTCACGATAATGGGTTTGTCATATTTTGGTTTGAGAATGCTCAAGCTTCAATACGACAAACCTCTTACAACGAAATTAATGTTATAACGAAGTAAATGAAGAATAGTCTTGCAATTGGTTCACTATAACGAACATTGTTATAACGAATTATCACTTATAACGAAGCCAGTGAAGGATGGTCTTGTCATAGATACAGATAAACGTTTATAATGAAGTTATTTTGGGAGCAGATGCGAGTTTGTCATAACGAGGTTTGAGTGTACATCATCATCATCAGCCTGAATACGTCCACTGCAGGACAAAGGCCTCTTCTATGTTTTGGCCAGTCGGCTCAGTCCTGCGCTTGCTGCTGCCAATTTATACCCGCAAACTTCTTAATCTCATCTGTCTCCCCCTAACCCGCTTGCCTTCTATGGGAATCCAGTTAGTTACCCTTAATGACCAGCGGTTATCCTGTCTACGCGGTACATGCCCGGCCCATGTGCACTTCCTCTTTTTGATTTCAACTACGATATCCTTAACCCCCGTTTGTTCTCTTATCCACTCTGCTCTCTTCTGGTCTCTTAAGGTTACACCTACCATTTTTCTTTCCATTGCTCGCTGCATCGTCCTCAATTTAAGCTGAACCCTCTTTGTAAGTCTCCAGGTTTCTGCTCCGTAGCTAAGTACCGGCAAGATACAGCTGTTATATACCTTCTTGAGGGATAGTGGCAATCTACCTGTTATGATTTGAGAGTGCCTGCCAAATGTGCTCCACTCCATTCTTATTCTTATAGTTACTTCAACCTCGTGGTTCGGCTCCGCGGTTATTACCTGCCCTAAGTAGATAGTCTTTTACAACTTGAAGTGCACTATTACCTATCTCGAAGCGCTGCGCTCTTCCGAGCTTGTTGTACATTACTTTCATTTTCTGCAGATTAATTTTAAGACCCACCTTTCTGCTCTCCTTGTCTAACTCCGTAATCATGAGTTGCAATTCGTCCCCTGAGTTACTCAGCAATGCAATGTCATCAGCGAAGCGGAGGTTACTAAGGTACTCTCCATTAACTCTTATCCCTAACTGTTCCCATTCTAGGCTTCTGAAAACCTCCTGCAAGCACGCAGTAAACATCATTGGGGAGATTGTGTCCCCCTGCCTTACACCCTTCTTGATTGGTATTCTGTTGATTTCTCTATGAAGCACTATGGTAGCAGTTGATCCCATGTATATTTCTTCCAGGATGTTTGTATATGCTTTATCGGTGCCCTGATTCCACAGTGTCTGTATGACGGCTGATATTTCTACTGAATCAAACGTCTTCTCGTAATATATGAAGGCTATGTATAGTGGTTGGTTATATTCTGAGCATTTCTCTATTACCTGATTGATAGTATGAATGTGGTCGATTGTTGAGTAGCCTGTTCGAAATCCTGCTTGTTCTTTTGGTTGATTGAATTCTAATGTTTTCTTTACTCTGTTAGCAATTACCTTTGTAAATAGCTTGTATACTACAGAGAGCAAACTGATAGGCCTGTAATTCTTCAAGTCCTTGTCATCTCCTTTCTTGTGTATTAAGATGATGTTGGCATTTTTCCAAGACTCTGGTACCCTTCCCGTCAGGAGACACCTCGTAAACAGGGTGGCTAGTTTTGCTAACACAATCTGTCCTCCATCTTTCAGCAGATCTGATCCTCACCAGCAGCTTTGCTTCTTTGCATGCTCTCCAAAGCTTTTCTGACTTCTATCATTACTGGTGGGGTCGGTTGTACTTGAGACTTTCATGATTTGACACTTCTTAATGAAATTCTTCGTTTCCTGGGAAAGCTTGCCTGTATCCTGTCTAACTACCCTGCCTCCAACTTTCACTGTACACTCCATAAGGATACTCGTCAGATTATCATTCATTGTATCTACGCTAATGTTGGTTTCCTCACTAAGCAGAGTACCTGTTCTAAAGCGAGACTCTAAATTCCTGTACTTTCCCTCTCAGTGCTAGCTCATTGATTGGCTTCTTGCATATCAGTTTCTGTCGTTCCTTCTTAAAGTCTAGGCGAATTCGAGACCGTACCGTTCTATGGTCACTGCATCGTACCTTGCCAACCACTTCCACATCCTGCATGATGCCTGGGTGTGAGTGTACATCAACCGAGACAAAAATAAAGAAGATTGATTTTGCCTTCCAGTAGTCTTAGGCAAACGCACGTGGGAGCCTGAGAGTTTTTATGTTTATCAAAACCACGATCAGACGTCACATATTGGACATTACCGCCCTGAAGTCGAAAGTTGTGACAGTAATGCTCTCCCCTGTAGTAATCCCCATGGGGGATCGACAGTTTTCTGAAAATAAATAAAAAAAATAAAGTTGACCAAACATTGTACTGCTTTTACTGGCTTGAATACTGGTGTAATGTGATAACCTTAGATGCGGTAGACCCTGTACGTTTCAAATGATTCATCTTCCTCTTTTGTTTTGTTCATTTTAGGTCTAACCTGCATCATCAGTATCATCCACAGGAGTGTAATATTTTCCTATTTATTGAGCGGTTTTCGTTTGGCCATCGGGAACCTCGCCACTGTTTTTCAAGAAGAGCATTTCTCCAGGGGAGCGTGCCTCCCCTTTGTCCTCAGAGGAGAGAGAGGGGGGCAATAAAAATGAACTGTTTATTACAACTATCTGCCTTTTGTTGTTGTTCTGTGTTATCTCTGTCAAGGGTGTTTTGTGATATGGTTAATCATAATAAATTTCTATCAGAAAAGAAAAAAAGGCACCCCATAGACAGGTATTTGAATTGTACTTTGGAATCGAGATCACATTAATTTGTGGAATTTCACAGTAAACATTCAACTAAAGTATAGTCAATTCACTAATTTACTCGTTCTGATCGCGTTATGGTGCACGCTGATATATGTGAAGCATAGCCGGTTACTTAGAATGTATCGCTAATCGGTAATGAATAGATCACAAAGCCAAACTTGTGATGCTAGAATCAAAATTGTCACAAGCTGGTCTCAATATTCGCCCGACTCGGCTGTTGTGCAAAATCGTAAGGCCATAGAATTTCGGTCACATTTCTTTAGGAGGTGCCGTAACGCTTGCAGCCAAGTAAGCTTTTAATTTCAAATACGATTCACGCGCCCTCTACGCATGAAACTGCAAACTGCTTCTAGCGTTTTCAATAATGACCCAGAGGTGACGCTTCTAGACATGACGTTTCGGTTATTTTGATCATTGCTATATTCTTTTAGATTTCTCAATCAGCCAACGACTGTCGATCGCGCAGTGCGTTTTGAAATGACTGACATCGCATTGTTTGAATTCGCATCTTGAATGTCCCACTTCCTTGCAACAATCTTTTTTTTTCGACTAATAATTGCGAGTCTCGAAGGCTGTGCTATTTGTTTGTCAAAAAGCCATAAATACGTCACGGCCGCCATGCGTTGCCGGGGAAACCAACATCAACCAAAAAGGCACGCAACAAAAACCGAAACAAGTGAGGACGCTGCGATGAGCGCCGCTGCTGCGATGAGCGAACTTTCGAGCCTCCCGATTGGTTCCTGCGCATCCTGACGTCACAGTTTTGCGCGAAGGAGAGCGAAAAGAGGATGAGATATTGAACTCGCTCGCCGCCCTGGGAGGAGCACCTGGGGAGGGATCAACAACCACCTGTGTTGTGCGTGCGTGTTTGTACGAGTGTCCGGCGGGAGTTGTTGGAAAGGAACGGTGAACTGTTGCAGCGAGTTCGTAGTCGGCGGCGGCGGCAGAGGCCAGGCCACGGCATCCAAGCCTCCCAAACCGTCGTTTTGCCCCGAGAGGGCCCGTCCCACCGCGCTGGAGCGTTCTTTTTTTCTTTTTTTCTTCTTCTACAAAGTGAGCGAAAACGTTGTCCTCCGGGGCACGCATTGTGTGTCGTTCGTTCGTGCGGCTCCCAGCATCCGGCGTTTTTGTTTTTGCTCTGTGTCAATCGCGCGCCGCCTGGATTCGAAGCTCCCGTCTCCGGTTTGTTTTGCACCGGCGTGGTTTTCGGCTCCTTGGATCGTCCCATGTTTGAAGATCTCTTGTGCCGTGCTCGGTCCGCCCGTGTGCGGGGGGGTTACCCTGCTCCTTCAGGCTTCGAGGTTTTGTGGTGATACTGCAGTAGTTCTTCGGCGGTCGTGGTGAGCCGTTTTGCGTTTACGCAGTCATGGATCGCGACAGGTTTCACCGCGCGGCGCGCGACGGATACCTGGATCTTCTCCGGGAGGCTACTCGAAAGGACTGCAACACTCCGGACGAAGACGGAATGACGCCCACGATCTGGTCGGCCTACTACGGACACCTCGACGCATTGCGCCTGCTCGTCGGACGAGGGTCAGTAAGAAACGACTTTTCTTTCCAAATATTGGCTAATTATTTGTTTCTGCGCCTGTTTTGGCTCGCCCAATTGCTCCGAAAAGTAGCTTCTAGTCTTTGCGCAACGTTTTTGGATGTAGTATCTAGGTGTGTTGATTCTCGCGGTTATCATGCCGTCGGTGCGTTTCGGAGCAGCACGTGAAAGTACATAGCATCGCCTCAAAAAGCAAACAGACGTTTCTAACCAGTTTCGTCCGCTACACATTGTCTGCTTCAAGCAGTCGATCTTCTTTTTTCGCCCATATTATTCTAGCGTACGAGTTTGTCAAAATATTTTTGGACATACTGAAGTGTTTCAGCCGCTAACATTACTTCTGACGTTTCACGTCGTTTACATATATTTACTTATAAAAGGACTGACATTTTGTTGTCTAGTTTCGTCTGCAAATGCGTCGTCTGCTTCGAGCAGTCGCGATCTTCATTTTTACCTTTACAATAAAGTTGTGTTCTCTCTCATTTTTACCTTTATTGTTCGAGCATGTTAATTTATCAAAAATGTTCCAGAGATATAATTGAAGTGTTTCGGCTTATGAGCTTGCGTTCGACGTTAAACGTTTTTTATCAAAAGCTAGGTGAACTTTTAAAAACATTAAATTTAAGAAATCACGTTTTGTTGACACGTTTTTGTCTGCGACACATCGAAGCAGACGATCATCTTGTTTTACCGTGGAGCAGACGATTTGATATACAATTTGCTCGACATTTAATTAACGCACGAGTCGTCGCAACTGCCAATCCTTTTTTTGCGCACAATCTTCTTATTGAATTTTCTTTTTATATGACGCAAGCCAACTGATCAAAAACTGATTTTTTGACGTTTTATTTCTCGAAAGTGTCGTCTGCCGTCCTTTTCTGCTTGACGTTTGGACGGCTGGAAGATTTCTCACACAGTACGTAATCTGACACACGTTGCTTTTGTTATCAGGGTTACTACATGATACCAACTTGTATAAGTACTTAAAACTAAGAATGCTTTGGTGACTGGGTTCGTTGGACGCATACTTTCAAGTCTGCTGCGCGTCGTCTGCGTCAAGCAGACGACATTTTTTTTTTGACACATTATCATAGAATAAGGGTTCATACGCACCGCGCCCATGTTAATGGTAATTACTATTGACCGTGCGCTTACAGTGTAAGCGCACGGTCAAGCTTTGTTACATCAAGATCTTAGCAAGAAGCAATGACAAGCAAACGTGCCAGATTTTTAGAAGCCGTGGTCGTTTCGGTTATCTCTTCTTGGTCTCGGTTATTTCTTCTTGGTTATTTCTTCTTGGTTTCGGTTATTTTTTCTTGGTCGTCGAAAAAAGTGGATAATCATGCATCAGCGCACCTTCCATTAAAAAAGAAAATCGTGCGCACAAACCAACAATCTAGGAATCAGTGAGCGTTGCATTCGCTATCGAATGCTATAAAAATGCGGGGAAAGTTTCGATAAACGTTCCGTTGTTCGCCCAGTGGTCTGTCTTTCTGTCCTCGACCAAGTCAACGGTTGGAGCCCCCTCGCTATGTGCCACCAACGAGCTCAGACAAGCGCACGTCTCAGTTAATTACTCCATCATGACGTCACTTCCTCTTCTACCTCTATGAAAAAGCGATGTTATGTAAGATTTCTTAGACACCGAATTTGAATTCAAGGGTCTGGTTGTAATTTTTTTGTTTAATTACTCTTCTGCCACGTTATATTAACTCGGTGAACGTGATGGTGTTTTTTGCAAATGAGTTTCCACCTCTAGTGAAGCTCTGTGGCAGAATACTGCCACGAGAAGGGCAACGGTTAAAATCCCGTGCGAACTTGGGTAGTTGTTCTTATACCTTTATCGTTAATGCTTATAGGTCGCTTTTCGATGTTTCGGCTGCGATGGCAACGCTATTCAACGCAGAAGCGAGTGCCTGGAGCAGCGCTCTAAAACGAAATAGATGGCAGCAGTAGTTCTGTGCAGATCCTTCCGGAGACTCGTGTTCATTTCGACTATTGACACCGCTCGCAAGTGATAACAGACATCACTTGTAGCGTGTCTAAGAAGTGAAAATGTCGAAGCGGTTTCAAGAGAGAGAGAGAGAGGAGAAGATGCCGTAATTTCCGCTCGGTACGGTCGCTTGCGCATTTGGGAAATGCACGAACTCGCTGCAGCGGAGAACGAGGGACGGTATAGAAATGTGGGACGTTCGTGTTGTGCTGAGGGGTCGTCTGCCGTGCCGAGTCGTGAGGCTTCGTTTAGGAACGCACCGTATACGCAGAAGTCGTACGAAAGCACGCGGAATATGCCTAACAGGAGCGACAATTCGAGCGAGTCTTTTTTTTTTTTTTTACCATGTATGTTCGGGTATACCGGCGCAACTGCCTAACACGATACTTACGACATATTCGGGTGGTGGTGGTGGTGGTTTTGAAAAGCTTCGAAGGTGACGACGAAGAGCTCTGTAAACGTCGTCTGCATTTCCCTTCTTCCCCGCCTTTTTTTTTTCACGCTCAAGTGGAAGTGCGCTATAACCTTACGATTTCGTCATGCAGCAACTCGTGCAATCTTCGATTCTTACCACGTGTTCATTATCAGGTGAGAAAATCGCCATACATTTTTACTTTGTTTTCCGCCCGAAATCTCCGATAGTGACGTCATGGATTTCAAGCTGCGTATTTCGTATATTGGCGACGTTGACTCGACGAAATTTTCAGGAAACTGTGTGTTAGCTCTATGGCTTCATCAGAAGATAGTGTACTTCATTTTTACTGATTTGGGCCCTAGGGTTGCGCCGCCAAAATCTATGACGTCATGGCTACTGGTGCGGGAATTTCAAGGTGGCGTCGCCACCTGCGCTTTCTTTTCGCGCGTTTTTTCGAGGCAGGCGTGGTGGTTTTGGGTATTGTGATAGAGTGATTAGCTAATTCGAGACAAATTGTTTCTCCTCAGTGATTATTCGACAACAGCAGAGAAGACGAAACCATGCAAGAAACAGACTCAAACGACGCTGTACTTTTGCAACTGAGTTTAATTAGAAATAAAGATTGCTTTTATAGCCGGATAACGGAAATATGCGTATGCTCATTGGCAAATACTCTAGTAAATACATGAAAGCATAGAAATACCTTGACATCACACATGCACGTGTGGTAAATGCTGATTTTATCCCTGATTAAGCAGGTCTATCTATTCATTAGACAAGGTTACAGAAGGCCGACTAACGCGTTTGCTTCGAAATCTCGAAATGTGACTGGCAGTATTATCGACAGCAGTGCCCTATATACGCCGAGAGATTAAGGTAATTGCACGAGAACCCCATGCGCCACGTAGAAAATTCAGAAAAAGATCCCAATGACGTCGTACTTACCGCCTACAATTAATCACTAAGAATCAATCTAGCTGCATTAATTTAAGAACCTTCCGTGCATCAAGAGACGCATTGAAATGCTGCTTGTTTGCTTCTGTTTGATTCATGGAGAAAAGAAACACCGGACTTTAGTATGGGAAGGGCGCGAGTGGTTCAAAAATTCAATTTTCGCCTGGTTGAACGAGACAGGTCGTGCCATCTGGCGGGGCCCAACTAAGCACGCCTACCATCTCGGAGGCCATGACTAAATGTTGTTGCTGCTATGACTCTTGCTACTATCGCTCTGCTGCCGGCGGCCGCACAGTAAAACCGGGCATCGTTGTGCACGGCAACAGTGACGTCAGACGGCCACCATCATGCGGGGGATATGAAGTGCGCTTACGTGATTCGGACCACTAAAACGTGATTTCATTTCAAAATAGGCACTTCCTTGGCAAAAAAGCAGCACTACCACGTTTCTGGACCGCTCTTTTAGCATCAAACCATTATTAAATCAGCATCGATTTAATATTTGTCATTAGTGTCCCTTTAAAGCGCTGATCTGTAGCGTATTCTTGGCTCTGCACTGCAACGTTACTAGCAGTTACGTCATCGCTAGCGCATTTCTTTCATTCGCGAGACCAATGCGGTTGAGTCGTCTGTCTTTTTTTTTTTCTGATTATCCCTGCTACACCACTGTTGTAATGCGTAGTAAAGGCACATGTCGTTGACGTCAACAGCGCGACATTCTGCTGGAGGAGGGCGCCGGCGTGCGTCGCGTGCAGCCTGACAAGATTAGAAAACGGTTCTCCGTCACGTACTGCGTCGCGTCGTTTGCGTAAAAGCTACGCACGCGGATGTATCAAAACGATGAGCTTCCACCACCTTTCTCTTTCTTTCTTTCTTGCGTGTAAAACATCGGCGTGCAGCAAGCGCGACACCGTGCCATCGATGCGCGCCTCCTCTCCCCCCCTTGAACAACGCATTTAACCGGTTTAGCAACTAAAGCTCGTACCTGTAGGTGGCGTTGATGACGATAGCGGCGGCATGCAGCAGACGACGACGAGCAGACGACGTCGCTTTTTTTTTTCCGTCTGGAACGCGAGTTCCGTGGGAACAAAATGTTCGCAGAGGTGGGAAGGGGGGCAGTGTAGTATAACCTATAGTACAGTGTCCACTGCCGTACCCTTCCAGTACACTGTAGTGGGGGAGGGGGGATAGCTCGGTTTGTGTGCTCTAGATATAGAAGGCGGGATTCAGTAACTGATAAGCTAAATTCATGCAATTTAGAATCACTGGAAATTCGAAGACGGAAACAAAAAACTTAAAACATTATTTCTTATTATCCAAGGGATATTCAAAATACCTAAAGACGAGTACATACGCCTTCCCGGAAAACGTAGCACTAGATTGAATCATGATGCCCCCATTGAACCTTTCAGCGCTCGCACTGACATCTTTCGGTGGTCATTTTTCCCGGATGCTATAAAACAATGGAATTCTTTACCCCAACATGTTATTAATAGTACCGATGTGCAAACTTTTGATAGAGAAATTGATGCTTATTTTGGTAATGGTTGAAGTACTGCCCATTCTGTTTTCCTGTGTTTATTGCTTAGTGGTTTTTTTTTAGGTGTTCGGTTTGTACTCAT